CGACATACTCGCTACCTTCATCATCAATGAAATAATCTGGAAACTATTTATGTTTAGATAGGTTACTTTCATTTTTTATAATCGTCCACGCCGTTTGAGATTTGTTAACAGAGGGTTATCTCATCGTAATTGGGGTTACACTTCTGGATATCTGATCACATACTACATCCGGAAGTTCTCTTGATAGAAGAACCTCTTTAAGGTGCAGAGTTTTTTTCTTAAGGCTTCTAATATTAAAATGAGAAATTCTAAACTGCCCAGGCTCAGTGGACTCGCCACTATCCACTTTTCTGCAATCGAACCACGTTCATCGGAAAATTTTTCTGAACATCGGCATCGCCATCTCGTCAATGTTCAACATTTGTACAAATTAACCTAAAAAAAAAACAGTGTTGCAGTGATTGGCGGATAGTCGGCAAACAATATTCGCTCTAAGCGTATTAATAGTAAACGAGATTATATCATTTTATGCTCGACTAATTAAAATTGAAATTCGGTCTGTTCGAGTGGCAGCAGGTATTTAAATTCTCCAAATTTATACAATTATACGAGCAAACATAAACGGACCCGGACTGCGTAATCCCGTGTTAATTTTCAAGTGGCGCGCGGGAATGTTTTAGCGAAATTAAATGTGTTCTTCGGGTAAACTGCCATTGGAAATAAATCTTTTGTTATAAAATTCAAGACCCCGGCGTAGTATTAACACAACCGACGCCATTAAAATCGGTTCGAATTAGGTTAATTGGGAATGGGTCGGAGTTTAAGAGAACTTTGACGCACGGTTGAACATTATCGTTGCTAATTCGTTTGCACAAGAATCGTTTTAATTTATGCAGCTTTCGGAAGGGACACTCTGCACCTGTGATAACACTAACGGTTCGAACCTTCGCACTGACATTCTGTTGGACATTGGATTAATGCAGAATAAAATAACATAGTGTTAAAAATTCTGAAGCTTCTGGAGATTTAAAAAAAAAACATTCCATTTTTTAAAATGGAATGACCCTCCCCGATAAAACTTTAACGGCGATAGTGATCCGGACCTATATCAAGGAAAATATAGTGTCTTTATCAGTGCGAAGTTATTCCTTCGCAAAATAGACAAAAGGGTAATTAGTATTAGTATTTGGAGATTTAATTTCCTTCAAACAATTAAAAGATATAGATCAGACAGATTATATATATTTACCTTGATGAAATATGACCGATTCACTCGACACTGTATCCAAAGGCTGGGTTGATTCCATTCAAAACTGTCAGATGGAAGCAACTTCAAATAAAGGAAAACGCATCTCCATAATACACGCTGGGTCGGAAGACGGATTGGTCCCAAACTGCTTGCAGTTCCAGGATTCCAGCTTGGATTATCATGAGGATGGAAGAGCCGAACTTGTTGAAAATTGGTTTCAAAACAATCTTTTACAAAGTATTTCCAATAACAGTATTATCCTCAAGCTACCGCAGCCGTCTGGTACGGAAAGCACCAACCTCATCAAGTTCAAATACGGAAATGCAGGAATATTTGTTGGAAAATGATGTTTATTTTGAATTCACTTAAATTAAATTTGTATGCGATTAAAACACAGTATGTATACCTTTAAAAAACTTATCATACTGGGAGACTTTAATTTAAAATTCAATTTAAACTCTAATGTATCCTCGACAGCTTTGGTTTTAAAATTACTGTCTCTGAACTTACTAGGATAACGCCGGATAGTTCGTACTGTCTTGATAATATACTTACGAATCCTAGTGAACATCATTATGCAACAGAGCTAATCAACCTAGGTTTCTCTGATCATTTAGCCCAGTATATCAAAATAGAAACCACAGTTCTACTAACAGTCAACAGCAGATACATAAGATTGTTCACTAGGTCGGGTGTTGAAAAAACTATAAGCTCTGTTTTGTCCCTTGACTGGTACAACTTTTATAGTTCTGAGGACGACAATTTTATGTCAGTTTAAAAAATCGCCTGTAAATTGGTTTACGCAAGCTGTAAAACAACTCAGAAATCGAGTCCAGGCTCCTCAAACTGGTCCCAAAAACAAACGAGTTAAAACGAGATAAAAACAACCAAAAAACAAGCTATTAACAAATATATATTAAATTTCGATAGTAGGTCCAAGGACATATGGAGACTCATTCACTATGAACGGAATTATATAAAAAATCCAATAACTCAAACGTTACCAATGACGAGTTTAACAATTATTTTCGACCTTTGCTGCTAAAATCTTGCTGCTGTTGGATATTGATACGGACTTTTATAGTGGATTAATTAGTCAAATATCCTTTAATGAAAGTTCTTTTGCATTTAATTTCTAAGAAACTCTAGTTGCTCTGACGCTTATCAAATTAATGTCAATTTACTAAAAATCTTATTAATATTCTTACCTTCTTTTATATTATTTTCTAATAAGTGATTCGAATATGGCATTTTTCCAGATACTTTAAAAATTACTAAATCCAATCTTCAAGAGTGGTGACATTAATAATCCCGGAGAATATCGCCCTATAACACCACAAAAAGTTTTTTTTTTGAGGAGCAGGATATCTTTGGAAATGAGCAGTTCGGATTTAAGGAGGGGTAAGCGATAAGTAAGGTTGTGGGAGATGTGAAACCGGAAATCGGGTGGGGTTGACAATGTGTGACCTTAGCAAGGCCTTCGACTGTATCTCGAACCATCTTCTTAAAAAGAAGCTATTTAGGTATGGATTTCGCGGCGGAACCCTTAAGCTAACAGAATATTATTTATTACACAGGGAACAGTTTGTCGGCGATGACAGACGTAAATCCTCGTTGGTGGAGGTCTCCAGTGGGGTCCCTCAAGGGTCCGTACTCGGCTCTGAATTTTTTATAGTGTATGTTGCTGATCTATGCCGTTTTTTGGGGTCTGTCAAATGTGCTTTATTTGCGGACCATGCCAGTTTTACCTTATATGGTTCGAATTGGAATGACCTGCACAACATTATTGGGGAACTGGAGAGCAATGCGAACAAATGGTTTAAAAATAATTATTTGAAATTGAATACGGACAAAACTCAAAAAATATTTTTTTCGCTAGATAAATGCAACAACGAACGGCAGTCGGGTAAATTACTTCGCATTACACTTGATAGTAGATTTGACTGGAAAGATCATATTTTATCTCTTAAGCGAGAACTATCTTCCAGCTTATTTGTTTAAATTAGGTAGAGCCTAGACCAAAATGCCCTAATGACATTGTATTATGCCTTATTTCATTCCCACATGTCATATGCTATTCAATATTCAGGATACAGAAAAGGGCTATAAGAATTCTTGCTGGGCCTAAGCACAATGAACACTGTACTCCATATTTTAAGAAATACAAGATAATGACACTGCCCTATATCTATATTGTCCATAATCTTTTAGAAATTCACAAACATACTAATATATTTGAAGGTGTGTCTCATGGTTATCCAACACGTGCAAAAAATCTTATAAGAATTGCAGAGCACAGACTTGTTACGTCAGACAAAAATTATTTAAACGTTAACTTTGATAATATGCTGCCAGATAGGTACAGACATATAGCTGTTGAGGTCTTCAAAACAAATATTAAAGTGTTGCTTACTGAACATTGTTTCTATAGTGTGGACGAGTATTTGTTCACAATAAAAAATCTAAATTAAAATCCTTGGCTTACTGAAATGTGTGAAGATCATAGCATACTATCTTGCACTTTCTGTACGATTTTTAGTGTTAGTGTTGTTGACCTTTACATTTGTTATTGTTCAGTACTGTGTGATTTATAAAATACGTTTTTTTCCACCTTCACACTTTTTACATTTTGTTTTTGAATTTTACCTTATTGTTGATAAAATAACCCAATGCCCTCGCGAACCCTGAAACGCGGATATTGCGTTAGACGTGGCAACGTCTATCGCCTCCCTTGATCACGCTACATAGACGTGACTAACCGCCCCGACGGCGCCTGTTTTCCAGACATGCGTTGCGCGAGGCAGCCAGTCGACCGCGACCGCCCTTGACAATGGAAATGTGAAAATCGCCCTATCGCTAAACCCCTCTTTAAGCCCCTTGCACTATTAATGTATTCCCTTATAAGTCGGTGTCCTCTTTGGACTAGCCTCTCAAACGGTTTCTGTCGAGGAAATTTAATCTCTATTTTAACGCAAATTTTGTGTTTGTGATTAACTCGAATAAACTGATTTGTACCGTCGTCGCGTTGTGACTGAATATAGTTTGTGTTGTGTAAAACGGCTATCATTTCAAATAAACCAGCCCCGCAAGAATACAGTCCACACCCCCCAACATGATGATGGTCAAGCAAGGATACGTTTCTCCCCCACTTACAGTGACAGGCTGCAATTGTATTATTATTGTACAATATGTGGCTAATAAAAAATTCTTCTTCTTAATTTAGCTGAATAAGTTGGGCATACTGGTTTACGTTTTTGGAACCAAGTAAAATCGAAGGTCAGAGCAGGAAACGTGACTTCTACTTTAAGTCACAGTGTTTAAGTTTTGATATAAAATGTAATTATTAACATACCAATCGAGAGCTGGAAAAATTCAGTACAGCATATCAAAATTGAGGACTCTCACATTTCTATAAAAGCAGCATAAATCTCATTATAATTAAACTCAATGACGACTCTGATAGTGAAACAGAATTAGAATTAGACAATTAGAATAAAAACGTGAGTAGTCCTAGTTATGAATTTATTGTACATATATATTTATTGTCATTTTGCTTAATTTCGATAAAAAAGTATAGTTTTATCCCTCTAAAGTACCTTTATTCCGCAAAACGTTTCTAAACCACGTCACAGAAAAGTATAATGCAGACGCGCTCAATGGAGGGTATGAATCAATCGTATCTGCTTTCCGCCACGTAGTTCTTAATTACCGCTAAAGCTCCCGGCGTATTTCTAGGTTACAATTTTTATTAATTGATCCAGAAATTCTCGCGCGAGAGATTTCCTCATTAACTTTGCCATCTGTTTTCCAGATAAGGCGCCTTCGGAGGCCGTATTCCGGGGCACTGAATTTTTATCATACGATCTCAGCCAGACCGGGGGAGAGCCCATTGTCAGCGCCCAAGACACTATTACTTTGTACTTTAAGACGAGGCAGCCAAATGGTCTTCTATTTTACACGGGTAAGCGATGACAATCTTTAATTATTGTTTTCACGCCTATAGCTTTTTGTCGCGTAATGATACTGCCGGGAATAGTAAATCCCTAAAAATGTTATATCACAATTTACCTGGTCTTTCGAAGTTTTCGGTACCACTTATTTTACTATTAATTTGATGTAATTATAATGCGAACTGTATAATATTTTGTATAGTCATTTATTTTAGGCAACTTCGGCAGTTATCAAATTGCTTTGCTAGTTAGAACAAAAAAAAAAATGTCCGCAATGATTCTTAGATTGGATTATTAATTTCAATCTACTGGGCAAACAGAGTGAATATAAAAATACAAAAAAAAACAAACAAATAACGAATAAATGGATCCAATTAAAAAGTTATTAAGCAATCCTATTGTTCCTTGTGAAACTGTTGCAGAGAGATAAAGAAAACATCTCTGTCCTATTGTTTTTCATATCTTAGGTTTGACAGTAACATAATTTGACATAATTTCTAATAAGAGTTTTATTTAAAAAGATCTGGACTTCAATTTTTTGAAAATACAGTTGTCTTGCTTCGAGTATACCTGATTCGTTAAAAGATTGTGTTGTTGGATAACACTTATCCCTTTTATAAATAATTTTTAAAATTTTTGTGAAGAGTTAATTTCTTCTGTGTCCAAAACCCCATGCTTAAATTCCGTATTATAATAATGTTGGTGATTTAAGTTTATTTGTGATATATTTGAAGTGGTGCTCCCATCTCAAATGAATATCAACAATCTCGAGTTCCCTTGAAATTTATGGGTATCATTTATTGGTATTTACACGTGATTTTTCAACTTTTTAACACGGGTTTAGCTATAGCTTAGTTTTCTTACTTACCAACGAAGCAAAACGACGCTTTTAACACCAACATAAAATTTCTTGGACTTTATATCTATAAAAACCTTACGTTTAATTAAGCTTAAAATCTATTTTTTTTAATATTTTATTTTATTCGTAGCAGTAGGCCATGCTTAATCTATTAAAACCAATGTCCAAGTAAATAATTGTTAACTTACAGGAAAGTCAATACTTCAACATTTATTATAGTCCATTATTACATTAACAAATACGGAATAACATTATATTTAACTAACCAAAACGGTTCGAGACTCTTTTCTCGAATGCAGAAAAAAATTATTCCTCTGCTTCGTAGGATTGCGAATATTAAATCAGTTGCCTCTCAAAGTTCTGCTACAGCTACAACTTATATGGATAGTATTTGTATTTTTTTTAAATTCTTTCACCATTAAATTCACGAAAAAGTAGCAGTGCGACTCTCTATCTTCAAATATGTATTTTGTATAAAGTGTGTTTATGTGTTTTTACAAATCGTAATGGGTTTAAAAACAAAACTGTAAGTAATGCAAGTTCAGTAAAAAAAAATTGTATCGAAATTGGGACATTTGCTTTTGTCAATATAAATAAATTGTATACGGTAAGAAACTAGAACAAGATATAATTTCGCCCTTCGAATGAAAACAAGTAAATAGAAAAACAAAGATAAAAGTAATTTCCCGCGATGGAGAGTTTTCTGCGTCGCGCGGATTTCCCGTTGATTTGTTTTTCTCAAATAACAACGTCCCCCGTTTTCTCTATACACAGGCGAAGGAAGCGATTACCTCAACGTCGCAATAAAAGACGGCTGTCTGAGTCTGACAATGGGCCTTGCGAACGGAAAACAAGAAATGCAGATTAAACCGAACAAAGTCCGATTTGACGACAATCAGTGGCACAAAGTGAGCGTTCACAGGAGGATACAGGAGGTAATGAAAATATATCGATCGATCCAGCACGTGTGCGTTTTGATAAAATTGCCGATTTGCCTTGCAGATATCGGCGATAACCAGCTTTTGTCGGGTAAGCAAATAGATTTGCAAAAGTATTTAGTTTTGATTAATAAACATGTGTTTTTTTTTGGTTATTTTACTTATTTTATTTTGTTTATTGTATTCATTCCCACAAGGATATCCAAACAGGCATAAAGGACAGCCCAAACAAAAACCATTCTAAGAATCAACTAATTAACGAAAAGTATTGAATGGTATCCAAAAAGGTCTAGCGATAGGTGCCGATTGATATTATAATTGAATAATTAGCAACGCGGTTAGCGGAAATCCTTGGCTGCATTAAAGTGTTTCTTACACGCGGAGTATATAAATCGTATGCCATTTTATAGTTAATAATAATTAGTAATGAACTAAAACTAAAACTAACAATGTTTAATAATAAGAAAAATAAAAACGGATTTACATTTCATCGGGTACTATAAGAAGTCATGTTAAAATATTATGATATTGAATGCAGATCTGAATTACAAACGAATAGCAAACTGTTATATACAGGATGTCCCAAGATGTGATTGCCATAGCTTGGGAGTGTGTTGCTGGGGTTATTTCAAGTTAAAAATGTCATGCGGCATTTGCAATTTTAAAGACCATTTAAAAGAAACCCCTTTAATTTTTATTTTATAGAATTACTTGTTCAAAATGTTCACCCAGGTGCTGTACACATATTCTAGCTCTTCTTAGAGTGTGCTAAGAGTCTCAGGATCAGCAGCTAGCTAGCTACCAGTTTTCAATACTTAAGGTCAGGTGCCCTTGCTGGCCAAGGAACCGCTGAACCTTTTCTAATCCACCGGTTTGTATAATTTTGATTAAGCAACTCTGTTATTTGTCGACCAAATTGAAGAAGTGTTATTTGGCTTCATGGAATCCTTGGTAGATTTTCTAAAACATTTAAACTTTATACACCCTAACATACGTTTTACTATTGAAGTAAAAGTAGAAACTAATAATAACCTCCCATTCTTAGATATTCGGGTCATTGTGTTTACAGAAAACTTATGCACACAAATCCAAAAATCTTTCTATATCTTCGATCCGTCAACGACAAAATTCCATTTGAGATGCCAGGAGTTTACAGCATTCCATGCATATGCGGCAAAGAATATATTGGAGAGACCGGACGAAAAATATCAACTAGACTCAAAAATCACGAAAGAGCCTTAAGGTTAAGACAAATAAACTCATAAGCAGTTGCCCAACACAAAACTAAAACTCTTGCATGTAATCAATTCTTCTACCAACGAAAAATCCAAGAGTCCATAGAAATCTATAAGCAAGTTAATCTTAACCGCGACTGTGAATCAGTAATCCGAGATGGTGTTTATGCTCCTCATTTAGCTCTGCCTCCCTCAACTAACTAAAATGCGAGGCAGCTTCAGCCAACAAGTTTTGTAAAAAGTGTTACAGTACGCCGTGGAAATCTCTTTGAAAAAAAATTACCTACTGGTTGTCGTACATTAAGAGAAACATCATCCAGTAATATTGGAAGATGATTTTTCAAACGTAAGCAACCAATGAGGAGGTCATCAATATTCTCCGAAAATCTATCTCGAAAATGGCATTTCCAAATTTGCCTTGGATTTTGAAGTGCCCAACAATGCCAATGCCAATGCTGCGTCGATTTACCAAATTCAAGTGTTGAAGCGCAGTCGGCAAGTTTTAAAGCTTGTACAGGACACTAGAAGTTCTTGTTGGAAACTTGTCTGTTTCTCGTAAACATGGACGGACATTGGCAAAAACAGTTCTACAAGGCACTCTATGAGTGGGAAATCGAAAAACTTAATATCGGCATATTCTTCACCCGAAAATAAACACGAAAATTTTTGTAATTCATGTTTAATTTCACAATACATAAGATTCACAGCCACCTGGACTTTTTATAATAATAATATTAACAGCCGAAAGTAATACTGGAGCAACTAATTCAATAAAGCGGTTTCCTTTTTAATGATGTTTAAAATTTCAAACGCTTGTAGTTCAGTTAGAATAGCGTTTCGGGTATTTGACGACATTTTTAACATGAAATCATGTCAGCAATACACTTCCAAGCTGTGGCACTCACGTTGTGGGACACCCTATATATTCGAAAAGTTTTTAGCAGGCAAGGCGACCCACCTAAGCTTTTTATAATTTTTTGTGGCTTTTAGCCACCAAGTCGATTTATGATTGACTAACTTTAACTAAATTTACCCAAATTTTGGCGAAGTTTCTGGCCGTCGTGCTCCATTATCACGTATTTATAATGATATATATAATAATTAGAATTATATATTAAAAAGTATTTACTAAAAAATAATGTTACAAACTAGTAAATATTTTTTTATGTATTAAAAAATTGGTTAATGGTATTTATAAGATTTTCGAAAGCTCTGACATTAGGCTAAATTCATAGAATTATTAAGCGGTCCATTTTACCACCGGTATTACGCAAAGGGCTAAAAATGTACAAATAACAAGAATTTATAATTATAATGAAAAAAAAAGTTAATTTTTGAGGTGCCCCAGGAGGCCCCACCCTCCCCTACTATTGAATTTTAATAAAATAAATATTTTGGTTCACCCTGTATAAAAATGAAAACAACATTTAAAAGAAAATACAATAAGCAAAATTCTCCAGCAACGGTTGTGTCAAAAAGTAAGGTTTTTATTTATAGCGCCTATGATGAAAATTATAGCAAATTTGGCTAAAATTCTCTCTCTCACTTCAGCACCAATTGCGTCCATGCAGACTTTTTCGTTAAGAATGTTAAAGATTTTAAGATGCTTTTTTTTTAATCCATTTTGCATAAAAAGTAAGGGGTGATGTAAAATTGTTTTTTTTAATTAAAACTTGTTTCTCAACTCATTTTTTCCGCAAATAAGTAGTTGACCAAGCAACGTGCTTCAGTAAATCTCTTGCTCGGTGCTTCATATAGTTCCAAAAGGTATAATGTTCTCAATGTTAACACTTGGTAAGATTGCGGTGCGACGCTCTGGCAACGCCGCTCTGTCAAGAGGGATTGCGCTTATTGAATAAATTAAGAATCGCAGGACGTCCCGTCGACGAGCGAAACACGAATAAAACTCCAAAGAAAATCTCAGGCATAAAGTGTATCGCGAAATCCGACTGAAGAACTTTCATTAATTTAAAACTAAGCTTCAAAGAGTTCTCGTCATTAAAAAATTCATTAGCGAATTGAGACGGTAAGTTTGAAAGGTTTTATACGAGTTCCTTGGCGATAATTAGCTAATGGTAGGCTTTTATGCCCTTTATATAAATAGATCCCCCGTTCTAGCGGTAGTTTTCTTCTTTTACGAAATGATTATTCGTAAAGTTGGGCGTAGCTTCCCGTCACAGCAATTCGAGTGTATTAAAAAAAAAGAGAACCGCCGCTTTGATTTTAGTGATTTTATTTGAATTACTGATTAATTTGAATTTAAGCGTGTGAAGGGTGGAACTATGAGACTAAGCTTTTTTCGAAATTTGGAACACCCTGTTGACTGCAATAAAGGTGGCAGCTGTTGAAAATTGTTATCAAATTATAGCATAATTTTTTTTTATGAACGTTTTGGTTTTTTAATCGTGACACTACCTCTCTTTTTATTGGAGGTACACTGTCTCCAAGCTAATGAATAGAAATATTTTAAGGTTAATACAACAGATGCAAGAAATTCTTGTGGAATACTGACAATGGGGGTTCTAAAATAAAAATGATACTGTTACATTTGAAAATGTTATTGTTTCACTTTGTTTTAAAGTATACTTGTTGGATGCATACTTCCAGGGTTTCATATTAAATCGCAGGCACTCTTATACTATCCTTCACCTCTTATACGGTGTTCACTGAGGTGCGATAAACCAGACTTTTAAGAAAAAAGTCCACACTCTTTCAATCTGGGGATCTAGAGTCCAAGGGCGAGGTCCGCCGCGACCTACCCATTGGTTATTAAATGTGTGATCTAAATATTCTCTTACTGCAACACTGGTCCAGAGGTCCAGAGGTCCAATAAACAATTCCGAAAACTGTCCTTGATGTTTAAATTCGACAACTGCGTGGGGGTTTTCATCGGGCCAAATATGTTTATTGTGAAAATTTTTGATTGCATTTCTGGAAGAGTTGGCTTCATCTGTAAATAGTAATTCCTGTTACAAAACTTCTGGATTCCTTCTGCGTCGGTTTTTGCTGAGTCGAAATTGCTGACGTTTCGCCAATCATCTTGTTGGCTTCTTTAGAGCTTGACTGAAATTGTTCGAAAGAGAGCTGGTGCGCATAGTTAAAAAACGAAAGATGGCCTATCTGGGTCACATAATGCGTGGAAGTAGATATGAGATCTTGAAATTGATAATGGAACTGCGCCGAGATTATTGCCAACATTCAGTAACATTCAATAATGTAGACGGCACTCTAAGAAGAAGAAAAATATTTGAACAAATAAAGTTGATTACTATCCTGATACAATGGAACGTCCTGTAGAGATAAAGTTACTCGAAATAAAATATATACTAGGAGTGAAACACTTTTTGTATTTTTCAAAGAAACTTCCACAGTCTACTGTAATACTTTTTATAAAACTTCTGGATGGACTGGAACTAGCTAACGTTTCGCTAGTTTCAGTCAAGCTCTGAAGAAGTCGATAGGATGATTGGCGAAACGTCAACAAGTTCGACTCAGCAAAAACCGACGCAGGAGGAATCCAGAAGTTTTGTAAATAGTATTACAGTATCCTATGGAAGTTTCTTTGAAAAAAAAAGTAGTTCTGGGTTAAACAAGGGATAATTCTCTGAATGCTGTCATATTAACGGTATTGTTTTGACCATGCAGAGAAGAGGCTTTTTCTAAGCAAAAATCGTACATCTCAATGAAAAACATCAAGAAATGAAATTAAAAAAGATTTTTTATTTTTAAAGGGAAATCAGTGGCGTACCATCAATGTCTGCCTAAATAGACAGGTGAAATTCCATATGCCAGCCATGTGTTTTTTAAAAAAAAATGTGGTACTCTGAACAATGCCTCTTGATATATGTGTGCCAAATTTCATTAAAATATCTACAATAATATTATGAAGTTTTCTTTTGATATTTATTAAGAAGAAACCCCGTATAATTTTGAACAAAGCTTGTTGTTGGCTTCCAAATGACTGACAAATGCTAATCAATGGGTACATGCAATAACTATAGGGCATGAGGTGGCGTGCGTTGTCCTGTTGGAAAGGGGCCATCAAGCAGATATGGCAATGTGAAACGCGGTAAAGTGATAAGTAAGTAGCAAATGACGGGGTGTTTTTATTATTGCGTGGTAATAAAAAAGAGATAGTTTATGTGTTGCTAAATTTTAATCTATTTCGCACTTGTTTTGGTTAGTAGGTGGTTCGTTAAGACTGCTTTCGTTAAAGTTTTGAGACTAAACTTGTTGACACGAGCAAGTTTTGTTATGTTTTCTTGTAATTTGATTCTCGCTTTTAGTTGTCCGCCGTCGTCGACGGAGTATACGCTGATCACTCCCACATTGCTGGCAAATTCACGATGCTGTCTTCCAGTCGCCTCTACGTGGGAGGCAGCATCAATACCAGAGCGCTTCCGGGAGCTAGGGTACACAATAATTTCGTCGGCTGCATGAGAAAAGTAAGTAACGATAAATTTTCTGATAATTCCTCGTCATTTGGATATTTAGTACATATCACACGGCAACTATGTTCTTATCTAATAAATAATATTTGTAAAGAATATTCGAGACCATACTTTTCCTTACTTTTTTTCAAATAACGTTGACCGTGACGCAATACAGTTCTGTCAATAACCAGGTGGGTCACTGCTGGAAGTTTACCGTCAAGATCTGCTAATCTGCTAAATATATAGTACTAACCAAAACTGATCAATATTTTTCTACATAATGTTTAGGTCAGAAATTCGTACGTGAAAATCACCTCAAAGTTCGATAAGAAAAGGGGGTGGTTTTTGAACCAAAATTAATGTTGTTAATCATATAAACTAAGCAGTTTCTTTAGCTGCTGTATTAATAGAAACCCGAATGCCTTCGCTCTATTTGAAGTGTTAAAATTATCTATGTTTTTTGCTCTGGGTTGGCTGCTGTTTTCTGAAACCTATTTTACAACATCCACAAAAACACACTTGAAATTTTTCGAGGGTGCTTCTAAAAGTTACATTCATCTAGGGCAGATGAATGTAATGCATATCCTCCGGCATCTCATTTTGAAAAATTCGAAAGCAAGATGCTAGCCAGCATTTTCTTTATAAATTTGTTACTTACGTAATTGAGTGGCGTTTTCGCTATCACAATTAAACTTGAGACCCCAAATTTCATAAAGTCATAAAGTCAAGTGACGGTACGGGGTAAATATGCCCTAAATAAGAATGGAGCAATAAGTATGAAAGAGAATTTTGTTGACAATCTGAATAGGAGGACTGAATATGACTGATAAAGTTATGGGAGCAAAACACCGCATAGCAAAAGGAGAGAAAGAGAAAAGAAATCCGATTTGACTTGGACAGTGTGGATTATAAGACCACAGAAATTCTGCATAGACAAAGATTAGATGAAGATAGAGAACACAACTATCGTCATATAAAAAGATGTATCTATAAAGCAGCTAAAAATGTTATCGGTTATCAAGGAAAAGTTAGAAAAAGATCATATTTTTGGGGTCAGAAAATAGACGAAGATACCACGGAAACAACAGAAAACTATAAAATCTAGTTGAATGCACAAGTTAATGAAAACAAACCAAGCTACAGAGGAGCCAAGGCAAAAAAAAAATCACTCATTCACTTTGGAGGACAAAAAAGAATGGAGTTCCAAAGATAATAGCAACAAAGTTCATTAACTCTAGCGTCAATTAGATTTAATTCGAACGGCGTGAAGAAAAAACAGAAATGTGTTCGACGCTGGAAATATTCCGACAGAATTAATAAGATGCGGTTGTTCAAAAGCCCGGAACCATGTGAGTTTGAAGTAACCAGAGAGTTGGCGAGCCCTCCTAAAATATTAAAACAAGAAGTTCTAAGAACAATAAAAAAAGCAAAAGCGGAAAATCCCCTGGACCAAATTCATATAGAGTTATTAAAACTTTTAGAAGATCATCTAGATAAATCAAGTACTACATGGAAAACAAGCAAAATGAAATTCTTCTCAGCTCGATATGTTTAACCATTTTAAATCGTGAAGTTTATGGCTAACATCATCTCTTCGTTTAAGTTTATAAATAAATCGAATCCGGGAACTGTACTTTTTGTAATTTATATTTTGTCAGAATATCCAAGCAGGGTCTATAGACACATTACAGTAATTTAGATCACTCAAAACCAGTGCTCCGCAGAGATTTTGGAAACCTGTGTACGAAATCTGTGTTCATTATCAAAGATGATACGCGAGTTTTTATATTCTTCAATTTTAACCCCATTTATAAATATATTAATGCGGACTTATTCGGATTTAATTCCAGGCATCTATTTAGTATCCTTGCTGTTTACACTGCTCCGGGAAAAAGAAATATGTATTTGCTTGTGACTGTAACTATTGAACTCACTAAAGCAACTCGACATATCTGTTGTAGAAATAATGAAGAAAGAGGTCCTAATAATGAGCCTTGTCAACTTCTACGACTTTCGATCTAATGTCAATGCAGATGCAGATAATAACGAATCAATCGAAGCGTCTTAAATTTAAACCCGTAGTATTTTAACTTGGCACAGAGCATAGCATGATTGAGGACATCGAAGGCTTTACTATAATCTAATAATGAGAGATATCGTCCAACACTTTGAGCAAAGCAGTAAACGCACAAAAGAAGTTAGATCATGTAGAAATCTTAAAAATTTCATAACTTACTAGAATTGTACTTTTTTTTGTATGAAGCGTAGTCCGTTTCGCGATTGACTGAGGCATTTTCCCGTTAGTGTGTGTCGACCCTTAGTGTGACGTAAGCGATCCCCGTTACAGGTCGAATTCGTGGCGGACACTCTGAGACTGAACCTCTTGGAACTGGGCAGATCCGGAAGTCACTTGATCCAAGTGGTCGGCCGGGTCGATTACAAGTGTCCGACGGGGGAAACGCACGACCCAATCACATTTACCACGAGGGAATCGCACTTGGTAAGTCGAGCCGGATGCCGATACTTCGATTTTATTTGAATAAAACAGGTATACAATTACTTAAGTAAGAAATAATAATGATTGTTGTGTTCATAGAGAGAAGAGGTTTTTATTTTTTTAAGCGAAAACGGTACAGCGGATTGAAAAAAATAAACAATAAATTAAATTTCTTTAGAAATGATTGGAGATAGGGATAATTCTCTACATGCTGTCGTATTAACGATATTGTTATGACCATGCATAGAAGAAGCGTTTATTTTTTTGAGCAAAAAATATATTTTTTTTAAGGGAAATCAGTGGCGTACCATCAATATCTGTCAATATATACAGGCGAAATTGCGTAAGCCCGTCTCTGGTGAATTTTGAAAAAAAAGTGGTACGTTAAATAATGCCTCTTGATACATAGTAGTGTTGATACATCATACGTGATACTTGATACTTGTGTAGTGTGCCAAATATAGTAGTATTACCGATATTAAAAAAATATATTTTATTTGTGAAAACGTTTCCATCCTGTATCTCAAAAGTTAGGACGTTTGAAGCTTTCTTTTTAAGATAAACCTAAAAATCGCTCTGTTATTTATTGACGGTATTAGAAAAGACCCTGTATATAAAAATAAAATTACATAAAATTCGATTATACATCTAAATTCAAGCTTTCGTCGGTTTCTTAAACAAACCGCTTTTTTCATACATTTTATTTGTTTTAGACATTTGATAATATTTCGTTTCAAATATTTGAAACCGTTGCAGCTATTGTAGGTGATGGTTCCATTGCTTCGGCGAACGCATGTCATTGGCATGCCATTTGCCCCTATTAAACTTTATTGGTTTTTTGAATGTACCATAAGTAGCATATTTTAACCATCCCCCGTCCCTCGGGGGAGATCTTGAGATAGCAAATTTACAGATGCCCAAGCAACCCGAAAAAAATCGAATTTAGTTCGCCTGTTATCCTGAATAAAAAAGCAAGGGATCGCCGCTTAGTTCTCCCGGAGGTTTCTGTAGGTTTCACACTTCAATGTACTGCTAGGAACGGAATAACGGCAGATAATGCTGCTGCCATCATCAAAGTAGAAGAAATGTTGCATCTTTCATTTTAATTTAGAAGTAATATTTCCACAAAACTCCCGTTTGGTGGAGGCTCTGTAATGTTTCGGGGAGGAATGTGTTTCAACGGAGATTTAGTCCTTGCAGGTGTAAAATCAATGAACGCCGATTACAATGTTATGCCACTTGTTCGTTGTTTGCAACAGAATAGTTTATTAACGCAGGTAAATGGTCGACTACATGAACTGTGTTAATGGAATGGCCACCTCGCAGTCCCGATTTAAATCCCATAGAGCAACCACGGTATACTCTAAAAATAAAGGTTCCAAGTCGCAATTGCGTATCGGTTAACCACAATCGATTGGTGAATGCAGTAATTGCGCAATGGAAGAATATTATCCAATATACAATTAAAAATTTTATTCCAATTTTCAGAAAAAAATATATAACATTTTTATTACACCCGGTATAAATCGAAAGTGAATTTTTTATCATTATTAGCGAACCAACCTGCAAAAATAGCATACAAAATGACGTTACGGTAATTTTGCCCATATTTTGTTTATGTGTTCTGTGTTCTAGAATTTCGGTTTCGATTAGAAAACTTAAAAAACTGATCAATTGTACTAAAATCTGATTTGTGGTTTATTTATATCATACCAAGTTAAGTTAATTAGATAAAAGCACATGTTGATGCTTTTTATTTATTTCACATGTCACTAAATATTTGTCCCTATCGCGCGCTACCTCCGTTCCCTTCAGTTCGAACGAGTATAGTTCAACGTCTTGATGACAATTTTCAAATGTTCGTCGGAATAATTCATCTCGACGTACTGTAAAACGGTCATCAGCACGAAACCGGAGACCATGCAGAAGCTCCTCCGTAGCCGGTACACCTTTCTCTGCTTCTCCCTGCTCAAAACTTGAAACAGGGTTATGTGCAATATGGCGCCGCACGCCAAACCCTCCAGCAGGACTGCCACGACACACTTGGTGGTCTCTTCGGTCGGAGTCTCCACGGCGAAAAATATTCCCAGGAAAATGCCCAACGGGCTGGCAAGCGCTAAGACGCTGACTTGTAGCACTATGAACCTGATCTTGTTTTTGGCCAGCAGCAGCTCCAATCCTATGCAAAACAAAATGGACGCCGAATGGATACTCACCGCCACCGAAAGATACCATATTTCGGAGATCCGGCTTTTCAGCCCTATGGACAGGCCTTCGAGGACCGAGTGCAACGACAGCGCTATGATCGTGAGGATGGCCCGCATCAATTGCTCTTGGTGTTTCATTTTGAGTTCCTCATCTGACGGCGTTTCTTCCTTTTCCGAGTCTTCGATTTTTCTGTTGTTGTCACGCGTCGCTCTGTTTGGAGTATCGCCATTGCAATCGGTGGCCGAAATTTTAGTCGAACACTTCGACATACTCGTGGCGATCTTCTCGAACGTCTTGGTGGCGAGCATATGGTCGGTTTTCTGCTCGACCACCCAGTGGGACCATTCTTCGAGAAAGTAGACGCAGAAAAATCCTACGGACAACGTAAGCTGGGAGAGGGGGTAGTAACGGGACTCCACGCCGCTCGAGTTCTTCAAGTCTTCGACCGACACGAACAGCTGGATCATCATGTGTAAGAAGCACGTCGCGAAAAGGACACCTCCTCCGAAAGACTGGCACAGCGTTATCCAGCACGTTACCTGCTCGTGTCTCCTGTGATTGACGAAGGTGTTCGAGTCGACTGATGCTCCCTCCCAGTGCTGCAGGATCTTGTAGAGTTTAACAGGCAGCATGCCGAAGAAGAACCGCAGGAACCCGAAAAGGATGCCGACCGCGATTTTCGTCCGTATCAAAATCATCCTCGAGGTTCGCTTCTGGCGGAGTCCGTCTCACGACTGGGTCCATTTGGTGCGGGAGCCCCGATTTTATCCGCCTCGATTTTGAGGGAAATCCGCGCGCCGTCTTAATCTATTATTTATAAAGTGTTTCGCTGATATTTTAGTCAAATTTAACGTATCGCGAAATGGAAAAAGGTACTTCGTCTAATGGAGCGTTTTTTGTTTTTTACCCGCCGCCGACGGTGTTAAGTAAACAAACCGGGGAATGGAAAATTTTCGAATCCTTTGTCGCATACGCGTAGATTGCTGTAATCTCCAGGCATAACAAACGGAATTTTGTCTCTGTCGGATCGAAGTTGTTGAGAGATTTTTTTCATATGTGTCAGTGAAGAAGTAAGAAAACAAAACATACAATAAACTAATAAACAGGTTATAACATGTTCGAAAATCTTAACTAAATAATTATTTTATGTGAAGCATATAAGCATTTTTTTAATCCTTGTATTATATTTGCTGTAACATCCATCATAACGTGGTATATAATGCTAAATACAACACGAGTGTTTAAACGGATAAGAAAATCTCGACATGAGCAAAAAAGTCTAAAAATTTTGAGTTTATATGGAACGTGTCGAGAGCTTTGCGATGACTGACGATAATGAACAACTTAGAGCTTTTCCTGATATTTCTTCATAAGTTTGACCGTTACTACCGAGTCCATCTCAAACAAACTCGCATCTGAGCTAATGAAATTCTTACTCTAACTTTACTCCAAGCTCCAGTGTAATAATTTAAATAGAAATGTAGTTATTAATATACCTGCTGACTGATGGAAAAATGAATTACAGGATATAAATTTTAATGACGATTCTGTGAGTGAAACGGGATTACTTTTTATTTAAAAAACGTTTTTATTTATGTCATATGGCTTTCTAAATACTGAACTGGAATTTATGCGACCCGGGCCACGCCTTCCTACCAACTTGTCTTGCATTAAGTTTTTTAGTATACGATTTTTTCTGCCTATCATCGCATGTCCAAAATATTTGAGCTTGCGCCCTTAAGACCGCATTTCAAAAGCCTCTAAATGATCAATTTACCATCTGTTAAAGATTAAATAATCATTAAATAATACATTTCAAAATGGAAGTAGGTATTTGACCTGTCTTGGTACTTTTTGAAGTTCAGCTTCAAATGCGTAACATTTTACTTTTTTTTTTCAACGCATCACGCGCTTGTTCATAATCTTATTTCATGTTGGTTGCTTTGATTTTTCGTTAGAACACCAAAGTCAATATGCGACAAAACTTTCCCTCTAACCTGAGGTGCTACTTTTTAGGTTCGATTCTTTGCTGACTTTATTCTTCTCGATATTAGGGTCACGACCAGCTCTGCCACATCCTTCGAAGATTTTTTCGGAAAATCTCGAAGATATTCATGACTGGACGCTAAGAGTGATGAGTTATCTCTGCCAATGATGATTTCTTCTCTTGAATAGAAGAAAGTGCTAGATGCAAGTGTTCTGGTTTTAAACTGGTGTCTTCTTTCGTTATGGTGATAATGATGTACCGATTTCTGGTGTTCTTTTAATTTAGTTTTAGTTTTAGTCAAGAAGAGAATTAGTTTTGATGCTTTTTGTATTTGTTTATGTATGTATTTATTAAACGAACGTATGATTTTTAAGCGAGATGTGTTAATTCTTGGGTAAGAGATTGCGGTAGTGACAACTCATGTTGCCCTAGAAACTAAGTAATTAATTATGTGATCTAAATGCATTTGGTTATCAGTCAGTACGAGTCCATTTTCAATTGCTTGATTAATATTTTCACATCACAATCACAAGAATGTTTGTTGCTTTCAGTAGTTGCAAATAAGTATTGAACGATGATTTTTCGAATGTCAAACATCACCTGTTCAATTCAAATTTGTTTGAAATTTTCACGGGATATGAGTTTAAAAAGTATTCCAAAGGCATTTTTTCTCAAAAGAGACAATCAGAAAGACATAACGCAATACGAAACATAACGAGATTAAGGTTTCGCTTTGTTGCAGGTTTTGCCGACGTGGAACGCAAAGAAGTCGGGAAATATTTCATTCAAATTCCGCACTAACGAAGCGAACGGCCTAATTCTTTTTAATTCCGGAGCACCGGCCAAAGTAAGTAATACTTAACAACTGTATTTAAGCCTTTAACGTTTGAATGCGATACGGACATAAAATTCGTATTTAAAATCGTCAACAAAATATTATCGGCTGTTGAATCCTGATGTTCACTCTATATCAAAACTTGTAAACTTTAAATTATTATATATTTTATATTATATTAACATTTATAATGTACTGGGTGACACAAGAAAGTAGGAACACTCTATTACTTTTAAACGGCTTGAGATGGCGATTTGAAATTAATTTTTTTTAATATACCAATTTTTAATCTTACCGACAAGTAAAGAAAAGTTTAATTTACAATTTTTCCCACGGTATAGTATTTACGATAGTCACCCTCCTAGACACAGTTTTTAAAAATTAAATAAGAATCTAAAAAAACAGAAAGAAACGAGAAAATCCGTCCTACATATAATAATCTTCTCAATCCAAAAATGCAAAAAAATATAGGTTGTACCATTTATAATTAGAAATTTACTGTCGTTTCCGCTCAAACCGTGACTACATATTATCAAAAAATGGGATATTCGGCATATATTAACCCTTTCAAATTTCAAATTGCTATCTCAATCCGTTTAAAAGTTATATAGTGTTCCAAATTCCTTGAGTCACCCGGTATATTAATTTAATAATATTAATATAATGTTAACTTCATAATATTAATCTAATATTATTTTATGATAATATATTGTTTAGTATTGTTTTACAATTTCGTCTTCCAACAAGCGCCCCCATTGTCCACATGCGCTTGTATTGCAGAGAGTTGAAGTCATCTTTTTGATACGATATTTTCCATGAATTAAAATTTGTTTTTCCATGCAGCTTTCCGAAAACTGGGAACTTTCTCATTGCCGTTTGTTTGTTCCTATTTCTGCTTAAGCTTCTTATCGATTTGAAGCCTGTATTATGTCCGTCACCTGTTAAAATTACAATTTTATGTTTGCAACGAACATATGATTATTTATTTAATTTTGGTTTCGATTTGTAGATCTAAATAAGCACAAACTATAATTTGACATCGATGAAATTAGTTTTTCCATTGAGCATTTCTTCTCTAAGGTTCTTAAAGTCAACAATCTGTTGAAATTAGAATTTCATAGGAATTAAATTAAATTATCAGACATATTATTTTAGATTTATTTTATAACGCATCATAAAACTGTGACCGACAAGCATATTGTAGAATATCGTCTTCTAACACTCGGTCACATCCTACATGAATGTGCATAGACGAGAGTTGAAGTGATTTTTTAGATTCCATAAAAATTGAACTTGCTGACGTTTCGTCAATCATCCTGTGGGCTTCCTCAGAGCTTTCAGTTTTGTAAATAGTATTGGAGTAGCCAGTGGAAGTTTCTTCGCAATAATTTCATTGTAATGCAGTTTTTCGCATTTCTTCTTTGGGCTTCTTGAATCCCGTATTGTGTCTTTGATCTCTTAAAATTACAATTTTATGATAGTCCACTTCTACCATGTATAGAAGAAAGTTGAACTGATCTTTTCTATTCGATAAAGTTTTTGTACATATAAGAACACAAATTTGAGTGTGAAGGCTTTCGGCATAGACATGGTTGATGGTATTACTAAAATATATGATTATTTTATTTGATTTGTTAACGACAACACTGCTTCTTTGGTAGACTTTTCATGAGCTTTGATTGCGTAGACCATGCAAAATAGCATTATCTTGGCACATCAATACCTTCATTCCTGTTTAAAAACCACTAATTTAAGAGGAAGCATCAGTTAGGCCTTTGTCAGGATTTCCTAGACCTATTGGAACCTATTTTACATATATTTATACGTTTGTTATCCATAAGGTATTTGAATTTGGAAAATCTATGGCCCATACAGCTGATTATCACAAATTAGGATCTACATAGCTCATCGGAGTCTAACGAAAAGCACTATACTTACTGTCTGGTGCAAAATATCTGTTTTGTCGATGAATTACATTGAGTAAACTCATAGTCGTATCGTTTACTGGTTCTTACAGAGGAGCTATTGAAAACATCCACTACTTCATACTTAATAGACATAATATACTAATAAGTTCTAATACACTTACGATATCACTTCAATTTATCAATTTATTTATGCGTGGTTTTACGTATAATTCTGTAAAAGCTTTAGTAGATTTGTTTTCTTCTGGTTCGGTGGCCACATTTCATCAGTGCGCAAAACATTGAACAACAAAAAACTTGAATTCTCTTTCTATAAGTACCATTTATCATTTATCATATTGCGTTTCCCCATCTCATTATTTTTTCTTTTATCTAGCTTAACGCCTAGCGGGTTATTGTTTTTAACTTATAAATTATGTTTCATTTCTTAAAAAACGGTATTATTGTATTATGATAATATTAATTATTATTAATTTTAGCCTGACCTTTTCGCCGTCGAAATTTACAACGGCCACATCTACATCTATCTGGACTTGGGAGGTGGACTGTCAAAACAGCGTGGTTCACGCAGGCGTATCGACGACGGAACCTGGCACGAAGTTACATTCCGGAGGACCGGAAGAGATTCCCGAATAACCGTCGACGGTTTTCACACCGATTTTAAAGCTATTGGTAAGACCACAAGTAAGTAACAGAGAAATACTACATGTTTAAATACTTTCACCACATACTCATCTTCCGCCACTATGGTTACGACAATGTTTTGAATGTTGCAGTGTTGCCGTTGTCAAAAGGGTGTCTTGGTGAGAAATGTATTTCTATGTAAACGCTAAAGAGGCTTTTGACGATTTCACAGAAAAATGTAGACGCTCGTTTTGTGATTCGAATTGCTTTTGTTTTGGTAAATTGTGCTTAATTAAACCGAGGTTAAACTTTCTTAATTTAAATACAACAGCGTGTCTCCGAAAGTTCTTATCAAATAAATTTGCAGAGGAATTGGATTTAATATTAACAAGAACCGTTAACAATAAATCAATAAAAACGCTACCAAAGAGTAAATTTTGCCTCGTCAATTAATAAAATTCTCCTGGAATATAAAATGTCGTCTTCTACTTCTCCTCGAAACCAAGCGCAGATCATGACATGCAATTCCTATATCTCCAGGTTAGAGGAAGTGCAGAAATTTTAACTTATAAATAACACGTTACTTTGAACTGAGTTATTTTTTCTTCTAATTACATTTCTGCACTACTGATTGCAACATTTTTAACTGATTTTCTTCAGTAAGTGTTCGAACATTATGTATTTTCTTGAAATTATTTTGGACAGACTATTATTCTTAAATTTAGTGACCACATCGCCGATAGTAGAGTGGCTGTTTAGGTGTGTATTCAAATTTCAGCTGCCTCCCGAAGCGTCATAATTATCGAAAACAATAAACTATTTTTTGGTCAACGAACACTTTACACATCAATATTAATATTTAAGTTTAATCTTTAAGAAACTTATTATAATTTCCAAATTAATAAATAAATATCAATAAATTCTTTCAAAATCTACTTATCACACTTATTCTCAACTACTTCGATAAGAAAGAAATTAAGCTATGGGGATGCGGTATTATACTATATACTATAGTATACTACTATACTATACACACAAACAAACTAGAAATTCTCTTTCCAATGGATCCAAACCCATGTAGGTATGCGTATTGTAGCAGCCGTCACTTGACTATCTTCTGTTATTCTATTTTTATGTTTTTTTTTTTAGAGAACCACACTGTAGTTGAAATTATAAGCAATAATTATAATCGCTACATTCACGGAAAGGTCGGTTAGTTTTGTTTTAGCTCAAGAAATGTTTTTTTTAAATACCCCAAAATGTTCAAATCTGTTAAGTCATTTTTTAATTATCTCTCCCATTATGCAAAAAGTTTTTCACAATAGACATTTTACGCATTTAGACACGCTGTATATTAAAGAATTTTAGAATTTCTCGGAACTTTCTAGACTTGTTTTACATATTTGATAATGTCCTACACCTAAATCTTACGACATATTTTGTGACGTCTGCTAAATATTGAAGTTGATTTCCTTGTTGAACTATAATGTGGTAAAAAACTAACATTTAAAATTTAAATAAGGATACCGTTATTTTTCAAATAAAAATACTCCATTCTTATGAGTTTGTCATATTAATATATTGTTATTTCGATTTATTTTTATTGGGATGCTACTCAGTATTTTGTTCTGGGGAATGCGTTAGTATAGGTACAAACAGCCAATATAGTATAATGTTTTTTTAAACAAATAAGACTTAGAAAACTTCTGAATTCCGTTTGCGCCGGTTCCAGAATCTAGTAATTTCAATATTAGAGATATTACGCGTTCCAGCACAAAATACACTTCACCATAACCTTTCAAAGACAATAAGTCCCAAAGCACCCTACACTTACCCACAGTTGTCCGTCCTTTTTTTGCCGGTTTTGGTTTATGTGGATATTGTTCACTAAAATCATAAAATGTGTTCCATTCTGTGTCCTCTTTTTGGCCCATCGATAGGAATGACAGGCCCAAATGATGTGCTTTGTTGATTTCAAAAATTACTTTTAGGTTGCTGTTAAACGATTGTGTTTTGAAATAACATTTGTCAATTATCTTCAATCAACTGTATTTTTAAGAATAATTTACTTATAAATATCTCTGAAACTGCGTAAATATGAGTAAACTATGGATAAATACCATTACATTACAAAAATATTACATATAACGAATGTAACTCAAATAACAACACAATAAATAAGCAAGAGAAGTAGCGAGAGCTGTAATACAATTTTTGTAGCAAGTGATGAAAATGCCTGCCTTGGGATATAATTCCAAGGAAGTTCCGTGTGTATACTAGTACTTGAAATGCATATCTACCATCATTGGATTAATGTAAATAACCATTACTGAATTGAAAGTCTTATTTTTAACAATTAAGTATTTACACTAACCTATTGTTTAAGTTTTTCTATACATTTAGTTCAGAAGAATGATAGCGGCAGACTAATTCCATTCAACTCATAAAAAAATTGTGTATCCATTTAAGAAAACCACTTTTAAGGATTTTTCTATTAAATTAAATTAAAACAATAGATTCTCTTCCACAAGATGATCAATATCGAATACATAAAAATAAATAAGTCAGAAACAGTATTACTTAGGCATAAAATTTTCCAAAAAGTTCAAAATTGCATTAATGTTTGGGGTGTTGTTCTATTTAAAATAAGAAAGTTGTTGCTTGTAATAAAAAATCTTGTGTCATTGGATAATAAGCGTACGTTGGAAAGAATTAAAACAAAATGTTTAAAAAACAGTATTTGAATCTATAGTTAACTTTACTCGATAGCGAAAACTTTTGGTATAAAAATAATAGTTACATCTGCCAAATTAAATTCATTTCTAAAACAAGTTGAATTTAAATTTAAATGTCAGACTAATAAAATGATATTAAAATTTAAAAATGGCGTTTCAAACTGCTATGATCGATTTTGAGTTTTAAATCTCTTAAATGCGTTTCTTCCAGAACTCTCGTAAATGTAAATGAGGTAAAGTTCGTGTAAAGTTAACGGGGAATAAAAGTATAACCGTTACCGTCAAATAGTTTTCCATGATCGCCTCGTACAAGAATAAATGCACCAGTATAAAATGCGTTAATGAACTTTTCAATGAGAATTATGTAAAATTTGAGTAATTACTAATTAATGTAGAGCATGTATAGGATCAAAAGAATTTAGTGTATGCTGAGCAACAAAGATAAATTTTAAATGTTTTGGCAAGCAGACCAGATCCTATTGACTTTGACTTTACTTAAATAACTGCTTTAGACTTAAATATTATTGGGGAACGTTAGGGACACTACGGACGGTTTCCGCAATATTTGATAACAATATAAGAAGATTTTATTTGGCATTCACAAATCTTCAGGGGGAGATTGCTGAAATACTTTGCTTGAAAATGGCGGAAAATTGATAGGATAATAAATAATATAAATAATAAATAATAAAACATGTTTCTAAATGAGTATAGGGACATATAAGAAATATTTTTTTATGTCTTATTTAGAAAAATTTTAGATTTATCATAAAATGTAAAGCATTGCTTGCCGAGAAAACAAATACTTTGCAAAAATTATTTACAACATTTACAAAAATTACATTTTAAACATAATTTATTATTAAACTTGCGAATTTGACCACAACCTTCAGAGGAGTTTCCATGCTTCTACATAAAATGCATACTTGCCATTTTTGCATTAGTGTAATTTACCGTTACTGAGTTAAAACTCCTTTTATTGAATAATCGAATTATCAATACATAAATTTTTGATTAGAATAAGTTTTTATAATAGAATTTTTGTTTGCAAGACAACAAATAAGTACCTGACTTTTTCGCCCTATTTATAGTGCGATATCTCCCAAATGGTTGGTTTATGACCTAACGTTTATATGAAAAACTACCCATTATTTTAAACAAGGAACTACCCCCTTAAGTTTTACTCAGAATTAGCCTTTCTAAAGGTATGTAACATTTCAGCTAATCTGAGACTAACCAAAGGTCCTATTTAAACTATAAATAAGCATTGTGTTCAAAATAAATCCTGTAGGTCCTCTGTATTATATATCGCTTAATTATGTAGGAAAAGTCTACCTCTACTAACTGACGGCAAAGAACTCAAATTAAGACAGGTGTATTTACGAGGGTCGTTCGGCTATTATTGTCACTACGCCTATCATGATTTGAATTGCTGATAATACCAATAAAATTTATCGTTACAAATTGAAATTACATGAAAGGAAGATGGACATTATAATCCCTGAATAGAAGACGGCCATCTCAATTTTTCTCTCTGTCTCCTCCTATAGATGTCAGCAGGCCTTTCACTTGACATAGAACAGACTTGGTTAGTTTTGGAGACAATAAATGTAGTGTAATAAATTTAACATTGAAAATGCCTTGTTTAAATTAGATTTTAAATTAGATTATACTCTTCCATTATGGAATAATATGGCAACAGATATGGAGGTGGATTGATTTTAAGAAAATGTTGGAAATAAATTTTTAAAAGTTAAGCAGATATCAGAATTTAACAGTATTAATTTGAGACAAAGGGAGAAGTAAATTTAAATCTGAGTATCGTCAGCGTAAAAAAGATATTGACAATATTAAAAACAAGTCAGAACCGCGATAAGACATACATTGATTTTAAGTTGTTAATTTAGAAGGAGAATTGAAAGTCAGTCGCAAATAGCTCTGCCAGAAAGGTTTACCACCTTAAGTATGAATGTCAGATGGTGGGAACTTAAACTTGACTGAGAGATCTCTGAACGAGGAAACTGGACACCTCTTCGAAAGTTTGATGCTGGTATTAACTAGGTCGGAAAACAAAAAAAAACTTTTTCTGGACCCTTTTATTCAATGTAGGGAACGATAATATCCGAACGTGCCTCATTTCAAACCGGTTTTCCATCGCATTTTATTTATGTTTTATTGTTGTTTGTTTGCAGAGGGATCGACGACATTAGAACTGGAAAGCAATTTATACGTGGGAGGATTAGGACCCCCGTTTTCCGAAATACCCGTCTCTCCCGGTCTCTGGACCGCCGTCCTGCAGCAGGGTTTCGTCGGATGTTTCAAGGACCTCGTTATGAATAATGAACCCGTCGATGTTGCGAGTTTTGCGCGTGACCAAGATTCCGGTGAGTAAATTTTCCGCCCTCCCGCTTTCGATTGAATTTGTGCATACGTTGTAGGGCTCGAACAGATACCTACCAAAACCAACCTTTTATATTTCGGGATTTGTAATAAAAACCTACAAGCTACTAATGAATATCACTTTATTGTTTCTCAAAATGTTCACCCTGATGATCAATACACTTTTGCATTCGATAAAGCCAATCATCGAAGCACTTTTCCCACATCGAGTCGGGCACCTAAAAAACGCATCAATCGCTTTTTCTGGTGTCAAAAATCGTGCGCAATGTAATTTATTCTTAATGTATGGGAATAAAAGGCAATCATTAGGTGCTAAATCAGAACTACATTGTAGATAGCTCATTCAATCGACGTTTGTGTGGAATCCAACGCTAACATTTTTTTTAGCTGCCAAATGTTCATGCAAAATTGTATGTATGCTGGTCCCACTAATGCCCAAAGATACCGGAATCTCATGGTAAGTCACATGACGATCCTGCAAAATCTTGGACAACTACCACCTTCACAAAATTCATCCTTAAGAAAACTACGACCACGACTGAAGTCTGAAAACCAATGATAAACAGTAGTCCTAGATGGTGCTTTAACTCCAAAAGTCGAATTAAGTTCATCGATGCATTATTGTTGAGTTAGTCCACCTCTAAAGTTGAAAAAAATATTGCTTCCGATTAAGTTCCATTTTTAACAATCACTTTTTTTTTAATTTATCGCAAAAAACACAAACGACACCCTTTCGCCAAAACATAACTGAGTAAACCTAACTTCAAAATGTCAAACTTCCCTATAAAAATGTTGGTCGCCAGATGACAGGACTAGTTTAAGAAAATCCCGAAATATTTCCATTTTGTAAATAGAGCAGGAGAACGTACTAAATAAATTTCACCGAAATGTACCGTAATCCGGTCAAATTAGGCTTAAAGGAGTAATCGAATCATAAAATATCCAACAAATATTTAAAACATAAACTGTAGATCATAAAAATGAACTAACCAAAACTTTTAGTTTCCTCGGTAGTATAACTCACTATCTATCTCTCTATTTGCTTCACGATGATTATAAATATTGATATAGGTTATTGCTAGAAAGTGTACATCTGATTTTTGGGAAATGTTTTTATCTTCTTCTTATCTATCTTTAAGTCCTCTTCAGCAACGACGTAATCTTCTGTTTCTTCTGCTTGCTGGTTGTTCATAATGTGTATTGAACATTCGAGCAAGAACTTGTAACACTAAAAATATAAGCTACCCCTAAGAAAAGAAAAAGAATTACTTTTGTAAATAGTTTGATGTTCGACAATTTACGTTGTGGAAAAATACTATACATACTTCATTATGATTATTGACACTAATAATTAATTAATTCTTATTTTATGCTCCCATTTTAATCTGATTCGGGACTCAAAGACGACTTCATTTTTATTCTTGATAGATTTTAATAAATTGTTCAAATCAAACTGAATAAATCGTTTCTCCATCCACATATTTATCCGTTGGATTCAAATATTCGAGCAAGGATCTCCAAGACCAATTCTATTTTGTGTAAGTCTTGATGTTCTTGATGTCTCCTAATCTTTCTTCCAGAATGTTCTTAAATTGTTCAAATGAAGTATTTTCATCGATATCACATTAATCTTCATCTGTTGGATTTAACTGAATATTCGAGAACGTCTATGACTAAAAGTTATTCATTTAAGTCAATCGCAATAACCTAAGGTTTATGAGCTTTGTCTAAACTAAACTAAAACTTTGTAAAAACTATGTTGATGACCCCGTTATACTCGGCGACCCTCAAACTGACACCAACATCATTTTTTCCTTTAAGCTGAGTGCTCCAATAACCCCAAGAGCTGCTATTTTCCAAATAACAATCCTGTTGAAGTAGTTAATCATCGGACATACTCTTCTTCTTCTTATTCTTCCTTTTTTAAAGAATTATCAGAATCTTCCGTAACCAGAGCCCTACATTTATCTTCTGGAAAACAAAGAATACGGGTTTTTAATAATACCATTGTCATTTGTTTTTCCAGTATCATTGCTAACTTTGTGGTATAACTTATTTGAAACTCACTATACTTAAAATTGCCTTGAAGGTGTGGGATTTTGAAAGGTTCAGATAGAAAACGAATGCTAGAGATGTCGGAAGGGAAATATATAAGCTATATAATATATAAGATATTAGATGCACTGATGAAAGGTGGAACGAAGTGATCGTAGAATGGATCATAGGATGGGAATGGATGGAGAAGAACAGAGACAATTAGGCGAGGCCTATGTTCAATATTGTACAGAAGAGGCTGAATAGATAGAGCGTAGATGAGACGCCTGACTTTTTCTTCCAAAATCTTGGTCTGAGCATTCTAAAGCGCACTTCATTAAACACAAAGAAATCTGTTTTCAGGCCGATCTTGACTTTGCTCGAAATTCTTACTACACGATATCTTAAAACAGTTCAACTATTAGTGACTGTTTTCCAAAATACCTTAGCTCTAATTTACCATTCCACATAATCATGATTGTGGCTCAACTTGAATTAATAAAATAATTGCCTGCTTAAGGATTTTCAGGAAAATATTTCACTAATCAGGTTATACCTTTATTACTATTATTATTATCAATTTTTTTTTACGGTTGCATTAAGTATGCGTTACCCTTTAGAGATCCTTTTTATTGGAATGCTTCCATTTTACATAATTTACTAGCAAAAATAAAACTAAAAACTATTTTTGTAGCTAATGCAATAATAAATAATGTAATGTTTTCTTCTATTTCTTCCCTGCATTGATATAATACGAGCCTTTATTTGTTGGATTCAATTGAAGAAAAAACAAATAAATGTCATCTTAAATTTGGTTGTTTTAAATATACCTACAAATACCTCTGTTTTCTAAAATATTCCTAGCGAGGTGTATTCAATTTCGGGTCATTTTGCTTATCGGTTGGAACCCCAAAGCATAGCGTCGTATGCAGTCGTGGCACAATTTTAACCACTAAACACTCTTTCTCCTGCGATTTTCGACTCTGACTTCGCGTGAATCGCTATAGCAAAAAAAAGCTTGATCGAAAACAATTTCATCATAAAAACTCCCCCTGCGGGGTTAAATATAAATAAAAGCTAAAGCAAATGATTAATGGTAGACGTAATTTGGAACACGTAACGGTTTTAACCGATGGCATATATCGATATTAATAAAGTTAACACGCGGTTTGAATAATTGCTCTATAATTTACACAGGGTGGTCCGAAGTGGATAAAACGTCTTCTTTGAGAATATTTCGAAGAACGGTTTTGAAACATGTTATTTAAAAAATAAAAGAGAAAAAGAAACATTTAAAATAATTCCTTGTCAACGATGTACATCATACATGCCATTTTAAGAAGCTTTAAATATATATTGCGTTTTATAAGGGTCAATAATTTTAATAAGAAAATTTCGTACGTCTTAACTTTTAAGGTACAGAGTGGTAAAGTTTTCAATAATAAAATATATTTTTTTAATTTCTGTAATATCACTTACCTGTATATTTTCGCAAACATTTATGGTACGCCACTGATTTCTCTTAAAAGAGAAATTATTGTTACAATCTCCAATTATATCTCGAGAAATTTAATTTTTTCTTTTTTTTTTTAATTTCGATGTGCGGTTTTCGCCTAAAACAATAACAATATCGTTAACATGACACCATGCAGAGAAAATTGTTTTTGTTTTTAAGTGAAAACCGGACGACAGACTAAAAAAAAATTAGAGATCAAATCTGGTCATAAATGAATGCAAATGTCTTTATAGTTAGTAGCAGTAAAGAAATACTTTGGTTAATTGGGTCGCCACTGCACTGACTAAATCGAAAACTATTTCTGTGAAGAATAAAACATAATTTTTTTTACCAACTAGTAATTCCTTCAGAAAAAAAATTTAAAGGACTGTTCTTTATACTTTTACCGTTTCAATGCAAAAATACAATTTCTTAACAACAAGATAAATAATAAACAATTCTTATTTGTTTACGTACTTCGCACTCATACTTCGATTTTTTTAAGTATTTTAATAAAACAGATATTACTTACTTAATAACAATTCTCTGTTTGCCATTTATTCCCAGCTGATAATTTAATATTCATTTGCATTTTTTTACTACTAATTACGTAAAGATTCTGTCCGAAACCGCCATCTGGTGACGAAAATAAGAACGTAATGTATTTAAAAAACTGTCACTTTCTAGCAAGTGCTTTTAGTTAAATTTTATTTCGTTGTGTAGTTACAAATGATTACGATGTAAAATAATTTTCTTAAAGTTTATTTTTATTTGTGTTTACACTTACTTGCTCTTTTTTATTTTTATTTTTTCTTTGCTTAGAACTTAGAACAAAAAAGAAAGAAATACAATAGAAAATAAAAACGATTTTGAGGAATCAAATTGTACAATATTTCGGTAGATCTGGAGTGGTAACAAACTATCTAAAAGGTTTAAACTTATACTCCTCTAAAAATAAAATCCCTGTTTTTGAATCAAATGAAGCTTTTTACCATATCGTCCAGTTCATTCGGAGAAATATAATTACTAGTTATTATGTTCAGTGCGATACTTCTTATGTATGAAAAAAACATTGGAAAAAAAACGCCATTAAAGTCTTACTTATTTCCTTCCTTCCTTATTTACTTACCTGCTTATTTACTTATTTGCTTACTTACTCATTTACTTACTTACTTATTTACTTGCTTAATATTCCAATTAGTGAAAGCATCACCCTTACTCGAACAATCATTTTGTATTCTTTCAACTAATTAAAAGTATTTAATCTATCTTCAAGGAATATTCGAAAGAAATCTAGATTAATTGTATATCATACATTCCCATTACTGCTCGTTCTAGGTCGACCCATAAATTCAGAACGATCTCCAAGACGTTGGCAACAATTCCCCGGACATTTCGACGTCTCTCCAGAAATTCATCGTCGCTTTCGTGCCGCAACAAGTCATTGCAATCACTTTATTAAGTTTGCGAGAAAAATGGCGGTTTGTTTGATTGTTTGTTTAGCTCTGCTTCTCGACGTCGTCGTCATCTCGCTCACACGCCCCGATTCAAAAGCGGGTAGAAACTCAAAGGGCGGGTCTGGAATACCCACCCCATTACCGAGGCGTTTGCCTTATTGTTCATAATAACTTCCTTGCAGCGTTTAGAGCCGAATATTGTATTTCTCCGCGAAGCGTCTTTTGTTCCCCCATTTTTGCATATCATTTAAGGTAATGGAGAAGTCAAATTTAATACCGCTCTCTGTGGTAGAAAGTTTACTGTGACCAAAACCATTATGATTGTCTGTGTGGTTTTGTCAAATAGTTGCCGATTTCAATTGGAAGAAAGGGAGGTGTTAAGTTTATACCTGAAAGTTTAAAACAGAAACAGAAAGTGAGGTTTTAGGCAGGTTCGATACAGTTTTTGGGACAATATGATGCCAAAAAGCCAATTTTTGGATTGATATCTGTTCGAAATCAAGATGAAAAACAAACTATTTGTCCAAGAAAAAGACTAATAAGGATACCTTTCCTTGCCGATTTCGATCAGTTTCGAGTCGGATTTTTATCTTACTTATTTTATCGAAATCTACATTAAATCCACAGATGTATCTTTAAAGTCCCTCTTTTTGGAACAAATGATTGGTTAGTTTTGGCTTTTCTGCCACATTTAGCTGTGAAACGGCATCTAAACTGCAAATATCAGCTTAAAAAATCAATCAATCAAATAGTTGCCTGCCTTTATAGATTTCAGTCAAAATCATCTCCTTCGCCACTTATTTTACCAAAATCTATATTTATGCTTCAGATATTAACTTGGAAATCCTTTTTCTGGGACAATTTGTTTATTTTTATTCTCGATTTCCAACAAATTTGAGTCGAAATTTGCTTGTCCGGGACATATTGCAACTAAAACGGTATCAAAAATGCAGATACCAGCTTAAAATCTTATTTTTCTGTGTGATTTCGAACTGGTTTAAAATCGTATGCTAATAATTCTTCTATGCTAGAAACATTAGTCCATAAGATATAATTTAAGGGTACACTTGAAGTGCTGAAGATTAGGGCTCTTAATTTTATCTGGGAGACAATTAAAAATGTTAAATTAAAATAATATTTCAAATAATTAATTGGAAGCTGTAATTATAAAGATTTGCCGTAAATGGTGAGTTATCTTTTGTGATAAAAAAAATCCATAAGTGATTGAAGCAAGCATGGGTGACAGCAGCTGCCTTGACGGAAAAAAGGCCGACAAGACTCGGGATGGTATAGCAGCTCTCTTTTGGATTATCCCCGGTCAATTTTTAATGTAACACATTTTTTATATAGCAAAGGTGACATTTTTTTGTTGATAGAAGCGATGATTCGTTGGAATGATCATCAAGGGTTGGTTTTTTTGTTTTTAAAAGAGGTCTGTTAGCCGCGAACCACTCTCGAGCCTGTAGTAAAGTTTAACGATATGACGTAAGAGCTACTTCTTGGGTGAAATTTTGATTGTATTAATCGAGGAAAAACATAAATGAGCCATGAAAATGATAAACGGTCCCAGAATAGAACGTTATGTTCATTTTCAGGTTCAATCCGCACACTATGCCATACTCAACCTCAACAGTGTCCGTCGCAGCCCTGCCTGAACGGCGGAACTTGCATGGAAGGCTGGAATCGGTTCATTTGCGATTGCACTAATACCATGTTCAGCGGCCCGACGTGTGGAAAAGAAGCAGCCACGCTCAGGTAAGTTTCGATGTTCAAGTGCCTGAATTAAATACCTTCATACAGCCAATGTAAAATGGGGTGGAGCGCCATGTAATTAGTTACTATTGGAGAAATTGCAAATACGTTTCCCCATTAAGCGATCCGTTAAAGAAATTCTAAACTTCCCAAACTGTAGAGCAAACAATTCTTTCCTGAGCAGCAAGTTTTCTCATACTCGTTGACGAGTCTGCCGCCACATTTTGAAGTATTCTTTCTTTTCTTCTAGCGGTTTTTTATTCCTTGGCCTCCCTTGATTCATGTTATCAGAATTGAATGATTTTCGCGATATTCAGTGTTTAAATATTCCTGATGAGCCATCACAGTAGCGGCTGAATAATAAGCTCTTTTAATAAAAACTAATTTTTACCGGATTGTGAGAATCACTTTTTCAACAAACAAAGAAGTAAAAATTAACAACAATATGGCGACCTACTGTTCGAACTGGTGTTTATTTAGGCTGGAGCACATTCCGAATGCCTATGCAGTTTCGTCCAGTATTTCGCTCGCTATCCCGGATATTCCGGATCGACTTCCATGCAAACATTTTTCAAATTTTTTGTTCGATCGGTTCGACATCCGATTCGATAAATTTGCATTAACTTTTAACGGGGCGCGTGTAGAGCTAGCTATCTTTAGGTTTTCGATTCCGATCTTTTTCGCCCATTCATTTTGTTTGCGTATTCAGTTTGAGGCGGCGTTACAATGGAGAAAACGGAGTCAGTCGCGCGTGGAAATATTTTTAATATACCGCTGGCGAATTTAAAACGGGAGCGTCCCAAGGAAACAACGACGTGATATTTGAATAACGCCGAGTAAAGCCGTTTTGATGGAATACCGAAGATATACGGCGTCGTACCTGACACAGGATAAACACTACACTGAAACTACGAAAGGATTGTGTCTAAAATTTTAAGGGAAACGCGGGACGAAAACTAGCAGATGATCTGAGATTAATTTATAGTATAGTGTTTTCGCAGATAAATGGTTTTGACCTAATGACTGGAATAAAAGAGAGTGTGTGTAATACGCCGGGCGAAAATGATTAGTATAGCAGTATTTTATTTCGTTTTTTAATATGAGAAAACAATAAAAACAAGATTGCTTTCCAAAATTGTCGTTGAGCGGGGAAAATTCGGAGAGTGTGGCGAGGACCAGATTTTAATTTCAAAAGAAAGCCAATTCGGGGATGTTGTTATTGCTTGCATTGCTTTTCTGTCGTGCTCCTGCGGACCACTATGGCACTTTCGCAAAACCAATGTCATTTTATTGTGTATAAAGTATCCTTCACATCTCTTCGAACTTCAAAGTTACGGCAAACTTCGGTAAATATTAAAATTTGTACAAATAAAAGCGTTATCGATTGATATTTTTCCAAATATCTCGCACGCCCTGTATAATTGACAAAACTTGAAACTCTCTCTCGATACAGTTTACGATACTGCTCAGATCAAATTGTCCCATCATTAGCAGTTTTTCATTTATCGCCAATACTTTACCCACAAAACGGAAATTTAAAGGAACTTTTAGATTTTTTTAGATAATCGACACACCTTGTATATAATTCAATGTTCGAAATAGGGGTGATAGCCCTGGATCTCCCACGTCTCCTGGCGTATGATTTTTTCCATAGAATAAGTGATTTTCAAGAAAATACTTGTTTTCTGAAACCATACAGTACGCCGTAATAATCAATGATTAAATTTTCGAAATTTTGAAAAAATACTTCGCGACATTTGACTGCAGCCAACTTATAAAGTTTAAACATAAACTTGTCAAATCAGAAGTCGATAGCTGCAAATTCTAGATACCTACTAAATTTTATATTAGAGCACGAAATATCGTGAACCCCCGTACAATACATGGATACGTTAATTAAGAAACTGCCCACTGAAACACAGCCTTCTAGTAATAACCAATTGTTTTTAAAGGAATAACCCAGTTTCTTTCCAAATTGAAGACGCACTTTGTAAATGTTTACAAAATCTCGTCCCTCTTTTCGTTCAAAATTTTTTTCGATATTTTTCATCGAAGTTTCAATAGGTCCCGTTAGGAAACTAAATTCTATACCTATGCCAAGTTTGAACTAGACAACTTTAAATTTCGGAAACTGTTCGTGTTTCATAGCGATGTACGAAAATCTGCAAAAAAAAGATGGAGGCCAAATTTGGATATCCTAGTTAATACCGATACTTTCGCAAAATCGATGTAATTTTATTGTGCGTGTATATATTTTAACCAAATTATCCCATGTTTTATTGTTTTTCATGGACTGCTAATCATTTACCAACGAAAACGGCCATTTTCAGGTTCTTTTGTCCATAATCGACACACTTTGTATCTGAAGAAAATGCCGGAAATAGAGTTTATAGCCCTCGATCTCCCACGTTTCCTGGTCCAAGAATTTTTCCAACAGAGTAAATGGTTTTCAAAAAGACGTTTTTTCTGAAACCATGCAGTACGTTGCAATAGTAAATAACGTCATCGCATCTAGATAGAGTGCAAGAAATAACGATGTCACAGGGACTTTTTTAAATATCTCAAGAAACGTGTGTGTTGGGCGAAAACCATAAATACGAAACACTGTTTGAACCGAATTTATTTATTCCCAAAAAAAAAGCAATTTGTTATTATCTTTTTGATTTTTGTCTACAACTAAAACACGCCGTATATAATCGAAAAATTAATGAAACAAAAGTTATAGTCATGGATGAAAATAACGAAAAAAAAATATATTTTTTTTTAAATACTTGCTGATATTTGATTCCACCCAACTTCTATTGTTTGGATGTGGGTAGGGACTTTTAATTGTTTGCTAAATTTGAAGTCGATATCTGCAAATTTAGGACACTTGATATATTTCTTATATAACACGGAGTATCGGGAACACCCTGTACAATAGGTGAAAACCTTAAATACAAATGGTTTAGCTGTCTGTATGGGCTATATCATAATGTAAAAGAAACTGACATATAAAACATAGTATTTCTGATATAGCCAATTTTCAATAATAGCATGACCCATTTTACAATTTTTTTGAATTTACGGCGCACCCTGTACGTTTTTGACAAATTGTCGGGAACAAAAGCTTACGGAGCCGAATTTTTTCAATATAATTTCCGATGCCCTCAATTTCAATAAGTTCCGACGAGGAATCAAACTTCATATGTGTGCCAAATTTTAAATCGCTTCAAATTTCGGATACTTATCGTGTTTCATGGCAATGTCGAAGAAAGGATGGCCGCCATTATCCGATAGCCGCCGTTTTCAAATATCTTGTGCACCTAGTGGACTGTAGAAAAAGAGCAAAATTTGAAGATAAAACATTTTTTAAATGTTTTATTTTTTTTTGTAGCTCAGATACACAATGGGGGTTATTTTTTAAACCCACTTGTTTTTCAAGTTTCCTCACACATGAACGGTTAAACGAAATGAACAAAGTAGATATTGAAAACCAGTGTGAATTATTGAGTTTTCCAAGTGGACGAGCTGTAACAAATTCCGATTTATTATTTTGACAATTTGATTGGGGAATTAAAAAAAAAAACAAAACTACAATGAATGAACTTTTTGAACTACGGTCTACAATAACTCAGGCTTGGTTCCGACGGACACATTTGAAAATCTGGTCTTTTTATCCAGCTTTCGAATATCTTGTAATATACGGACTAATAGCTACGTAGTCGGACGGCCATCCCCTTTGATTTTTTCACAGCTTAACCAATAAAAATCAGGCGCGTCATCCGTCAGAAAAACGGTCTGGGATAAAACGGGAAGCGAAAGGGATTTCCAACAGGATTTTCCTTTTGGCGGATAAGTTTTTATTCGTTAGCGCGCCGCCCCCAACCCCCTTTTCGTTTTTTATTAACGGCAATTTATTCTCCCGCCCTACCTACCACTTATGTATTCAGTTTCAACGGATCGCAACACATGGCCGTAACAATGGATTCGGAAATGGTAACGCAAACGGAAGATATTATATTGAGATTCAGGACGAGTAAGCCCTTGGGATTGTTGCTGATCTCGTCTACGGCCGACACGGGCGATAGGATCGAGTTGGCCGTGGCCGCGGGTCGAATCAGACTCGCCCTGCGATTGGACGTCAAGGAGCGGAAAAAAGAGGACCGGGAAAAGGATAAGGTGAGTGATGCTGCGCTAAAATGATATGCCGGCCTAGATCGTTATGCGGTATTTGCGGATTATTTCACCCGTCATGTTTTCTGATTTATTCTATTTCTACCCGAGTAGCACATAAGTTTTGTTATTCGACTAAGTAGTTATACGAGGTGTGTTCAAAAAGTTAAGGTTTTAAAGTTTTATCAAGAAGTATTTAGTCATTCGTCAAAATTAATGTTGTCCCCTTTAAAGTAATCCTACTCCGGATGTAATACACTTGTGCCAATGTGTTTTCCACTAGTAGCGATTTTTTATTTTTCTCCTAGCTAGAGCTTGGAACTTATGACAAAGAAAGTGCCAATGTAGAACTTGCGGATTCAAGTGACGAAGAAAATACCACAGAGCTGTCCGGAAGCAGTAAAAATATTAAGGCGAATGAACGCACGACTTCCTGTTATATTAGTCATTTTCCAAATACTAATCTTCAATAACTTTATTTCCGTTTTTTAGAAACATAAAAATAATTCTTTTCGTCGTTCTCACAAAATGAAGACGCCATTGCTAAGTTGTTAAAGTCCCATACAACCCAGACTGTTTTAAAATGAAACGTTGCTATGCTGCTATGAAATTATTTTATGTTTTCCGTAATGCTGTTTATAGCGCGTTTGTGGTACTTGGGTATGGTCTATTTCGGACACACGTAGAGTAGAATAATTACTCTCAGACTACTTAAACCACTTTCATTGCAAAAGTCTTTAAGTTTGTCGGGTTTGGTTTAATTTACGGGTGAAAATGATGTGCCAAGTCAGTCCCGAATTCTAATAGATTTTTTAAGTTGAATCCTGTTGCGTAAAGGATATAATTTTGAACATAACGGTCGTACTTAAAAAAAAAGTTCTGCACGTTTTATTTGATTGCACTCTTTATTACAAAAAATAGTAAACTTAATAAAACTGCTCAAATTGCCATTTTGCGTTAAATTTTCAAATTTTTTTTTGAAGGTTTGCGAAGATAAATGTTAGTTTTAGAATCTAGAATTCAGTGGAAAAATCTTCTCGATTCCTTCTTCGTCGGTTGTTGATAAATCCAACTTGCAGTTTCAGTTACACTCTGAAGAAGCCAGCAGGTAGATTGACGAAATGTTCGCAAATTCGATTTATTAACAATTTACGTTGAAGGAATATAGAAAATTTGCAAATGATACTAAATAGCTTTGAATAATTTACACTTCTTTATTCGCTTCCTTGAGATTCTAAAATGTATTTTAAAAAATAGCATTCTTGATTTTATTATCGTAGTTATCCATACAACATTTTTATAGCCTACTCTATTTTTTTTCAACAATTCATACACTAAATCTGTGTACTAGTACGTAGTTACTTGGAAAGGTATCTAAAAAGTGGCTAAAATGCGCAATGAAATGTTTAAAACTATATAGGGTGTTCTACGTAAAAGTAAAGATAGAGATAAATATAAAGAAAGATTCCGTAACTGTAGTGGCATATTTTTTTCAATATTTTCTTCTTGTACCTCAAAAACAAACCGGATCAAAAAAATTATTTTCTTGTGATAATAATTAATCACGTTAGATTGCGAGTTTTTGAAAAATTTATACTAGCCTCGTTTAGGTATAACGGTTCTGTATAACTATTTCAGATTTTACTTGCTGGTCAAAATGTCAACGACAACGAGTGGCATACCGTCAGATTTTCGAGACGTGGTGCCAACCTGAAGCTGCAATTGGATAACCAGTCACCGATCCGAGGTTAGATACATAGATCGAAAGATATTTATTTCGCTTTTCGATACTGCATATAACACATATATGGGTATATTAAGCACGTCACATCACATTAGAATACAATGTTTAAACAATACATTTAAAAAAAATCATCTACTGAATAACATGAATAGCACGTTTTTTTTTGCTAAGAAGACCCGGTGTGCAAAAGTGGCTAGACCCCAATAGATTATACCGTAATTTATCACTGATTGAAACAGCCCATAGTACACCAGCTCTAAAACTTCAGTGGTTATCGCGACACCATTCATTCACCCTCTTGACCCATGGTTCTGCGGCCACTTTTAGATTAGCTCTGTTATTATATATTATATATTATACAGTGCAAATAATGCATCTGTATTATCCTGATTAAGATCGTTAATAAAACCCTTAAACCCTTGCGTCCATATTTTCCAGTTTTTTTAAGAGCGGGCTATGATCGACAGTGTCGAATGCGCGGCTCAAATAAAAAAATAAGCCTAGTGTTATTATTAAGGCTGTCGTAGATATGCTGCAGAGCATAGTCCAGAGCTGTACTTGTGGAGCGGTTGGCTCTGAATCCATTCTGAGCATTAGACATCAAAAAATATTTTTCAAGGAACCTCAGCAATCTGTCATTATGACATTGACGAGCTACCGGGCGGTAGTTCTCTATGTTGGACTTATTGCCTTGTTTTTTAAAAATATGTACGATTTTTGAGGTTTTTAAGGCCTGTGGATACTTGCCCTGAAGGAAGCTTAAATAGACTAAATATGATAGAATAGGAGCTAAAATATCTTTAATGGAAATCAAAAACCGATTCCAGATGATTTCTTACGGCACATTTTTCCAATTACTTGTTTTATATCTATTGTTGTAGTAGGGTAGAGAAGCTTAGAGCTTGAGTGTATTTAGATATTGGGCGTTAGATTTTCAGGCTGCTTGTTATTATTAGCAAAATCAGCAAAAAAGTTTCACAGATTTTGTATCCGTCTTGAAGTGTTTCACCACCAACGGTTATGTTATGTTAGTTAGAAGAGGATTTACTTTTATGGTTACTTTTATGGTTGCTATTTTCCCCGACTATTGCCCAACTTTCATTACTTATGTTATCAGATTTCATTAACCTTAAATTGTGGTGAGTTTTCTTTGCGTGTTTAAGTTTTTTGTTGTAATAGAATTTTAGTTCTATGTATTTTTTATTATATAGATCATTTTTCATTCTTTTATTCATTTGATGCATCTCATGTACCGCAGCTCTCTTAATTCTCTATTAAACCAATTGGTTTTTTTCCTGTACAATTCTTTTCCTTTTTTTGTAAATGGAAAACTTGACATAAATATTTGTTTTAGTTTTTCGTAAAAAGTGTTACAATTTTTATCTAAGTCGTCGGATTGAATATTGTGTCGGATACTAAATTTATAAAAGAATTTACGTTATTTTCGCAAAACTTTCTGAGAAGGCGTTCTGTACAATTATTATGATAGAACTCAAAAATGAAGAGCTGAAACGCGTGATCAGAAGCACGTGTCTACAACCAAGCTTTCTAGACCGGTAAAGTCGAGGAAAATATTGTAAGTATATTTTTTAGTATTTTAGGTTGTCTGTTGTTTTCAAGCAAGTTGAAGTTAATGTCGCCGGTTCGTATGCAGCTTCTAACATTATTGAGAGTTTCTCTACAAATGCTTCGAAGTCTCGCTTTGGAGATCGGTATGCAGAGAAAATTATGATACATTCCTTGTTAAGCTATAATTTTATTGAACACATTTCAAAAGTTTTTTCTTCAGAGCTATTAAATGGAATTTTTGAAAAATGTAAACTTTCTCGACCCAAGATACAGATTCGCCCTTCACTGCAACTAGTTCTCCAAAAATAACTAAGAACCTTATAATCTAGAAGTTTAAAAAAATTAATGTTATGATGCTCTGAGATACACAGCACATTGACGTCGTGGTTATTTATTATTGATTCGAGGGCTTCTTTTTTGTTTGTGAGACCCCCTTGAATATTAAGCTTCATAACTACGAATTCGTTAGGTGTCTCACCGTCTGGTTTAAAAAATCCTCATTTTAGTTATTACTATTACCATTCATCAGTTGGTACACAAATATCGCACCTACCTGGACACCCGAAAAGCTCCTAATATTTGAGACATCAGGTGCTTTGTAATTTTGATATTTTCAATTTGGCCTCCAAATTTGGATAATAACGGATAATTGCAAAAAAAAGGAACAAAATACAGCGTTAAGTTTTATTTTAGAAATTATAGACTTTAGTTTTCCTCGAACATAATTTTTCTTCCCAATTTTCCTGCCTAAATTTTCTCTTGTGGTCTTCTACCTACATTATTATAATTGCTCTTTGCGAAAAGCAACAAAATCGCAAATGGAATATACGGACGCTTCAAGCTTTAATAAAAGCGGAGCAAGTTTTCTGGATGGAAAAACTTATTCGATATATTTGAAACTTGTCCAATGAAGGAGCCAGACTTTGCAGGGGACGATATTTATACTTTATTTGGTTAATGCCATGTTAACCTCTCTTTATCTTTATTTATTTGCAAAGTTATTGGTTACTACTACCTGATACTGCTACTACAAAAAAATAGTCTATATGTGTGCTTCTTTTGCGAAATTATTCGGGACGGGGGATAGGTAATAATTCTTCCAACATGGCACGTCCTCCTTATTTCCCAGACTTGTACTCTATGAAAAAACTCACGAAAAAATGCGATAGGTTTTTGTGACATATTTAATATAACTTATTTAGGACATATTTATTACCTCTCGAGTATGTAAAATTACATTAAAACAAAGGAAAATCTGGAAAATATTACATAATTATAATACGCTTGTGTGGAAGGAAATGGTTCCAACTTTGAGCACTGAATCATAATTTTAGCTACTTAATCATGCCCAAAATCTTTTTTTTACCTGAAAACGGAAAAGTCAAATCAGAAATATTTTATTTTAGGAAAAAGTAATACAGACATGGCTGGCGTCTTTTTAAAAAATATTTCCTGTCAAAAGTTCAATGAAATATTTAGAGGGGTTTGAAAATTATACTATCCTACGTCCATACTCTCTTTCGTCCTTAACCTGCCGCATGACAACGGGTTTGTTTCCTCGACAATCTACGAAATAAAAGCGTTTTAAGGCCCGGCAAATGTCCGAGTCCGTAGAGTTATTACCTTCGAAATGACACATTAAGTAGAATCGATTATAACCTTCCAGACCTTTTTATTTTTTAATGGAGACATAAAATGTTTTAAATTCTGCAGCAGATTTTATTCGGTCCCAAGCTGCTGCTTTTTTTTTATTTGATTTGGAAAACGATATTTAGGCGAGACTTATTAGTGTCTCAATTTAATGTTGATTTAATGACATTAAACAATTAACAGCACTTTTTTTAAGGTAAAGTATAGTACCCACAGCTTTTTCCTAAATGTTGTAGAGTATCAAAAATTATCACAAAGACTATTTCTCGCATCAAAAAGAAATACAAAGAAAAAAAACTAAAGACCATTCAAATTCTTATCAAATCTTTCAAACATTTGATTTTGACATTAATTGTTCCTGGATAAGCAACTAAATTTTATTTTTATATCATTTTTTTCAAAGCAAATTGGGTACAAAAAAGACAAAGTACCTAATTGTTTTCCATATTTTAAACATTCAATGCCAGCTTTATTTGCAGACGACTTAAAAGTAAGAAAAAAAATCCGTTCCACTGAAGACTTTGGTAACTACAGACCAGTAGTTCTTATTTATAAGTAGTGGTTAGTTTTATCTTTGTTTCCATGTAAATCTATATTCTAATTAGCTGAAATTGTCAGTCGAATTTATCATGTCAAGAAAAATATTCTGCGTCCGTATTCTGTATATGTTCTGAATCAATTTGAATAAATTTTGCACCCTTATCGTTTAAGGTACATGGGATCACGTTCTTCGCCGATTCTACCTCATAGTTACAATATTTTCCAATTCCACGAAGAATTTTAATTTTTTTAAATAATTTTCAGCGGAAATTCAAGGAAAGTACACGACTCTCCAATGGAGAACCATCCACATAGGCGGATTGTATCACGCAGAGGAGGAAATAAGCATGACGACTACAGTTCCGAATTTTATAGGCGAAATTCAGCAGTTTTATTTCAACAACATTCCTTACATCGAATTGGCCAGAGCCTTGAGCACGGAGCAGTCCATTTCAGGTATTATTTTCGATTGATCCACAAGGAATCGGGTATGCCAGTATATCAACGCGAAGTCTCATTTTAAACATTTTAAAATATTTTCTTTATATTATCATTTCAACAAAAAAAAATATTTATATAAGTGATGTATTCTCAGTTCTTTATTTCGCAATCTTAAACGTGAACTTTAATTTTTACATTGGTAGTGTTACGTTTACTTAACCTACCATCACAACATTTTTCGAATAAACTCTCATTCAGCTTTGAAACTTCTTTGAGGATTGAATTATGGAAAAGGAAAGTGCGTTAATTTTTTGGTTAATTACTGAGCTCGCAATTTTAATTTTAATTTTTACTTTTTTTGTTACTAGTACTATTACCAGTCCTAACAACATAAACAATTCGTTCTTGGCGAAAGAATCAGGGACCATCGGGTAGTCCGCTAAAGGGAGATTATTAAATTGCGCCTTTATAAATCATTGGGTTATGAGTGAGAGTGTAAAAAAACCGGATGAAAAAAAAAAGAGAACGATTGGAACTTTTTAAAATATTCACGCCATTCCATACAAAAAAATTAATGAAATTACAGAGTAAATGAATTTTTGTTTTTAGGAAGAATGTTCAGGAGTGTAACTCGTATTTTAAAATGCAATTAAAAAGTTTTCATGTACAAGGTGGTCCAGATTTGGCTTTAAGGATTTGCAGTTTAGTTAGCCCAAAACTAATAGGCATGTTACGATTTTCGAGAGAAGTCGAAAACTAAAAGCCGCATCATGATCAAAGCGTTTCTGAGCTGCAGGGTGATTCTTAAAAATATGCGTTTCTAAAAACCCTTTATACCTTTTTTATTTGCAAAGATAGAGATTTTTATTATAAAATTTTTTTGAAGATTTTTTTAAAGGGCAAATCTACCTGTTTGACGGATTTAATCTTAAATCCTTTAGTTCGCTAAACTTAACAAAAAGTAATATTTCTTTAAATGGAATACCCCAATTTAAAAAAAAAAGTTTTATAATAAAACGACTATGGAGAGAAACACTGGAATTCCAGTCAGCAATGCCGTGCAGGTGCTTAAAAAACACAAGTTTAGGCCCTATCCACCCCGACGGGTACATCAATTACGGCAACGAGAATTTGCTCCAAGATTGCACTTTGCAGGTGGTATCTAAATAAATGCCAAGAAGACCCTGATTTTGCCAGGAAAGTTATTAAATTCTAGAAGGGCAGGTAATTTCGTTTATCGACAATTTGCCACTTCAACGAAATAACGAGCTATACTATCAACATGACGGTGCACCTCCTCACAAATAGTGTGTTTGCCGAAAACTGTATCGGAAATAAAGGTCCTATATATTAGCCCCCAGGTCTCCAGACCTGACCCCTTCGTATGTATCGCAGGTGGAAAGCGGCAGAAGCTCCGATCACCTGATCGCCGGCGTCAAGGGTTTGGGTTTCGGTTTTTTCGGCGGCTTCACCGGCATAAAGTGCGAGGTTGCTGTGTCCCTCATGTCATAGCCAACTTGATTTTGTAAGAAAAAAACAATAAAATTTTATCTACACATTTATGGCGCGTATAGGGCCTACTATGGTAAATATCAAAAATTGCAAATATCTTTGTATGGCACATCGTTCGACAGGAAATTTTATTAGAAAACTGATTTTTCAAAAAAATTGGGAGTATCTCATTTGAAGAAATATTGCTTTGTGTGATACCTTGGGAACTAAACGATCTAAGAAAAAACGGGTAAAATAGAGAAATCTCCTTTTAGAAAAAACTAAAAAAAATGTTTTTTGACTTCTCTCGAAAATGTAACTTGACGAATACGCCATTTTTGCCACCTGTGCTTGTCTATCATGGCAATTGTTTTTATCTGATCATAGCTACGTAGATAGATACCGTAAAACTGCATAGGTCAGAGTTAAGCACAGCCTACTATGGTAATTATAAAAAATTGCAGATATCTTTTTAACTACTTAATAAAAATTGGTGTATGGCACGTCGTTTGACAGGAAATTTTATTAGAAAACTTTTTTTTTAATGGGGTATTCCGCTTAAGAAAATGTAAGTTTGTGTTACCTCTAGTAAACTAAAGGCTTTAAGCCAAAATCGGTGAAACAAGTAGATTTGCCCTTAAAAAATGTTTTAAATAGAAATCTCTATCTTTGCGAATTAAAAAGTTATAGATGGTTTTTAGGAACGCACATTTTTAAGAATCACCCTCTAGCTCAGAGATGCTTTGACATATCATCATGCTTTTTTTGTTTTTGACTTCTATCGAAAATCGAGCCCTTTACATGCATATTAGTTTTGCGCTAACCATGCTGCGAATGCTTAAAGCCAGAGGCCCCTCGAAGTTGGACCACCTTGTACATTGAAAAATATGTGCAATATTCATTGCGAACAAAAAAGGAAACTTGCAATAAACATTGGGGTTATTAATTTGATGCATATCTAAAATATCTTTTTTCGAAAAAACATTAAAAAAGAATAGAGTTTACGAGTGAGAGAGAACCCCGGCCGGTAATGCGATCGCCTTTTCAGGGTTTCCGAAGATACGAGTGGCGGGAAAATTTGTAAAACACGCGACCGACAACCTCCACCGACCCGTGACATTTCGCTCCAAGCACACGTTCATCGGTCTTCCGATGCTACGAGCGTATTCGAGCATTCACATCGACTTCATGTTTAAAACTCGGGAGGCCAACGGACTCATCATGTTCAATGGCGGCAAGAAGGAGGATTTCCTCGCTGTCGAGATGCTCGACGGCCACATCAACTATATCGTTAATGTGGGAGACGGCACTGTAACGTTACGGGATACCGTCAGGTGAGTTTTATATGTAAGGTGAAGTATTCAGGTCAAAATAGACATTTCGAATAATGAAAATTGAGACGGAGCCGTATTTTGGGGCATTGACAGTAAAAATAAGTTGTTTTTGGTTCTTGTTGGAAACGGAACCAGCAATTTACGTTTTATAAATAAAAACAACGTTTGAAACAGCACTTGCGCAGCTATTTGGTTCTTTAATTTGTTTTACAGAACAATTGTTTAAGCATTTTATTATAAAACACAGTTTTGTATTATAAAACAATTTTATTGAGAAGAGTTCTGGAGCAAAGTGTTATTTTATTATTATGACAATTATACAATATTTATTAAGCTAGAATAAAGCAGTTTTATAAAAGTCGTTTTATTATCTTTTTATTTTTGTTTTGACGTACACTATAAAAGTAAGTTTTTATTGTTTATAGTTCTTAAGATAATAAATGGATAATCAAAGAAAACAGTAAGTAAAAGATTCTGGGTTCTTCCGTTTGGAAGACTGGGCTTTTGAGTCGATGCCATAACCATATACCCATAATTTGTCACCTTTTTAAACATATCAGTATCATCTATGACGTCGTTTAACACCTATCCTTCGACGGTCTTTTTGTTTAAAAGTAACTTCGAAAAAAAAGTCATGGCACGAGTCAATACCACGTCTTTAGCCATCAGTGATTCGACGGTATTTCAACATCATTTGTTTCACTTCTTCGACTCTTTTATCGTCAGTTATTGATGTGCTGAATTTTTTACACAAAGTTTTACGAAAATTCTTTATTCAATTGTTTTGGACAGATCGCAGAGTACACAAAACGCGTTTAACGCTTCCGTCTCACAAACAAAAGTAAACATGCAAACTGGCTGAAAAATATATCGAATATAGGTAGCCCGACCAATTAAAAAAGTCACCTTACTTTTTGAACACATCTAGTATAGCAATTTTTTTTAATTTTAGGAGGAAAGTTCAAAAATTTCAATCTATATTTTTCTCTAATTCTACTCTAATGGAACATTTTATAAAAAAAAAAAAACATTCTAAACCATATATTTTTCCACAAAAATGGTCTTTATATTATTTTTGCAAGGAGTCAGCGTTCCTAAGATATCGCGATTCCAAAAGTTGAAGGAGTTCTGCATCCTTCAAGCATCGTGACTTCATGAAATTTGTCACACCGTTAGCGTCCATTTAACTAAATCTTTAGCCATTCTTATTGATTGTGGTAGCGCATTTTCCAGTAAGTTGTGTTATCAGATCTGTGTATCTTGTTAGTGACTTCTTTTTCCTTACAACATACCCTTCAGCCTTGGTTTACCATCCCGTCTGACTATGTGACCAAAAAAACCGACAATGTTTTGTGTATCTTAGTCGTTTTAAGGATCGTTTGTGGCTTGATAATACCAGCTTCTTCTTTTTCTTTGTGACCTTCGTTATAGCTTTGTTAGCTATTGCGGATCTTGTTATGATCTCCTAAATTCATCCACGCTGATTCGTGACGAAGGAGCCAAGATGTACGAGTTTACCATACAGCAATGTAGTGTCATCAGCGTCCATCTCATTTCTCTAAGGCATACATCATGATCCATTCACCACAAATATTGAAGACCATAGCACATAGTATGCTTCCTTGTCTAACAATACAATGCTCGGTGAGCTTATCTTTTACTCTAACCTCCCCTCTTGCCTTCGTACAAGTCTTATATTTCGCCTAAGACCCATAGCGTACACAGCGTGTGTAGTCAGAATAGCAGATATGTGATGATATGTTGCATACTTTTTCTCTGATCTGTCTAAGATTAAAGATTTGCTCAATGATGTCTCTTCCTTTAAAAAAGCCTGCCTGTTGTCTTTGTGGTAGGTGCCTATATCCACTTGGTCCAGTCCTTTGGCCGGGCTCCATTCACCCCATGTTGTGATCATCTGTGTGGGTTTATCTTTATGAGTACTGCTTTTACTTCTACTTCTTGTTCCATGTTTTCAAGTTCTGTTTGGTTTTTCTTAACTGTGTTTTCTTCCATCGGCAATAGGGGTGTTAAATTTATTTTTTAACCGTTACTTGACTTGCTTGAATTTCCCGTTTCTGTGTGTGTTCAATTTCGTTACATATTTCATTCAAATACGTGTGTGGTTTAACTCATGATAATATTTTTATGTCTAATTTTACTGGATTGAAAGAATTTTTTTCCTGTGAATTGTCCGTGGAGAAAATGGCGGGGCTTTACGTGTGACTTCGACAAACGGAACGTCCGAGTAAACAAGGACATAAATAATAGAGTAGCCTTGAGTTGTCTATTTGCTTGTCTGCGTGTTATTTTATCCGATCAATGTTTTAGGGAAGTATTTTTTTCTAGAGTATAAAGTGTGTATCTCTAAATGTAGGAACGGTGTGCATCTGGTCAATGTTGATATTTCAGAGAAGACTTGCTGCAAGAATCTTTGTAATCCATACACTTTAATACTGATAATAATAACAATAGACAAAATAAAAAACCTATTGCTCTAGACGGGAACGGCTAAGAACACACGCACACATCAGTTACCTAGCTGACTTCTAAACTGACAACCATAATTACATCATTTATAAAAGATTGAACTGAGGTCGATTTTACTTGATGGAAATCCATTTACCACAATAAATATGAACCAAAAGTTCAGATTTTCACGAAATTATATATTTTTACATGACAATTGTTTCAACAACACCGTGTCTTTATCATATGTTCACATTTGATAAGGACACCGTGTTGTCGAAACAATTGTCATATAAAAATATATAATTTTGTGAAAATCTGAACTTTTAGTTCTTATTTATTTTGATTTATAAAAGAAACTAACAACATGAAATTTACATATACATTTCTATAGTCAATATTTCTAATAAATGCGCACTGATTCATATTAACAAGCATCAAGTAATGACTCATTGACCGCATACGCGAACATTCTTTAGCTCACTAACTTATTGCATTAAGAAGTAAAAGGCTACTATAAAAAATACACCCTTTTCTCTTTTTCACAACCATTTGACTTGATGGTGTAGTTCTCTCTCTCTGAGGTCTTTAAAGGTGACGCAACTCAAAAAAACGAATTTCCAAGGAAACTTAAAAAACGGATTTTCAATAAATATTTTTCAAAAAATTTAAATAGGCATAAGTTTTTGCTTCGACATAAATAACTAAGACTAATTATCTGGAGCTTTCATTCAGAGTCTGAAAATTAACATTTTTTGTTTGTGTCACTTTTAACAAAAAAAATGGCCTAAATAAAATATCAATCGTGACCTTTTTGGGGATTTTTTTGTGAAAAAAAATTGTTAAATTAAAAAGATTACCCCGATTAAAGTTGTCCTAAAATTAAATTAAATAAAATAATTTAAAAACCTAACAAAAATTTGGAAATTGGAATTTAGTGGTGGAAAAGCCAAATTCTTATAAGTTTTTTAAGTTAATTTCTTAGAATAGATTATTAATTACATAAAGAGTATAAAGTACTATAAACACAAACAGAGGTACAAACAGAACGCAAATATCAACCGTTTAAAACATTTTATTTAACCTTAAAAATATAAATATTTGAACTGTTTAAAAAAAAACATTAAGAACTTTTTAAACTGAAAAAATAAAAATATATGTAATTATTTTAAGATATTTCTATAAAAACCATTATAATAAGATTTTCAGATTATGTTTTTTCCCGATAACTCTTATAATTATTTTTTTTTTGTTTTCCGATAATGGTAAATTTTCTGTATAAACCCGAACTACCTGAATATCTAAAGTTAGTTCCATATTACCCTGGGACCTAGAATTTTTCATTTTTAGCATGTCTACTACAGCCTTTAACGTATTATCTTCAAAGAACGTTTTATAAAAAAATGAATTCGGTTGACTTTTTTCCACTTTTATCATCATAATGTCATGCCATTTTAGTTTCTTTTTTTCAATATCTGTTGCAAAATCGCTGTCAATTTGTTCTTGCGGTTGCTTATGAACCCGTTATGGACGTCCATTTTTTCTTTTTGTTATCTGCAACAGTTATCTTCGCTTTTATTATTATATTATTATTATTATATTATTATTAATTAATTATATTATATATATAGTTAATTATATTATATATATAATTAAGAACACAGCTGCCAATTGCCATGGCATCCCGCTTTCCTTCCTTTTTATTCCAGGAAAAACAGCAGACATTTTTGCCATGTAGGTCGTGTATGGTAACATTATAGCAATTCATTTTGTTGGATCAGCATCGGAGTCACCTACATCACTTTCATTTTTGCGAATTAACCCGACAAAAGCTCTGCTAGCGTTTTCTAGAAGGTTAAGGAAGAAAACAAATATTATTCCCTTTCACTGCTATTCTGGCATAGAATTAAAGCTTGAGATTTGGGGTTCTAGAAAAGGTATCTTATTAGCATCAGCAAGCGTCAAATGCTTTTGATTAGGACCGGATTTAATAGTTTCCTACCTCAGACATTTGATCAGATGGTGGTAAATTGATCTTTGTTAATTATGTTAATACGGCTTGAGTACTGCATGGCTTTTATCTGCTCGAACACAAACTTTTGGTTTTTATTCAAATAGTTAAAATTTTGACCTAAAAAATGATTCTGTAAATTTTTGCCCTGGCATGTATAATTTGTAATTTGGAATAATAAACTTTATTATTATTATTGACTATACAAACAGTCAAAAAATATTTGAATTTAAACTTGTGTAAAAAAAAAACAAAATTTAAAAAAAGCTTTAAAATCCTCATTTGGGGAATACATGGCCGCTCGTAGCGCAGTGAGGTTCAATGTCTCTGCAGTTTTGTTGGTATTTTTTCCCCAACCATTGTCTAAATCTCTTCCTACTTTTTACAAAACTTCTGGATTTTTCCTGCGTCGGTTTTTGCTGAGTCTTCTCTTTCTCTTTTTATGTTTATACACGTCATGTTGTATATAATTTTTTGGTTTTCATTTCATACATCGTCATCGTGAATCTAATTTTATTCGACTCAACAGGAATGGACAAAACTTTATCTAATAGTGTTGTATATAATCTACACCGACATAGTTTTTTATTGTTATTCTATTCATCATATTATTGATTATGACGATAAAACAGATTTCCATGATTCGTTTTGAGCAAACGTTTTTAAATATCATAGCTTTCAGTGTATGCTGCGTGTTCAATTTAGAAAAAATTTGCAAAATTGCAAATATCGACTAACTAAATTCTATTTGTCGGACGGACTTGTGAATTAGGAGCCGGTACAACTATTTTTACGACATGTAAAATGACGTGGAAGATTTAAATACAATTGACCCGTTGACACTGTCAATAATTTTACTAATTACAAATTCAAAATATAGAAATCAGAACTCAATGTATTTTTTTCCTTGATTGATTGATTGACATCGGTGGCAATCTTGAATCCCAAAAAACCTCTATTAAGGTCAACTTAGTCTTAGTCTTAGTCAGAAAACTGTCTTATTTCTATTTGACGTGGTCTTATAACGACTTTTTATACGAAAAGTAAGTCGAATCGCTAGCGGCCTATTGTGGCGGTAGACTTTCCCGGAAAGGTAAATCTCTGTCGCCTGGAAAGGAGAATTTCGTTAATTCGAAAGTTTTCCGAAGTTTAATGGGAATAGGCGCAAGTTGACGGGACAAAAAGAATTCCAATTAAGTAGGGACCCTTTGTAAGATGCCGAAAAAGATCGGCGATTTTATATTACTATTTTGAAAAGCTCATTTAATTGAAGTTTTTACATATTTTTACGTTTATTATCCAGGACGCTAGAAAAGCGAGGAAGTGTAGTTCCTTGAGCTCAAGAAATTGTATGCAATTGGTTAGAAGATGAATCTGAGTTTCTTCTTCTTGTAAACGCAGACTGTGCTGTAGTCGCCAATGAAACAGAGGTGGTTTCTTAATTAATAAGTATAAAAAATAAATAAAAAAATAAATTCAATAAATCATATTTCGCCGGTCTTGTCGCTGTTTTTGGCCAGTCAGTCTTGAAGCGGTAACAGCTTAGACAACGGATCGACTATCGGTGGAAATGTAAAAAAGTTGCCATTTACATCAATTTTCTCTCTCGAGAACATCTGCCTTTCAATTGCAAACTTCAGAAATACTCTACTTAAAAATTTAAAACAAATGCAGATTAGAGTGATCGTAATAAAGTATGCATTTAGTAATCTTTTTGCTAGTATATTCCGGATGAAAAAATGCAGTTTTTCCATGCAGTTTATTTTTAGTTTACCTTCCTCTTTAATATTACTACCCTAGAGTCTTCTGTTAGATTTTTATTATTTTAAACGGTGAAATGCAGAGTAAGAAATGCTTTTTTAAACGAAACCTAACCCTAACATTTAAATAAAAGCAGATATAACATTTCCCCACCACTTTATTTTAGCAGATATTGCAAAATGGTTCAAACTAGAAAAAAATAAAATTTGCTTGTGATTATGACCATAATACCTTTTGTAAAAATCACATTTTCTTGTTTTCCGCATAATGTGTGCCCTCTAGCGGCCATTCTAGGAATTGGAAAACAATTTTGAGCAATTTCGCGTTGTCATTGTCAATGCCGGAAAGATGTCAACAGAATTTTCTTATCCCATTGCGTTTCAGAGCTACTGGGTATCTCCGTCATTATATAAGCTATCGAAAGAATATCCATCGATATTTTGTTATGTAAAATTAAATGGAGTAGCTAGATTTATCACGTTTTTTAATTTTGGAATGATGAAATAAATGATATGATGAAGGATAAATTTTACAAATATATTGTGTAGGTATCTAGAACAAAGACAACCGAATAAGATGTATTAAAAAAGCACAATTTGAAACATTATAAACTTCAGTTAGTTCATAATTTGTATCCCGAGAACCAACAACAAAAAGAATTTTGTAGTAATGAAGTAAAACTAATTATATAAAATTATGGTATAATGTAGTTATTAAATAAAATATCTAATGAAAATAATAGTCATTTATTTCCAATAGGGAACTTGAATAAAATTTTAATTTTGAGAAATATTGCTTATAAACTTAAGTTTATACTATTAAAAGGGTAACAGTTTAGAAGAAAAGTAATTTCGTAGTTGTATGCATATGGGCAATTAAAAATTGCAAAATTTAAATCCTCTTTGAAACGCGCTGTCATTGGCTGTGACCGGTTGTGACGTCAATTCGCTCGTTAAGCTACGCGCCAGCCGGACTGTATCAAAGAGCCATTAGAGAACTTCAACGCGTTCGTTCGTCTTGGTGGTTTTATTTTAATTTTAGTCTTAATCCGGTCTCTTACTTTGGCTATCTTGTGTTTAGTATCAAAAAGAAAGTTTTGAAAATGACCTAAACCGATTTTTTAGAAGGTGAATTTGATAATTTGCCTTTAGTGGATATGTTTTTCTTTTGATGAAGTTCTCGGTGTTAAAGCTGGTTTTTAAAGTTTAAATAGTATATCAATAAAATGTAACTTATTCAGCAAAAACAACAAAAATTACTTTTTCTAAAGTAGTGGAAACCTAAATACTGATTTTAAAGTATATTGGCATTGTTAACTTGTAGCGTTCTTTATTTTATATAGATCAGGGAGGCATTCCGCTGGAGACTGCAATAGGATGGGTGCAAGTTCGAAGAATTAGAAAATGTTTTAAAAATTGTATTTCCTGAAAAAAACTTATCTGAACGTAAATCTAAATTTACAGCTAAAGAAATAGCTCAAATTGGCGTGTATTATAATGAATGTAGTATTGCCATAATTTTCTTGTTTTGCTTAATTCGTTAAGTAATGTAAAGGTTTGCACATTGTCTAATTTAGTTTCAATGGCATTTCGCAGCTGTTCGATTCTATGATGCTGATTTTTATAAATTTGATTTTAAAGCTGGACAGATAAAAACTTATGAAGTATGGATAAATCGGGAGACTAATTTAAGAATTATGTGTTGCAGCTCCGTTCTGTTGGCTTTCTTCGTATATACAAAATTTAATATTATTTCCAAAAATAAAACACTTGATATTGCATGGCTAAGTTTAAAGTGACACCTGAACATAATTTTAACAGAAAACGACGAACCTTATTTACAGTTAGACGAATTAAACGTTTGTCTGACGTTTTACGGTTTGCACTCAAACACCATGGCTCGATTTTTGATATTGTTTTTGTGTTGTTTTCATTATTATCATGTTAAGCACACTAAGCACAAATACCAAGTGGCTTAGATTAAATACAAATAAACCTTTCCAAAAATAAAGGTAAATAATATAATTCTCGGCTTAAAAGCTACAGCCGAAACTCTATATAACGAAATTTAAGGGACTGCTTTTTTTATAAAGAGTTAGGCACTTGAAAAATAACAATACGCATATGTGTTCTGTAATATATAATTATTTTATATATATATATATATATATATATATATATATATATATATATATATATATATATATATATATATATATATATATATATATATATATATATATATATATTTTACTACTACTACTACTATTACTTAGGAACATTTTATGTAAATATTTAAGAACTACATTTAATATTTCAAATAATCGGTCATTTTCTTTTGAATTTTTTTAGTATGCCAATACGCGTATCGTACTTTCGCTTGTATTTTCACCATTTCTTCGAGAGGGGCATCTTCCCCATGATATATAAAAAATTTCTCCAGCAGATTAACCGAATATAGGGGTTGTTGAATGGTTGGTGGTGGTCCCAGATCAACTTCTGCTGTTGTAGGAAAATCCCTGTCATTATAAAATCTTGTTGTTTGAGACTGCTTTATCCACTCGCTTAGTGGCTGGTCATTTTCCAAGTCCTGTTCGCATTCTGTCTACGTAATAAGTTCTGCATGACGATAGGAGTGTTGGATTGTTTCTGTTTTCCAAGCTTTACTAATAAAATTGACCGCATCTAGCATATTAATGGAACATTTGTCTTCGGACTCGATCGTTTACATTAAAATGTTTTCCTTTATCGACTCTTAAGACTTTTTATTACGCCCTGGTCCGTCGGCTGTAATAGCCTTGTTGTGGCTGGAAGAAATTCCAATTCGATATTCCGTAGATTTGGAATATGGGGATGTGCAGGGCAGTTATCTATGAGAAGTAATATTTTCCTCTCCTTTAATTCTGCATCCCATTTCCGTATCTCCTCTTCAAAAATTTTGCGATGTCATCCATGCAGACTTGTTTGCCTTGTAAGTGACCGGCAAATACCTGATTTTCTTAAAACATCGTGGGCTAGTGGATTTTCCAATCACGACTAAATTTCTTTTTTCTCTCCCACTCATGTTGGCAGCTGATAACACTGTTATACGTTCCCTTAGAAAGTTTTCCGCCCACACACTTTTCACTTTGAGACTTAAGAGTTCTATCTGGCGTATTTTTTAAAAAATACCAGTTTCGTTAGCATTAAAAATATCGTCAGCAGGGTGTGCTTTTCTACTAGTTCTGCCAATCGTTAGTGACGTTTCTGTCGACATCACGGGCTTCGCCACTTATCTGTCCATAATTTATACCATGTCTCTGTTTGAACTTCTCCAACTATCCTTCCGAAGCCTTGAAATCGATAATGCCAGGCTGTTCGGCAAACTTTCTGTCCGGATGCGCCGCCATCTTGGAAATATTTTAACCGCCGGGTAACAATAGTTTAATTCGAAGTTTTAAAATTTTTGGTTTTCATACGAATGGTGTGCCCAGACATTGATATAAACTTATCCGAGGTTCTTATTTTGCAGAAATCACCTAAACGACAACAGATGGCACACCGTCGGGATTCGCAGACCATCAGCTAGGCAACACACGCTCATGGTCGATGACGACATAGTGGTCGCGACAAATTACGGCAGCGGAAATTTGGAACTAGACGGCATTCTGTATTTGGGCGGGGTCTATAAGGATTTGTACCCCCAATTACCGCAAGACGACGTTAAATCGAAACACGGCTTCGAGGGTTGCATAGCCGGCCTGGATCTCAACGGGGAATCTCCTAATATCGTTGAAGACGCGGTCGTTCACAGTTCTCTGGTAACCGCTGGATGCGAAAGTAAGGCTTTAATTATTTGTTTTGTCTTTGTTTCGAGCTATCGCAAGCTCCGCCGAGATTATTGTCTTGCCCGACTATTATTATGAACCGATAGATCTCTGAAATCCCGGAAAATTTAAATTTCGGGACGGCTCAGGTTTTCCATATCATAATTATTCGACGGCTTTCACGAAAATATAAAATTTAAGTTGAAATATTTTTTAGCCGAGAGAACGTCATGTTGGAATGTACTGGGTTATTTTTAATATTGCTCCGCCCCGAGAAAAACTTTTAAAATTGTTTGCTGTATATCGCGAAAACTTTTCGCATCGCAAAATGCCAAACAATAGCAAGTTTTTTTTATTTTTAAAAGGAATACCCCGTAAATATTCTGTTACGACGAAATATCTTTTCTTTCTGAGTTTAAATGTTTGACTCACGAAACAGATGTTCATCGAGTTGGCCTGGCTTTTCGCACATTCAAATTTTCGGTTAGGAAAATTGGTAAGTGAGAGTAAAAAATGCTTCAAGTAACTCGCTTTTTAATAATTCTAAAAATTATGAAAAAAAAATAATATCAATAACAACAAACGAGAATAAAATCGATAATAACGAAAGCACAGGTATTAAAAATTAAACTTTTTGACAGACTGATTTTATATAATTTTGCTATGCTTATTTCAAATATTCTGTGCTTTTATTTGTATCACACATTTCTAAAATAATTTATTTTTTTATTCAGTGGCATTCTAGTTTAAAAAAATGTGAAAAAAAACTTTACTCAGAATTTTTTCAGTGAAATCTTGGTCTTTTCGTCAGATATCTGCCTTGGCATCGCCGTCCCATTTTCTTAATATAATGGTGGAAATAGTTCAAGTGTGAAAACAGGAAATGCACTTCCTAACTCATATTACAACCTTATATTGCAATACTTTCGTAATTTTCGTCCTTAGAGTTCTTATCAAGAAACTTATCAATTACTCCTTTAAATGAAACCCAGGCGTTTTCCCGACAAAATACCTTCTTTTATCTTGGCATCAGATAAGGCTGGAAATTCTCTCACAAATCAATACGTTACACTGAACTCAATCAAAATCTGTTTGGTCAATCAAAGATTTTAACTTAAATAATTCATAGACTGCTTATTCAAATATCCGTCAATCAATATCAGAAGAAAAAGATATTTCGTCAAAACAGAAAACATTTTATTCAAAAATAAAAAAACTTGCTACTGTTCCTGTACAAGTCTAAAAGAAAATATTGCAGAAATTATACAAATTTTGTAGTAATTTTTTTTTCGGTGACTTCCGTTAACCCTTGTAGGTACCCTAGTACAGCGTGTCCCATTTGTTGTGGCTTAGTTAGCATGTTGCGGATTTCGTGACCTTGTTTTTGAACTTGTTATTTTTTTATGAAAGGTGCAAGCAGAAAAAAATATGCACGTTCGTTCAAAGTAAGACAATTTATTTAAATTTATTTAAGTTTAAGAAGATTATATATATATATATATATATATATTTTTTGATAACAACAAATCTAATAAAATGTTTAAAACACCATAAAGAAATGAATGTACTTCATAAATCAAAATTCGTGATTTTCGGAAGAAAATGAACTTCAGCACTGAATCCGACCTAAAAAAAATTCTATACAGTCCAATTTTCACGTTTTCTATAAGATTGCGCATAACCGACGTCCAAAGGTTGGCTAAAAATGCATCATTTTCAAAATCACCCTGCATCAAAGGTTAAGGTTAAGAAAAACACTGCTATCTATATTAATGAGGGAGATACGCCGTGAAACTATTAAAAATGTCCACACTGTATAGTTTGGCGGCTAGGGTTTTATTACCCTTGCCCTACAAACTTTGTTGTTGTATTCACGATCCCAACTGCGGCCACAAACGTGTAATTTTGTATTTTTTTTATAAAAAAGCTTTTGATGGATTTTTATCAGGAATCACCTAAAACCTAGCTATACAGGGAAAATTCCAATTACTTCTTCTAACCGATAGTAATTGGAAGCACGCACGCTCATGTTTACTGACAGCAATTAAAATAAACAAAAACTCGAATTTTGATAACGGATCCAAAAACACCTGAAACATTATAAAATCCTTAATAACTAGAAAATAGTAAAGCAGGTAATTATCAGAAAAAATTTAATGCCATCTTCCACTCGTTTATGGGTTTATTAACGATCATAACAATCCATTATGTCGGAAAAGAGATGGGTTCAAAATGAAAGCCATTGATTAAATCCACTGTTGCTTAAGACTGCAATTATTTCTTAAAAATGACTTGTTTCTAGCAGTTTAAGAATAAAATAACCTTAAAAAGTAAAATTTGTCAAACTTTTCTAATGTCTAATTACTTTTTTTTTTAATGGTGGAAAAGCAAAAATTTACAATATTTTTATATTCTTTCCTTTTTCTCGTAAAATTATTAGTTGGATTACATTTTTTTATCAATTTAGAAAACACGCTCTATATAATTTTTTTCCTAGGTCAATCGGCAAAATGTAGTCACAATGTGTGTGCGAACGCCGGCATTTGCGTCCAACAGTGGAACGCCTACACGTGTGATTGCGACCTGACGTCATTCACAGGACCCACTTGTTCCGATGGTATGTCACTTTTTAGGTTGAAATCAAATAGAATAGATTTTTTTAAAATACATTAGCACAACAACAGTACCATAAGAGCTGATCCTAGAAAAAAGCACTCAGATATTCTTCTATGTTGAAAATGTTGAAAATTTAAACACTTAATTTTGACTGGAAGAAAAATTGAAATTGGTGCTCAAAACGATAAATCTTAATTTTAATTTTTGAAAGAAACTTCCACAGGCTACTGTAATACTTTTTCCAAAACTTCCGGATTCCTCCTGCGTCGGTTTTTTCTGAGTCGAACTTGCTGACGTTTCGCCAATCATCCTGTTGCCTTCTTCAGAGCTTGACTGAAACTGGCTCTCATTTTACTCTGTACCTGCTTATATATTGTTTGAGGGGGTGGAGCTAAATGAGGGGCGTAAACGCCGTCTTGTATGACTGATTCCCATATTGGTGACAGGTAGATCCTGAGTCGCGGTTAAGATTGTTAGGTCGTTTATCGATTTCTATAGACTCTCGGATTTTTAATTGATAGAATTATTGATTACATACAAGAATTTTTTTCTGTATTTTGCAACAGCTGATGAATTTCTTTGTCTTAGTCGTTAGACTCTTTCGTGTTCTTTGAGCCTAGTTGATATGGAATGCTGTAAACTCCTGGCATCTCAAATGGAATTTTTTCTTTGGCGGCCCGAAGAGAGATTTTTGGACAATTAGTAAATTTGGTTTTGACATTATACTTCTTTAGAACACTTGATATGTGGTCAGTGATATTTTGAATGTAAGGAAGGACCACAGTCGCAAGGGTAGGATGGCTTTCGGCCTCATTGCTATTGGAAGGTTGTGGTGAAGCCTATTTTTTGATCGAACGCTTAATACCTTTAATGTGGAAATTGTTAGAGACAAGAGTAAGAAGGTAAGGTTTTTTAATTCTGAGTTCAGTAAGGTATCGGTCTCTGTATGTAGAATTTCTATTGATAAGAATATCTAAGAATGGAAGGTTATTGTTAGTTTGCAACTCAATGGTAAAACGTATGTTAAGGTGTATAGAGTTAAACGTCAACCATGAGGCCAAATAACAAAAGTATCATCGACGTAGCGTGTCCATAATTTTGGTCTTAGATGAAAGATATCGAGAGCTTTCTTCTCAAACGCTTTCATAAATATATTCGCAATGACTGGTGATAGTAGAGAACCCATAGCTGTTCCCGAGATTTGTTCAAAAATTTGACCGTCATAAGAAAAATATGTTCCTTACAAGAATTTTTAGATTAAGGTGAGAAGGTTTGGTTCCAGATTTTCTGATTTTAATATATCTGAAATGATGTTGAGAGTTTCAGGATAGGAACTTTGGTAAAGAGGGATTTTAAACTAACTAGAATATCTTATGTATCTAATGTAATGCTTTTTAATTGTTCAATGAAGTGAAAGGAATTAAGTACGATACTATCAGTTTTCCCTGTAAGGGGATTTAATAAGGAAGGTAGATATTTTGCTATAGACCCAGGAGGAATCCAGAAGTTTAAAAAAAAAGTACATCTTAATTTCTATTATCTTAAAGGTGTGCAGTAAACAATAAGTATGCAGTAAGTAAATAAAACACTACGGAGAGGCCCACATCAGAAACTTTTAAAATGAAGCTCCCCCTTTGAATAGAACCGGTATAGGATTTTTGAATTTCTGGATATGTTTCCGGTCCAGATTTGTAAGCTGTTTCAGAAAATATTAAGCATATTGTTTTTTTTTTTGTTCTGCTTTTTTATTGGAATCTCTAACCAAACGTTGCACTGCCGAACATAATATTCCATATAAATTTTTAAGTTCCGTGCACATCTTATAGCAAATTTGTAATCTTTTTGAAGGAGCCGATATGGTTCACTCCGAGTTTGAATAAATTTTAATAAACCAATCTTCCAATTCCAATTCAAGCTTGAAAGCTTCCAGCTTCAAATTTGAATTTGACAATTAAGTGTTTTATTAAAAAGAATTGAGGATTATAATTCAAATACGGTTGCAACGCATAGCTAAGAAATTTTCAAACAACCTGCCATTAAAAGTTAAGGAATATCCGATCATAAAATTGTTGATATTGTAAAATCCTGTTAAATTCTAAGTAAATAACGTTTCGTACCTGATTAAGATTTTAAAATTTAACATTTTTATAAATAACACTTTCCAAGTAACCCCACAGAAAGAAAAATATTTCCCAAATACTCCCTAACCATACGTGAATTATAGGCGTATATGGTACCGGATCTCCTGATCCTCGCGGACAATTTCTCCTAGTGCGGATTCAATTAGATTTTGTAATAAGTCCAAATAGGTTTCTGCCGTTAGGTTATAGTCCATAAAAAAGTCAAATCCGCAAATTCCCACCATAGTATTTATTTTTTGAGCATATTGGAGTATGAACAAAACGATATTCATTGTCTTGGCTCCAATAATAAAAGTTTTGAAAATTTTTGCATCGTTGTTGAGTCATCAGTTGAATAAATACATTTTAAGAAATCTCTATCATTATAGCTTGATGCTTTTCGTATTTACAGGAAAAATATTTGTGCAGCTTGTACAAGCATCCTCCATTTTGTTTTCCTCCACATGCAGTAAAATGTTCAAATCTCGATTGACCTCTTCTTCTGCTTTACTATCGACATTTTCAGCTTAACGTGTGGCGTTATTTATTACGATACCTCTGGACTTGAATTGACAATGACAATTTTTTTTTTATTACATTCGTACAATACAATACAATAGGTACAATCAGGATAGTGCCCAAAGCAAACGTTCTACAACGATATCAATATTAGTAGTGAGAATATGTAACTTTTCAAACCTCCGTGTCCCGGATGAGTTTTTAACTAATCAATATTTCACACAGATGGCAGAGAAAACCTGTCAAGCAAGAACGTAATTGAAACGGCACCTAAACAAAATATTTGGGATTTACGCATTGTTATTGTTTTATCGACGTCGCGAACGTGTCGTATTAGATGATAGGAGCTTGTTACCGGGCAACGAGATCCGATAAGCGTTCATTAGAGCTTAATCTCGTTTCCGGACATTAATTCTATTAACTTGTTCGCAGAATCGGTGTCGTACGAGTTTGGACCGAATCCAGGAATAATAACGTACACATTCCCGGAAGATAACCGGCCGGAAATGCAAGAGGACGCGATCGCAATCGGTTTTATAACAACCAAATCGGACGCTGTGTTGTTGCGGATTACTAGCGGCACCTCCAACGATTACATAGAGATGTATATCGTAAGTGCATTGTCGAGGGGGTAGTAATTGAATTTTGTTTAGTTGCAACATCCGATGTTGCCCTTTCTGGTTAGCGGTCGCTTTACTTTTATATAGATCTTTACTTTTATATAGAAACGTTGTATATATATATATATATATATATATATATATATATATATATATATATATATATATATATATATATATATATATATATATATATATATATATATATATATACTAGTGCGGATATAATGATTTAATTGCTTAGTTTAATGTGTAGATTTAGTTAAGATTTAGTTTTTTTTCGATATTTATGTTTAGGAGAATGTCAAGGAAATCATTTCCTTAACAATAACACACAGAAAAACAGGGTACAAAATTTGTGTATGTTCTATAACAATAATAATAGTAATAATGGTTTATTTATTTAGGGAGATTAGTAGGAAATAATGAGGAACAAAAATACAAAAAGCAAATAAACGATTACCCAAGGTGCACCTTGTTAGTGGTCTAATCACATGATACCAATTATCAGTATTACTAAACACTTTAACCTCCCAACTCTGTTACTTAAAAATCTACAGTAGGTCGGGCTGTTTTAGGAAATTTATAGAATTCATGTAAAACTTGTGTAGTTAAAATTGAGAATAAAATGAAAAAGATCGCGTTATTCAGTCAATGTCCGGTTTGGACAAATTAAGGATACTGAATGTGGAGTACAATACGTCCTAATTATGTTTTATATCAATAACCGATTTAATTTCTCTATTGTTGTGCGGCCTGTTTTCTAAATAGGTTTCTATTTCTTCAGCGTAATCAAGTAACTACATCTTATGTAGCGGCAAGCACACAATTTAAACATTGTTAAAAGGATGCTTTAAACCATTTTTAATTGCCATGTCCTACGAAAATACGTTCTTTCTATTTCAATACACTAGTCGGCTACTTGTTACTACAAAACCTCCAGTAAAGCTTGTTTCCTATACAAAGATACTTTTACAACATCCTATGCACTTCTGCTGTCTTTCACTTAACGTTCAATGCTAAAGCTAAACTTATAAAATCCATTTTAATATAAATGCGCTCCTCCTTTTTTTATAAATTGGCAAACGAAAGTGAAGTAGTTTTTAACATTGAATGCTTTGAAGGCCTTAAAGTACCCCATCTCCTTGATTCTAATAATAATATAATAAGAGCGCTAATAATTTATAAAAAACTATAAGCACTTCTAAATATGAGCTGTCTCATGTTAAGATCCTTGTTGTGTCTCATATTAGGCACCTTGTGGAGAAATTATTTGAATATTTTTTTTCTAAACATCACGTAAGCCTTTATCCGTTTCATTTATTTCACACGACAAAATAAATAAGCAAAACTTATCAATTTTTTTCCTTTTATACAAAAAAGTCACCCCAAAGGGAACACTACCAAAACTTTGATATTGCAGAAATGGATAAAAAAATTAAAATTTAATTTAATTAAAACCCAAATATAATCTCCCATCATATTCTCGTTGTACTGCCCTTGATAACGTCGTTCAATCTTGGTGAAAACGTTCTTCTTGATTTTCAGAGTAGACACCTATGTTGTCTTTAAATCGTCTAAAGCTTATGAGGCACTCCGCAGCCCATCAACTACTGCTTTAAAGCTCTTACAGGCTCGTTTTTCATTATTTCATTTTTCATCATTTTTCATTATTTGTTTTATTTGTAGTTCAACGAAAATACCACCTTCAATCCTAATTTTATATGTAATGGCGGCATCAGTACATTTTGAGGTGTACAATTGGTCCGACGTTATGTTTTCCGATATGAAATTCGACTCTCCTCTGCTATCTCGTAAGCAAAGATGGCACGGGGATTTAGTATATCCACCTTGTATTCCCATCAAAAAAACCACCGCTTTATAATCACACATCACTAGCCACTGGTATTCAATTTTTCTAATATTATTTTCACGCAGTCATAGTTTTGTTTCAACAATACGGAGTGTGCCAGAGGAAGAGAAGACTATTCACTTCCTCGGTGAAGCGGAACTGGTTTTAAACTTTTTGAAGATAAAAAACTGTCAATCGGATGCTACAATTGCCAGTCATGCTGTTGCAGAGCCAATACCGGAAACAATATGAAAAACTTTTATGGCGCTCTCTTTGATCAGTTATTTTTGCGTTATCTTAGACCTAGTTCCATTGCTTTGGTTGTGAACCTAGAATTGCCGCTCTACTCTTGGATAGGTTCGAGTCTCGGACTAAATCATTAAATTCACTTTGACTGATAAAATGTGGAGCAAAACTTTGGGATTTTATCACGAATTCATTGGTTGGTGTACCGGATTCTGTTGAACATTGTGGCGTTTGAACTTCAGAGAGATCGACGCTTATTTGGACTAACCATACAAAAATAACAGTCATGGACGTGATCACTAAGTTCCCTCCAATGTTTTGGCATATCATACGTCGGTTTTCTACTCCATGCCAAGCTACAAATAACATAATTACAACTAATGCGATTTAAATTTGACCGGTATTTTTAAAAATACTTAATTTCAGTTTATTAGCTTTTAAAGTATGTTTACAATTAGTGCAGGCAAAGTGTGGTACCCAATTTTGATACTGGTTTATAGGTTAAAACAGGCTTCATAGGCTTCGCAAAGTTTCAAAATTGTTGACAAAGCAATTTTTCCCCCACATATAAAACAAAATGAGTCAACATCATATTTATATTGTGTTGATGCCATTTTATAACTGGGTAATACACAAATACAGTCGCTATATCTGAGATAAACCATTTACTACTAACTTTGAAGGTACTTACAAATAATACAGTTTATTTTCAGGTCAAAGTGTCGCTTTGGCTTTTAAAATAAATTAAAGTATACTTATCGACTTAAATCTGACAAAAGCAAGCTTAATGTAACAAAAATGAAAATTTGCATGGTTTTCAATGTCCATATATTTTTTTTTGTTGAGCGGTGTAATAGGTGCCAATCTCATATTAGGTGCCTTTCCTCCAATAAAGAGGTTCGGTTTCGCAGGTCGAAGGCAACGTTTTCGTCGTGTATAACTTGGGCACGAACGACCATCCGCTGGGGGAAATTTCCGTCAAGGTCAACGACAATCAGTACCACGTGGTCAAGTTCCACAGGCACGGACACAACTCCACCTTGCAAGTGGACGACTACAACGTTCAGACCAGCTACCCTGCAGGTATATACCCAACAACCTTCCGGCAAATTCCCCACCGACGCATTCTTACGAATCCTTACAGGCGATCAGCTGAAGGTGTTCAACACCCAGTCGCAGATACAAATAGGAGGTAAATGGAGTAGGGGTAAGAAACGCATCGAGCGGCCTTTTTCGGGGATCATTTCGGGCGTCGTCGTAAACCGGTTGAGGATTTTGGACTTGGCCGCCGAAAAAGACGTTCACGTATCGATAAGGGGCGACGTGGCATTGGTATCCGGAATTCTCGATCGCCATGACCATTTGCAGAAAATGCAACAGGCAAGTTTAAGTTGCGAACATTGCGACATTCGTATCATTTAGTAAATCAAAACGTTACCGACGCGTAACCGGTTCAATGCTGTTTCGGAACGTAGAACATTAAAAGGGACTGTATGGTATGTGTCAAAGTATATAGTTTTGAGTTTTGATGGAGAACCCATACCTGTTCCCGACGTTTGTTCAAAAATTTGACCGTTATAAGAAAAATATGTTCCCGATAAGCATTTCTCAATTAAGGTGAGAAGGTTTGGTTCCAGATTCACGGAATTTAATATATCTGAAATGATGTTGAGAGTTTCAGGAATAGGAACTTTGGTATAGAGGGATTCTACGTCCAAACTAACTAGAATATCCTGTGTATCTAATGTAATGCTTTTTAGTTGTTCAATGAATTAAGTACGAAACTATCAGTTTTTCCTAGATAGCTAGATATTTTGCTAGAAAATATGTTGGAGAACCAATGGTGCTGATAATAGGTAGAAGGGGTAATTCTGGTTTGTGAATCTTTGGGAGTCCGTAGAGATGAGGAATTTTAGAGTCATGAGGGGTAACAGATTTTTTCACGGAGTCTGATAGAGAAGAAGCCTTAATAACAGATTTAACGTTGTGATCCATAGATTACGTATGATCTTTTTTAAGTTGACGATATGATCCGTCTGACTACCGTAGCATTTCCTTTATCTGCTTTTAGGATTACGATGTCTGGGTTCGATTTTAGAGAATTTTGGGCTATGCGTTCAGGCTTTGCATTATTGGGTATAGGAGGTTTTGATTTTTTGAGGATTTTTGCGGTTTCAAATCGAATTTCATTAGCTGTTTGAGATGGCAGTTTGTTTAGAATAGACTCGATAGACTCGATTATTTTTGTTTTCATGCAGTATAAAGTATTCGCTCTGAAATACCTAGAGCTTTTACTAAAAACTTTAGACAGACCTTGTAGGCCAAGTTCCTTTCTCAAGGGTCAGATGGTAAAGAGTATCGAGTAAGAGCCATTTCTAATGGATTTATCGCGCTTTGATCAAACCGAGTTGTTCTAACGACAGAATAAAACGCACTACATTCCTGAATTAGCCTTGTTAGTATTGTTCTTATCAATCAAACTCGAAAAAGTTAGGTCAAGAGGAGTTAAGGCACTCTGGAGGTGACCACTCAGTTCACCTGATATAGAAAACATCTGGTTTCAGACTCCTCCTTCTGGGTTTCCCGGTTTAGAGGATGACCTCATCTTTAGCGGGGCCGGATCTGGTTGTAACGGTGACGACGAGGACGAGTGTCCTCCCCTGCCGGAGGTAGGCTCAGGAGATGACGATTTGATCACTCCGGTCTACGTGCCGCCCACCAGACCGCCCCCGACGGCGAAACCCAAGAAAATTCCGGACGAAGGAAAAGGATGCGACGATGACGACGACTGTATCGCCGGTTCGGGTTCGGGGGAAAACACTGAGGACCCGTTTACAAGCAGTAAAGCGACAGGTACCGTCAGATATAGTATACAGATATTACGCTTGGCAACGGTAGTTCCTCGTTATACAGGGTGTTGGGAAATTGAGTTCGGAAACTGGGAAGAAAGATGTATTTTATTTTTTTAGACTGATATTGCAAAATAGACCAGATGGCCATAAGCAGAACTCCTCAAAAATTGTTATTCTTGATTTAAGTCGATGAGTGTTATCTTCTAGCCACAAAAAGTCATTGTCATAATCCGTTAGAAATTAGTTTCTATTGAAAGAGCTTATTGAATATTCAAATACTGAATATCCCGATATGCATTTTTGCTACGGGAGAGCAACTGAGAAAACTTGCTTCTCAGGAAACAATTGCTCGCGATGGCCATTATGAAAATGATTTGTAATTAGGGTTGTATACTGTTTAATTCCCGATTATTATTAATAATGTTTTATTTTCGAAAAACTAATTTTTAACGGATTGTGCCAATGACTTTTTCAAATTTCATGAAGTCCTGTTAAGTAAAATCAGATTTACAAGTAAAATTCAAGAAGAAAATAAAAAATCGACTTTGAGAATTTGTGATTGTGCTTAAGGCAGGAGTCAATCAACTTTCGATAAGTATTAAAAAAAAAAACGTTTTCTGGGTTATTCTGATCAGATCTTTTTCCTAAAATTTTTCCCTGGATTATGAGTTGCGGGATATCATATTTAGGACCTCTCATAATGTGGCCGAAGCATTGTAGCTTTCTCTTTTTCACTTCCTAAGTGATTTCTACATATTTCTCCATTCTTCGCAGAACCTTGGTCACATAATCTGTCCACGGTCTTCCAATGCGATAGGCCCACATCTCGAAAGCTTCTAGTCTTAGTTTGCAGTATGCGTTGAGAGTCCACCATATAAAAGGACACATAACATTTGAGTGTCGGTGCGAGCAGTTTTTTGAACTTCATATACACTATATACTTACAACTGTTGGTCTTCTTAACACTGAGTGTCATACCATATTCTCGACTCACTGTGACGACTTTATTCGACGTAAAGTCTTATTCCACTGGCAACATTTTCGAAGGCTTTGGTGAGGATATCTTCCAAGTAGACGTTGAAAAGGAGGCTTGAAAGAACACACCCTTGTCTAACCCCTCCCTTGATTTCCACTGCGTTTGTCAGTTTGCACGAACAAGACAAACTTTGGTTTAGGTACAGTTTTCTGTATCTATTGTATCAAGGTCAATGTCATATGACCTTCATCTCAATTAAATCACTGCTGATGCTCATGTCTGAGGTTAATTTACCGGGTAAGAGGTCATCGTCTCTTGGCTTGTATGGCTTTATGTGCATAACAAATTTGTTTCATACGTCATCTTACACCATCGTTAAAAAGAAGTGCCCTTCTTATCTATTTAACAAAGTTTTATTTAGAGCGCGCGTTTATGGTTTAAATTTACGACCCAAAGGTCTACATATAGAACACTATAGAAAGGAATTTCTTGAAAGATCTATTCGGTGACACCTGCCGAGTATTCAAGAATAGAGTCTTTCTACACTCTCAGTCTCTCAAGGGTTGCCCTCATCTCAGATTAAATAAAATAAAATCATCCATTAAATTCTGTGTTACCTTAGTTGACCATCGTAGTTCATTCCACAAATATGATTTGCTAAAGTTTGTCATGAACATGTTTTTTGTTGAGAGGCTTAAGTTGATCGAGTGAAAACTCTTCCGCAGGTGTTACGGAGGTCACGGACTCCACTTTCACGCCGGTAGACAATTCGAGTACCAAAATAGTCACCGAGGAAGGATCTACGACCAGCATCGTCCACCACACGACCTTCGGGGTCGGGTACACCAACACGTCTACCGAAAGCGGAGTCAGTTCGACTCCCATTCAAATCACGACCAAATCCCACGTTCCGACTACTTACGTATCGACCGAAATGACGTATATGACGTCCCCGCCGACCACCAAGACCACCGAGAAGTTTATAGACTTATCCAACGAGATAAACAACAAACCGAAACTACCCCATCTGGCGGAAAATTATCCGCACTTCCCCAACAAACCGATCCCGCCACCCATCAACTCGGAAACGTCGGAAACGGTGGCGCTGATCATCGGCATCATAGCCGGAGCTTTGATAGCCGTCATCCTCATCATACTGATCATACTCAAGTTCAAATCGCGTAGCGATATATCGTTCAAAGTGGACGACAGTAAAGAGTACCCCCACGGACCTGGTGCCGCTTTGCTGGGCAGCACGGGTTCGAGTACCAACGGCCAGACCCAGTACCAGTTGAACGGGAACCTACGCAACGGGGACAAAGGGCAGCCGCAGCAACAGAAGACGAAAAAACGCGACAGCAAGGACATCAAGGAATGGTACGTGTAGACAGTGAAGTGCTTAAACAACGGTGACTCCGAGCCATAAAAGTTAAACCGGAAGGGAAAAGATTGCGTGATTGCGGAATGTATCTAATTGCGTGACTGGGGTGTGGGCACTGCAGGATTTTTTTTTGTTTGTTCATCTACTCTGAGCTCGACGGAAACATTACGAAATACTTAGCTGGGTTCATAAATCTTGACCACCTTAGGACGAAAAAAATACCAAGTTTAAATGGACTTTAAACCTGTAAGATTTTTTGAACCCATGGAGATATCAAGCATTTTTTGAATCGAATTATATGTCGAAATTATTCAAGTTGGAAATGTCATTGATTGAAACTGATTGAAAACGATGTATTGTGTGACAGGCAAAGTTTGCTATCTAAACAAAGCTATTTAACGGAGTTCGTGTTTATTTATGATTTATTTAGTATTTTATTGAAAATAAAATTATAAACTATAAATTGTGACAGTCCTCGTTATAAACACATTTAGTATTTGAAAGTGTTTTTTTTTAAGAGACGCCAACCAATTACAGGTAGTAAAATGGTACAGAATGTTTTCCGTATTTAATAATAAAAGAACACACAAAAATTGGAATATCGGTGAAAGTCGTCCGCATTGGTAAAAGAACTCTTAAAAATGTCAACCTACAAAATAGGTGTGCTATTGAATCCGTCTGGGTCTAATACGGCTCCTCGATTTTCCAGACACAGTTGGTTTTGTAACGTTGTATAGGCATCCACCAAAACGGCCTAGACCCATGTTTAAAATTTTTATACAAACAAAACAACAAAATTAATTATTTAATTTGTTTACTTTTTAATTAAAATGTAAGACGAAAAGGTTTTTTCTTAAACTGAATATCGTAGTCGACATTTTAGAAATTTTAAAATGATTAAATAGAAATAAATTATATAAGCAGTTAAATTTACAGTTACAAATAACAATTTTGTTGGAGTTTAAACAGTTTTTAAATAACTATTAAAGGAATCGTGTTATAGGGGTGGAATGACCAGCTTTCTGGAACGCTTTCTATTTTTTTCAGATTATTGCTGTAAAAAAAAATAAATAAATATTACCAGTAAAAAATTACGTCACTAACCTAAAGGTTTGATCTATTGTTAATTAATTAAGTGACAGTTTCTATTAAAAATAGATGATCCTGCCTTAGTTAAAATGTAAAAAAACTCATGTTTTTCAATTTTCAAAATGATATTGGGCGACGTTTCCTAGAGCTCGAACGATGTTATGCGTTAACGAAAGTTGTTGATATTTCGATGTTGAGAAATGATTCGGGCGCAAATTTGTAAAACCCTCTCTGTGGTCCGTTGAAAAACTTCCGCTTACTTGTGCTTATTTCTTCATCCGCTCTTTCTACGTTGTGTTGTTTTAAAACAATGTGAATGATGTGAAACCGTATTACGAACGTACCGTGCGTGTATTCCTATTAAATGTAAAGAAAGTTAAACCATTACTAAAACGCACACTGTTGACTAATGAAAATTGCCGGGAAACTCTTGGAAAATATCCTTTGTAATAGCTTTGTTCGATTTCCTGCAGTTCTAAAACTGTTTCCAGGGACAGTTCAGTTATTTTCTGTAAACATGAACAACACTTTGCGAGCATAGTATAGTACTTACTCTTAAGCGGAGACCGATTTTGACAGTTTTCAAACGGTTCTCATGTGGTTTCATAAAAAAACTACATCACTCAGTCCAGAGATGGTTCTAAAATAACTCTGTTCATCGGGATGTCGAATGAAGCTATTATGTAGCAGTGTTTTGGTTAGTTCCTCATGCAATGTAGAGGTGGATTTTACTCCTTACTGACAAATACCTAAACTATGGTCCCTGCTCTCGAACGAGTTGTGTTTTAGGTTAGTTGGTTCTGATTCTGTTCGAGGATTATTTCGTATTTTTAATACTTTCAATAATATCACTCCCAGTCTTTTCCATTCAAAATAAGTAACAAAAAACTCCAATAGCCTCAAATTTGTATTTTCATACGTTATATTAGTGATGACGTAGCATCGGCCATTTTAGTTGTTAGCTTTCGGCGTTTGAGATGCACACTACTTTATTAAGCTTCAACAAAAGCTGGGAAAGAATCGCGATGAACTTTAATTAGCAGCTTTGGGTACTATTTTTTAATACGGTGACGTCAGAAGAGTGCAAAATCCACCGCTACGCCTCTATTCTATGTCCATTAAAGCCTATCCACCCGCTACCACGGAAACAAACGCAAATTATCGGCATTTCATTGATTTCTTAGTACGACGGTTACTGTTGAAGAGACTGCAAGAAACTATTATATCAAATTCATATCAAACCACTCGACTAGCCATACTTACTGTCCCTAGTACCGTAGGTAGTAAACTTTAAGGAACCATTAGGAGAGAATGTGATTAATGGCTTTAGAAAGCAAATTCGGAAAGTTGCAAGCAAGCAAATTTCGTTTTTATACGTTATTATTATTCTTAGTATTTACAAAACTTCTGGATTCCTGGTTGTCGTTAAATTAAACTTGATGACCTTTCCCCAATCATCCTGTCGGCTTAACTGAAACTGCAGAAGCCGTGAATAAGCCTGCAGGATGATCCGTGAAACGTCAGCAAACGACAGTAGTCTGTGGAAGTTTCGGTGCAATATTCTTCTTCTTCTTTTTCTTTCATTCACTTGATTCACTTCCTAATAATCTGACTTGGAAAATATTTTTAAATGTTGTAGATGCAGAATTATAGCTCTAAATCTGTCTATATCTGCGCTTGTTTCTCACGGAGTGGTTATATATATACTCGCGTTATAAGTTAGTCAAATCTGATTGCGTTGCATTTAACTGTCAAAAAGAAACTAGTATGAAAGATTCGTAACCTCAAAACGCAATAAAAATTGCTCAACCCGCGTGTTTGGTGACATTCAAATGCGAGTCTTCGACAAGATTTGACACGAACAGATGAATACTCATTCAATCGATTGTTACTTCTAAGGATTATTACTACATTTAGATACGATATGATAAGGTGCCTAATATCCATAGAATTTCGACGATTTTTATCTAATACTTCTAACAAATTCAACTAAACTTTACTCTCCTAATCTCCCCGGCTTTCAAACTCCATATACGAGGCAGGAATGGAGTTTAACGTATCGCGACGTTAACGAACGATGATGTACTGTAAATAAAACTTTGAGTATTTAAGTCCTAGGAATTTAACGTTTCACAGATCTAACATTGGAAATGAAATCCGATTATAGACACCTTCTAGCGATATAGAGAATCTCCCGTTTTGTATAATCTACAATTTGTTTTCTTCGTTCTGTTGTGTAAAAAAGATGTAGGTAGGAACTAGGTTTTTGTATCATAGGTTTTGGATTTTTGTTAGAGCTATATTAATAAAATGGCGTATATTTGGATGTTACCTATGTTTTATTGGTTTCATTCTCGATCGTTCCTGTCCGCGAGTTTCTTTACTTTTATTATTCAATTTCCATATATGGCACGACACATAAAACAATAATAAATTAAATTATTAAGTTTAAAAAGGTGATTTAAAGTGTCTTTGGAAAGAACTAGAATAACAATTATATTTATGAAGTATCAAATTTGAATTTGTTATTACCATCAGATTGTGTGTCCCAGTTAATACGTTTTATACTTAAAAAGGAAAAAAATTAAAGAAACGATATTCAAAATTAGTGTATAATATCAAAATATTTTTGTTTTTCTTTTCTAGTGAAGTGTATTTAATAATTATAACGCGTTGTGTTTTGTGTGTTGCCATCGTTTTTTATATAATTATGGTGTTTCGAACTGTAAAGGGAATTGTAAACGAATCAAGCAAAAGTAGAGATTCCCCCCAGCAGAGACCTAGCGAAAGAAGAGGATTTTTTTTTCCTCCAAAAAACACGAAGGTGAGTTTTACCGGAAACGTTTTTGACAAGTGATGGGATCGTTAGTACCTAAGTGCCACAAACTCTGTATAACGTAAACCTCTGTATTACGAACAAAATTTGTTGTACTATTAGATCTCCATACAAAGCTATGTATTAATCCACTCTGTATAACGAATTTCTCACTCTCAAGTAAGTAACAAAGTGAGGAATGTAGGCCGACTTGTAACTAATAGCGTCTCTTACCTTCTAAGAATTCCTTAGCCTAATAAAAAAAAAATTCTCTAGTTGATAAAGTTGCTTTAATTCGGGAGATAGAACGGGGAGAAAAGAAAAGTGATGTGGGACGTCGATACGTTCTTATACCATCGAATGTATCCACGATTTGGAAGTGCAAAGAAAAAATCATTCATGCTGAAGCGGCAGGCAGTTCTAGTAAAAAACTAAGAAAGCGAAAATTTGAAGATTTGTGTCGGGCAATGTTGCAGTGGTTCCGATAGCAACGTCTTAAAAATCTACCACTCTCTGGACCTATCGTATAAAGAAAAACAGAAAAGTTTGCTGAACAGCTTGGGATTATCGATTTTAAGGCTTCGGAAGGATGATTGGGGAAGTTCAAACAGAGACATGGTACAAATTATGGACAGATAAGTAGCCAAGCCCGTGATGTCGACAGAAACGTCACCAACGAGTGACTGGAGAATCCGTGACCAAAACTAGCAGAAAAGTACCCTGGTGACCACATTTTTAAGGCTGTGTTTAAAATGTGACAGCAGAAACAATTCAACACTCCCATCATCATGCAGTACTTATTACCGAAACAGAATGCGAACAGGACTTGGAAGAGATTATCAGATACTAAGCGAGTGGATAAAGCAGTTTCAAACAACAATTACGTTTACAAGTGAGGAGTTGCAAGATTTTATGGTGATAGATCGGGATTTGCCTACACAACAGCAGATTTGAAAGAGGAAGCCATATTATAACAAGCAAGAAATTGCGAGGAAGAGCGCCAAGAGGAAGAAGAAGATGAAGAAGTTGAATTGACCACCACAAACCATCCAACAAGTCCTACATTCATTTAAGCTGCCAGATAATTTTTTATTATCATGGGGAAGATGCCCCTCTCGAAGAAATGGTGAAAACACAAACCAAAGTACGAGATACGTATTGGCATACTAAAAAAATTCAAAAGAAAATAACCGATTATTTGAAGCATTAGATGTAGTTCTTAAATATTTATATAAAATGTTCCTAAGTAGATGTAAAAATATTACAGAACACATATGCGTATTGTTATTTTTCAAGTGTCTATAACTCTTTTTTTTTAAGGAAAATTTAAATTTTCTTCTTAATATCTCAGCCATTTCAACAAACAATACCCCTAATGATTACAGTTATTTTGATTGTTCACACAATGTCTTCTTTTCATATTTATACTTTCTAGAACACTAGAAATACTTAACAACGAAGACAACAACCAAACTGCGCGTAAGCAGGTTGCAACGCTGTATTGACGTTTTTACACCAACTCTGCCGCTTTGCATAGAAATCAAACATTATCCAACGTTGCCAAATCACATTTAATTTCTTAAAAATGAAGCCCAACATGAAACAAACATCTTCATGCATTAATAAAATAACATTTTTAAGATACATATATTAAAATATACAAATAAGCAATGGCTTTCAAACATCAAAATCACTGTAGATCTGTGTTACTAATATTCCATTTTATTTTTCAGATTTTGAAACCTTTGCAAATTCAAAATGGCGGAGGGATTTATGAATTATAATAAATCAAACACGACACACATCCGTCTTCCGTTTATTTTATATAAAAACATCCATAGTTTAAAATTCAATATCACTTTGTAATTGGCAATAAAGACGACATCACTCTGTGCTAATAAACGACTCTCAAACACTTAACGTATTATACGAAGCTCGCTATTCGAATTAAATTTTTTTTATGATAATTCAACGACCTATATAATTTTCACATATCAATATATAACATTTAAATTTTGCGACTGCCGCGGCTAATAAATCGGAAATAATATTTTTATCCACACCTATACTAGTTAAGTGTTTAGAATATTTCGTTACAAACATTTACAGTTATATGGTGTTCGGAATCACGAATTATAAATAATCAAATATTGTCGAACTTGTTCAGCCGTGTACAACTATTTAGTGATGCCACTTAATTGATAAGTTAAGATTTCAAATAAAATCTTGCAACGTTTCGCAATCAACATGACAACTAACAGTTTAACAATTCGAAACCACAGCATACTGAAAAATATAGTAAGGTAACTGGACTTTTCCCACGCATTTCTAATTAGTTGAATAAGAGATGGCGCTGGCGACATTGCTTCGCAATAGAGGAGCCAGAGATGGCAACACTATGAATAAAAAATCAAGTCGCCTTGACTTTTTTCGTAATTTTATACATTCCAATTTGTTGTAGACATGGCAGAGAAAATTAGTAAAACGTATAAAACGGACGCAGCAAGAGGCATCGTTTCCCGAAAACCTCTCCAAACACAGTTGAGTGCTAGGCTCGTATTTGTTTTAAGGAATTTAGGAATTCAAATGGTAATTTCCTCAGAAAATTATTTTGTACCTACTGATGTTTTCATTTTTGGCATCATTCATGTTCATTTAATAAACAGTTGTGCACGGCCGAAAAACCCCATTATTTCGAAAGATTGTTGCTTTGTTGCGTGTGGAAGTATTAAAGAAAATGTCATTTCTGGCTAATTAAACTGCAGTCGAGAACTCCAGCTTCTTACAGAACGAATCATATATAGGTGCAAGACTATAGCTTACCCTAATAGTGCGTGATATTTTGAAAAAGTCAAAAAGCGTTTGATTTAAATTTCAAGTTGACTTGATTTAGATACCAAAAATATTCGCCGTTTTCAATAACAAGAACAACAATAGCAAAATCAGGAGAAACGAAACATTATCAACAACCTATCAAGAAATTACGAATAGCTTAAAAACACAGGGAATCTAATAAATATGTAAAGAAATTGTCACTGTGCCGCCCGCAACTCTTTACAGATAAAATGTAAATATCAAAAAGCTACAAACTAGAGACGTGCTAAATAGATATAATAAACACCCTAATTTTTGTAACGTTCTCTGGTCGCATTGAAACCAATATTGCAGTAGAACGTATCATCACCGACCCCAAACTTATCACAAAATTTTGCTCACGGACATTCCTTAATATGTGGTAAAATCTAACTTTAAAATGATACAATAACCTCGAAGTTCAACTGTAGGACCTGTCAAAGAGAGATAAGAAGAACGAATTTGATGAAAAGCCACTTTTCTTCGGTATCTGGTTCTGTTTCAATCCAAATTAGATTTGGAAAACATGGGATCGTAAATAAAATTTATTCAACTAACCAATACAACCTAAGAATTGATTTGGTTTGTATTTTAAAATTTATTTTGCTAAAAATTTGAAACTATGTCGCTAAAATCAGAGAGAGGTCAAAATCCTCTTGGATGTTTTTGGGAAATTGTAAACAGTTTTTAAAACGATTAAGGTCACCCTACTTGAATAAGTAGTAATTGTTCCAAATAGGACACCTGTTGAGAAACAGTCCCTAAATAACATCTCGATGTGAAAGTGTAAAGAGTTTTTATACACAGTGTAATAGATAATATAACAATATTAGCTATTTGGATTGTTGCACATTCGAGTACAAATAACAATTTACGATTTTCAAATTATGGAGAAAAGACAACCTACTCTAAAACGTAAAATTTCAAAATTTAACAATGCAACGGTCATAGACCATAAATAGTCGGGACTTTTTTGACAACTGTCAGTCGCCAGATAGATGATACTCCGTTCTCCATGCAGCACGGAAGTTTAATTGTTTCTTTTGTAATATGTATTTAATGTTTTCCGACATAAATTTGATTAAACACGAATGTATAGTGCGACGAGTTGTGATTTCCATCAAACTCCGCTACAATTGTTTTTTCTCAGTTATTAGGCAGTAAATTTTAGACAGAGGGATTTTGCTTGATAACATGATAAGCGTTGGTTGTTTAAGGACTCCATTGGGCTAACTGGGCTTCGAGTAAGTTATTTATTAATATGTTTGTTGTTTTGCGATGTAAAAAACAGAAGATAAACATAAACTTTGCAAGGCAACCGTAAATACAGGTAATACAAGATAAGGGCTGGTTCGATGACTCTTCTAAGGGTATATCTTTTGTTTAATATTTAACAGAAAAATGTAAATAAGCAATCTTCGAGTACTTTAAGGATTTTTTCATCTATATTTTCATATTTTATTTACCATAATTTGGTCCATACTTGGAATTAATAAGGGATTATTAGGGCACCAAGTTGATCGTTTTTCAATGGTATTTTTGAAAGCAGGCAATGGGTTGCCTGTAAAGGAAGTCTTTAATTTACTATTTTTTTTCTTATATAGACTTTCCCCGCTTTTGGGTGGTTAATGTAACCAGGACCAACTGGTTTTCTTTAAAAACTGATAATACTTTGAAGCACATAAAGTCAATAGGTATTTCGGGTGAGTCATGAATAGGTACATACTTTGATAACCATAGGTAGATGATTGCTGTCTTATTTTAAATAAAAAATTCACAATTAAATGAGTAATAAATATTTTATGACACGGGTGGAGGAACAGTTATTGCCTAATTTACCTCCATAAATCAGTTTTGATAATAGGCAATGTGGCGTATCATAACCTGCATGCAAAAAAAATCAACACTAGTGCAAACAGAGAAGTTGAATTATTAAAAATTTATGAGATAATCCAAGAAAATGAAGTAAAGTTTTCAATTACACCGCCATAACGTTCTGGGCTGAATTAAATTCCATACAAAAAATATGGACCTTGGTTAAACATTTGGTGGCAATTGGAAATATCGCATTTCAGTCGCCAGATGTAGGACATCTTGCAAGGCATAAGTTTTCAGAATTTACTGCTGAGGAATGAGAGATGACACAAAGAGATCGTGCATTTGATGATATTATTGATGGTTAGCAGTTCACAGAAAATACTGGATCCTCCGTAATGATTTTATTCAAAAAATATCTTTTATTTGCATTATTTATTATTGTATTACTTTCTTACTGAACAAATAAATAAAAGCTTAATTCACAAATAAAAATTACTGCTGCCTGAAACAGTAAATTTATTAATTTGTTGGTTGCGTTTCTATTTGTTTTGAACTTCTATAAAAACAAACCTTTTTTAGAGCTTTAAGGCCTAAACATAGCGAAGAATTAGTGTTTACCGCATCGCTAGATAGCGCCACATGGACCTATTTCTGATAAACTGTCAGGTTTGGCCGAGATATAAAATTAAAATTTTCTTATTAAGCAACTGGTACAGTTTTTCATATTTGAGAATAGCTTGAAAATTTCTTTTCAACGATCTAAGTTCCCTTAACAACACAACGTTTCTGACCCAGCCCGTGTAGTACGTTTCGTGAGTTGAACCAAGGAAAAACTTTCTTAATTTTAAAAACATTAATCAAACCCATATTGAGGAACATCCAGTGGCTAAAACACACAGGTACTAATTAAAAAACACTACTCAGACTTTTCGGTTACTTTGTCGAATCTTTCTATCAGTTTACCCTTAAAGCTGGAGAAGAACCTCACTCTCCACTAGGAAGCTTTGTGCTTTTTCTTCGGATTGCTTCGCCGTTCGGCTTCGGGCGTCGTTAGGAGCTTCAGATCCCGGTAGTCCAGCTGCAAGTACCAGCGTATAACGGATAAACGCCCCAGATGGGAGGACAATCCAACGCCCAACAATTTTATGTACATCTGCAGGTGTCATTTGAATTCGTTTTAATATTTTTGTAAAAGTTCAATAGACCCGCTTACCGTGTTATTTGACAGATATTAACACAAACTTTGAATGAGGAGCGATGGTTTATACCTATGATATCAGATTCAGAAAATATAAAATCATAAAAAATAATAGCACCGTAATACCCAAAATAAACAAGATAATTAATGTTTTTAGGAGTATATGAAGTTTTAGCTTGGGAATGTTTTGTTGAGGTGACTTCAAGTTAAAAATGTCAAATGGACATATATCGGGAACGCTATTCTAACTGAGCTACAAGCCTTTTGAAAGAAACACCGTTACTTTTTGTTTTGTTATTTTTTATTTATTTATGCTTTATTTTATCGAACTAGTTGTTCAAAATGTTCACCCAGGTGCTGCATACATGGTCTGCTGAACCTCTCTGCTCTCCACCGGTTTTGACATGTTAGTTTGACATTTGTCCCTTGAAATCACCCCACTAAAATACTGCCAAAATATTGCAGTCATGTCGTGGGACACCTTGTATATGCAAAACTCATTTTATACAATATAATAATCATTAATAGGTACAATTTAATAATGACTATGTGTTGAACACTGAGATCCTCGAAATATACCTTATATTTCACATATTTTCATGAAAATATAAAACCATAGCCTGCGGTTCAAAAAAGTATAATACATATTCAAAAACATAGGAATTTTAGTTTCTTTTTTCGAAATATTTTCTTTTTCCGATAAAAAAAAGTGGGATCCCTCACCACTCATTTCTACGCAGTCAGTGCAAAGATACGAAAGAAATTTGGTGTTTTTTAATACACAATGTATGAACATACAGACTCCAATACATAAATTATATAATTTTGTACGAAAAGTTAGTTACGTTTTGGTTAGTTCATAGTTGTCGTATTTTACCCTAGCAGAAGGTAGAGAAATAAGTTCTGTAATGTTTTATACTTTGTATTTGAAATATCTGTTATGCAGTACATATTTGTGGTAATTTAAAAAAGACAATAAAAATTTTATATGAAGAATATAAAAATTCTACCCGATAAGTCAAAAACGTAACCAAGGTACCTGTATTTAAACATTTCAAAATTTCATTGCTATTTTGATTATGTGATACACATCGGTTACTGGACATATTTGTCTGCTCAAACATGGATAAGTAACACAAAAACAAAAAAAGGATCCATTTTTAATGACCCACTTTGAAGTCTACCAGATAATTATTCTTCCTGCAAAACATATTATTTCTATTGAAATAGTACGAAAATGCGGGTGCGAATTGTTAAAATGACCTAAACCCTTTTATCCTTTGATTAGATTGTTTCGTTGTCATATACGTTACTTTACGCCTCAAAAAAAATAAATTTTTAGTTACGTCACCGGGCTCGGCAGGCACAACATTGCCGTTGTTCACATAATTTCTATAAATCACCATTTTCTATTGTAACCTTGTAAACATTTGTTACCCAAAATGTAAACAATGTTTCAAATTTTCTCTTCACTTCACTAAATATTAATAATTACATACTATGAATATTTGGAATAACTTGGAGAATATTTTCGTATAGAATTCCAAGTTGATGAAATCACTAGAATCACTAAATTAGACGCTAACTTCAATAACACATAGAAGAATCTTTTGCCCGACTGGTTCCCAGCTATAGAACTCGTCAATTATTCCTTATATATTTTTGAACCAAGGAAAAAAATGCTCCTGGGACCTGACAGTCATTAATGTATATTCAATGAACCCATTCTTTTTTGGCACCTTATATATAAAATACATTTCGTTTGTACATATTAGAGATACAAATGAAATGTTAACGTTTGAACTTTACAATAATCACCTGTTGCCATCAAGTTTGGTCAGTTGGTTAGTTTTTGTTACTTCCCTGCTGGTTGTCTTGCTACGACCCGTACTAATTTTGAAAATATCCAAAAGCAATTTCGAAATTTACCAAGCCCAATCTTACATAACAGTTCAGGTCTATGAGAATTTCGAGATTTCCAATTCCGAGTAATCGACGTCCTCTAGTCCTTGGTGCTCCTTAAATGCTATATACCGCAGGAACCTATGCTGCTTGGCTACAAGTGTGTCTGATTACAAATGTTACTACTATTTAAATGAAATGCCAATGAGATATAACAAAAAATGTAGTATAAAATGTTGACTTTAGTAAATGTTTTTGCTATATGATTGCCTAATACTGATTAATGGTCGTTTGAAATTTTTTACAAATAAGTCTTCTTTTTTATCAGAAATATAATAAAATAACTAACAACATTTACAAAATTTGATATTCGACAGGATTCGCTTTACCAATAATCTCAATATAATTGCTGAAGTATTACGTTCACGAAAATATAACATTTTTCTGTTACGATCTGCTACCAAGATGGCTATGGAATTAACAAAAGTTGAGTTGATTTTTTTTCAACTTCAAGAGAATTATTTTATACTAGAAATTTTACCAAATTTTTTTTCACAAAATTATCTTAAAATAAACATAGTTGCCATATGGAGTAAACTTTAACGCGGTCATTGTATTATATAGGGTGTCCCAAGGTTGGTCAAATGAGATAAAATGTACAGTTTTTGATTAGTTTCACATTAAGAAAAAAAATGTTTTCTTCCGAGCTTTTTCGAAATCTCAAAAAGTATAATTTTTACAAATAATTCGTAAGGAACAGTTTTGTTGTATTTTTGATTTTCTTCAATTTTCTTCATGGTTGCCCATAGCAATTGGGACACCTTGTATAATTAGGCTCAACTATATTCATATTTTTGGAAATTATTATTTTATAGTAGTACATATTTACGATTTATCCTATTATAGTAGTATTTTGAAGCCTTGATTAACAGAAAATAATGAAGTTTTTCTGTGGAAATGCTTTTTAGTTAGAATGTAAAATTAGTTAAACTTTCTGTAGAACTGATATAAAAATGTAGTGAATTTCCACAAATTAAATTAATAAGCAATTGGTTTCAGCTAAAAAAATCCCTACGATTCTAAATAAAAGATGTATTATTAGGTGACGGTTCCCTTACTCCAAGAAAATAAAAATTGTTCTTTAATTGAGCTCCAAAAAACATATACGTTTTGCTCCAAGAAAACAAGTTTGGCGTAGACTTTTTAGGAAATCTTCCAGAAAATGCTAAAAAGGATAAAATGATATTGTGAAAGCTTAGAGAAGCGCAAACAACAGTGTATTAGTAAGGAAGAAGCATTAAATATTCTAGTCATCGCGAAATTAACAAAATATCAATATAATTTTATTCGGGATATAACTGCATTTGTCTTAATCATTTATGAAATGTTGGAGGTGACAATTTTTTAACGTTGAAATACCTTTTTCAAAATAAAATTAAAATTAAATTAAAAAGACTCATTTTTGTTGAACGCCCTGTTTGGTTTTTTCCAGTTTTATAAAGAAACATGTTTTCATAATAGAATTCAAAGCTCCTTGTTTCCAAAAAATTCAAAACGAAAGATTTAGATGACATTTAGGTGTTTATAAAAGTACTATATTTTTGGGATGACCTGAATATGGTTTAAATCATGTAAAGTGACTATTTTTTCTATTTTTTTTATTTAGCTTTTCCAGATTAAATGTTTCAAGTAAAAAACCTCATGTTTTCTTAAGGTCGTTCCACCGTGTGGCGTGACTAAAACATTATTTGGTTGAGCTGTGACGTCACAATATTTGACAAGTGTATTCTACAACTATTTATAAACATATCTAGCAAATCAACAAATTAATTGGAAGTGGCCTATCGTGACATATCACGACAAGATTATACCTACACCGTTCAAGTGAAGTTACAATTCGTTACTACAAATGACACCTGCAGATTAACACAACACACCCTCCAAGACCCGTCAAAACTTACCAGCATCTCGTCGTCCGGTATTCTAGAGAGCAAATCCAAAATCTCATTATTCGGAACGGCGTGGGGTCGAAACATGCGTCGCAGGAACTTGTTCGTCGCCCACATCATCAGCAGATAACGCAAAGGTATCAGATAGAGCACCAACGAGGCAAGACACAGCAGGGTGATGGCGATCCACGAGAGATACGGAACGGTAAAATTGAACATACTGAAAAACGCACCAATCAACGAAAGTGTTAGACCAGATTGTTCGACCAACTTTTTAACGCTTTCCAACAAAGAGGCTATCTTGCCGATAGCGTTCTGAACACCTTGGGTGACTTCTTGTATTGTCTGCAATCGTTCCTTTAGACTCTTCTTCTCCTCTTTTTCCTTGTCTTCCTCGTCTTCGTCGTCTATATCTGAGTCGGCTACTTCGTCCCACGGTACTTGAGTGGGACCGGCCAAGGATCTGACCGCGTACTGTTTCAGGAAAACCAATAGAAAACCGACGGGCACCATCCATGGTTGGAAGTAGTAACAGAGGACGAGCCAGACTATAAGGGCGACGAAGCTCTGAAATTTCGACTCCCATTCGAAGCAGTCCCTAAAATATTACGAGTACCGGGTGTGTCTTCGAACGATAGAGTAAAGTGTGAGTAGTGAGTAGGTACAAACGCCTCTTCGTAAAACTGAAGATGCTGCTCACGACATTTCCCCGGTCCCTATAGTTTTTAAGACACAGGACACTTTTGAAAATGTTGTAAGTAGTAGATATAAAAACTTCTTCCTATGGTCTGTCAAAATCTTCATCGTGTTTCCCCAATAAAACTTTAACGATTTTTATTATTATCGTTTTTACTGTGCGTTTAGAAAAAAATGTTTTACGAGAATATAACAATGTCGCGTCGAAATCACTTGTCGCTAGATGCAAAACGATTGTGTATAAAACTTTAATCACTAGAGGATTTATTAAACCAGAAGTTTTAAAAGAAACCTGTCCACTTACAAAAACGTCAATATCGTCGATAAGGCATATTATTAATGGTGGAGAATTGTGACAGCGCCTAATAAGAAGGAAAATGTATTGTCTTTATCATAGCAAAGTTGTTCATACCTTGAATAAACTGAAAAGGAAGCTAGAAGAAGATGAAACCAATATAAATATAAACCGTGCGACCCTGCATAGAGTTATTTGTGACATGGAATTTGAGTTCCGCAAAATAGTAATGGAATGACACAGATTACGCACCTGGAGATTACCTTCAAGAAATTAAAACATATGTCATTTTCTTTTCTTAGTGTAATTTAATAAGAATATACCCTCCTAAATAAACAACAACAAAAAATTATTAAAAACTGTTTGAAAGTCGGTCCCTAATATTCTGTTTTTTAATACCTACCCAACCCGAGTATGATTGATGCCGGCATGTAACTTCAATAGTTGCGTACAACAGACAGAACGATGAAGATTGAGACATACTATACAACTAAGATCGCCGTGAAATAAGATTACTTTTTCCGTAAAATGCTAGTGATGCAGATAATTTTTGTCAAATGTTTACTATTTTTGATTTATAACCCACTTTCTTTTTCATGGAATGCCCAGTTCATTTAGTAGACTGTGAAATTTGTATTTGTTTACGTTTTTGCTCAGAAAAACACAACTAAATGATATTTTTCAAAATAATAAAATCCACAATATAATACTAGCTTTATGGTTATGGTTTATGATTTACCTACTTACTTAATGTGGCCGAACAACGCTATAATCTTTTAAATTAATTTGAGATATTTGTCTTTTTTTAACTTATATAAGTATAAAGGTTGTCCAAATAGTGTATTATCTCCTTTGATATTTGTTTTAGAAAAAAATATTAAATACAAAATATAGATAATACTAAAACAATTAAAAACAAAACCACAATTTAAACACAACAATTTGAAATTATTTTCGAATATACACCCTCTATATTATTGTACTGCATCACCCAATGTAGCGTTATTATAATTTATACTGAACGTTTTCGGGTTTATGGTCATTTTTTCGTCAAAATACCATGTATTTAACAGTGTAGTTCAATAATATTTTAAGCTTTAAGAAAAGCATAATTTATAGATTAAGGGCAAGAAAGTAAACATTTTTTGCAAAATTAAAAATTTACCTATTTATTTTTTGTTATTTTATTTTGGCTAATTGCGATAGTTTCTCAAAATTTGAAAAAAAATTTGAAAAATTAGTAGGAGTAATTAATGGAACTATAATATAATATACAGGGTGTTCGGTTTGATTTATTAACGAAAATTAAAAGTTTTCAATTATGACTCACCCTCTATAAAAGATTCGAACTAACCTCAAAAAAAGTATAAGAAAAATTACTTTACTCGTGTATAAAATTGTTGGCATAATAAAATTACAGTTGTCGGAAATAGTCTAAACAAAATTGGGTGATTGAGTATAAAAGGGGGTATTTACTAATGCAATAAAATACAGGGTGTTTCATTTCAAAAATATATAAGTTTGGTTTCCCACATATCTGTCAATCAAAAATTAAAAAAAATATATATTTCTTTTAGTTTTATCTATAGCTTTTGTAATTAACAAAAAAATTAAATAAAAAAAAGAAATATATTTTTTTGACACACTATCTGGACATACTATATAATTTTTTCAGAAACACTCATATAAATAACGGTTTTTTAAATTCTTTTCATTTTGTTTTAGTCAGAGCGTTTTATGTTTTCGGCACTTACTGAAAAAGTTTTCCGATTTCCAGAAAGTGCATGACGAAAACTTTGAGCCTCAAGACGTTCCTGACGAACACTTGTCGCTTGAATTTGATTTCAGTCTGCATGAACTTCTCCTCTTTCGGATTTAAGGTGCGGATACAAGCTCGTATCGGGTTCCATACAAGAAACATTTCCAAAAGTATTTGAGGCGCAGTACCTTTCGCTCTGCTCCGTAGTTTTTTGTCTTTCAAAGCGTACCACCTTTTCTCGCCGTTCCGTATCCGTAAAAGCGGAATCGCCACCTTTCCTAAAGAAAAGTTCATAAATTCATATACAGGGCGTCCCAACCGGCTAAAATATTGTGCAGGTGGCAACACGTTCGAATATATAGTGAAGGTCAACTTTCTTATTTAAATGGAACACCCTGTATGTTATCGCTTATCCTGCGCCTAAAGTCTCTGAGATATTTAACATTTTATGTTATTTTAAAAAAAAATCCTCACAATATTTAAAAACTGGTGAAAATTATTTTGTTCAAATGCAATCACCAATTTTAAGAAAGAATACAGAAATTGATAAATTTAAAGGAAAACACCTCAATCACTTTTTCTATTTACTATTTCTTTAAATTAGACAGACAGTCCGTCTTTTTTGAAAATTGACACATTTATGGAAAACTAAGAAGAAACAACTTTTTCCAATTAAATTTTTCGATATTTTTTAATACATATTTTTGTGTCAATGTTGGCCGGCAAAACGTAGGATTCAAAACTTTCGTAGATTGCACTACCTATCCCTAGGTTCGAAATATAATAAAAAAAATGTTCCCCTATAATGCAGACTTTGGTGGTTACACTATAGAGGACACGAACTGAATCGATTTTCCATGAAATAGGAGATAAAATGGATTCATCGGATAATTGAATTTTTAATGAAATCTCACGCCAGCTGATGGAATTTGTTTGCTTGTTCGATATTGCGCGATATTAATAAACAATACGAAATATTCACATTTAATGAGAAAACACTATGTGCACAGGGTGTCGAAGTAATTTGGCAAGGTTCTACATCTCAATCGTTATTCACATTTTTTTAAGTAAACGTTGCCTAAACCGAATCGATATTTTTAATGGAATACCCTATATATTCCACCTATTGTGAATGTAAAAAGATATATTTAAACTTAAACAATCCGTTTTGCCGTTTTTGCTTAAAAATACACTTGTGATATTTCGGGGTAACGAATTTGGATCGTTTTTGTTCTTGTTTGCCAAAAAATCATCCTTTCACAAAAGAATAAATAATTAGAATAAGAAGCTTTTTTCAAGGTTTGGACGTCGAAACCTAAATTGGAGTTGTGATATCAAGGGACCTAATTACTTATTATTTGCTGCGAATAATTTTAATTTTTGTATTTTATGGTGTACTTATCAATCATTGATTGCTTATTTTTGGCAAAATCCAAACAAGAAATAACCAATCTTCTGATTATGGTTGACCGACCGAACGAAAACGTACTTTGAAGAAAACAGTGGATTAAATCGATTATTTGAATAATTCAAAATGTAAGTTTACAACTTTTATCGATATACATTATTCACTAGAAAGAGATAGGTTTAAGTATTTTTGCAATGATTACTAAAAACGAATGTTACACAAAAACTTCAGTCTATAGCTACTATATCGGAATATCAGTATCGACACGTAGGGAACTTTAACAAATGTGACAGAAGAGCAATAATTTAAGTACGATACAGGGAGTTCCATTCATAGATCCAGAGGGAAATTATCTCAACCAATTTGAAGTTTGTCACATTTTGGATCCAAAGATTAACCCTTTTGTTTCAACATTTCATCAACTTGGTTGATTTAATTGCAAATAAAGAAAAACAGTTTACTAATTGTAATAAAATTAATCTACATCAGTTACAGTTTTTTCAATGGAAAACTATATAGCTTGATCTATTTGAGTGAAGATAGCTTTTAAATGTATACAATAAAGTAGGGTGATATTTGTAATAGAAACTATTTCCCGTTATTTCTTAAACTCACCCAAAAATTCGACCTTGTGATCGCGATCTTCGTCGAAAACTATAACCTCGAGGACGTTGTTGATGTCCTTGACGTTAAACGTGAAAATTTTGTTCCATTGGGGCGACAAAGTTTTGTATTCAGTCTGCGTTTGAAGTCTAGCGTTTCCCAATTCTAACACGCAGAAAGGGTCGCTCTTGCCGCCGATATCCGCCGCAGCCAATCCCGTAGCTTTGAAAACTTTGACCGTCAAGTGACCCACATCTTTAACGTTGTGGAACGTCCTATGCCAAAACTACAAACAAAAGAAAAAGATCGACTCGTTTTTGGATTTTATAACATTCAATAGACACAACTTTTTGTTTTTAGAGATATCAAGGTTAACGAAAAAACAAAATGTAAGTTTAGAAGCCAAGTTTTTTCAAGTGACGTATAAAACAAAACATTTTATATGTCGGTCCACTCTTTTTTGGAAAATCGGCAAAAATAGGAAATTTTTGGTATAATTTGAACGAGTGCCTTGACTGACAAACAAAAATATGTTTATGTTTGACATATTACAACGTTGATTAAATTATTGTCCAAGTCATTATTGCTAAAATGGTTCGGGAGATATCATGCTACAAACATGGCGGAAAAATAATGTTCCAATTTGTTTCTTAAAAACGAAAATAGATGGAACATTAAAATATTCCAAAAATATTACTATTATATAAACACACTTTCTGATTACCTTTTGTTTTTTTTAATGAGCGGCGAGGATAAAATTAGACTACATCTATCATTTCTCTTAACTAAATTCAATGAAAAAATTTATGCAATTTTGTTTTTTATTCGGAAACTTTGTTGTCTCCTGCGATATGTTCATAAAACTTTTCAAATAAAATAATCAAATGTACAGCATTACGTTATACATTGATTTAAATTTTAATTTTTTTATTTGGAAAAGTTTCTAAATGAAGCATAAAATTTAAAAAAAAAATGTCATTTTATAAGTTTTTTTATAAGTTTTCCTTAAATTTAATAAACCATTTTAATATAAATATTAATATATATATGAAAGGAACGTCTGACGAAAAAATGACTTTGCTCGTATACCCACGTATCTACTGAGAAGATTTTCCTTTTCCCTAGGATTTTCCTCGTAGTTGGACAAATCCGAAATAGTCTCAGACGCTGTCGTTCCACTGATCGTTAATAATAGGTGCAACGAGCCGGCTCCATCTTCAAGTTCTTCCCATAAATTATACGTACGTTCCCTTTCCATGTCCAGCAAGTTGATGACGCATCTATAAATGTTATTACTGATATTATTACTAATTGATACTCGGTGGTAAGTTAGATGTTTAGGCAGAACAGAAAATGATTTTCAATAATAAGTAGTAGAATTTTCAAAAATTTCCAAACCACATTTACCCGGCACCAAGAAGAACATTCTGTCTCTTGCGATATTCTTTTGGCGAAAAAAATTCTTGGACCAGAAGACGCAAAAGCGTTACGATTCCAAACTTCTTTTTTCCAAGAAAATATACTAATATACAAAACTGTAGTTACACTGTACAATACTTAAAATAAACATTAACCATAACTAAATCACTATGGGTAGTTTTTTATGTTTTAAAAATATTAATTTAATTAAATTTCTAAGAAATTTATACGGGGGGGAGTGCATCAAATAATTCTATTCTCTATTCATTTTATGAATGTCTTTTTGTTTGTGGTATCTTCTAATTTCCAGCACCTCAAATAATATCAATTAATGCTTAATGCAAGGTACCAACCGTCCTATGTAATCGTCCTTGGACTTGTCTTTATCCCAAACAGTGATCTCCAACTGCTGATCTCCGTCATCATATAAATGCAGATCGAATTGTTCCAGCCACCTTGGGTTTAAAGATCTCCAAACAATGCGGCTTTTATACTTTTCGTTACCTAATCTAAAAAGACCGACATTGTTTGAAACAAATACGAACGCGAAGACAATCTCACACCGACCTAAATTTAACGTAGGGGTCGGAAGTTCCGGTTTCTGGATCACAGGATAATAGGTTTCGACCCTCGATTAGAATAATTGTCACAACCGAACTCCAGATTTGAGATTTTAGCCTTTTATTCACGTCCTGCACGCGGCTGTTCTTCTGAAAATACTGCAATCAAGCCAAAAAAACATTAAATTTCTCTAGACCAGATCAAATAATCGATTCAGAATGAAGATTTATGCTCAAGAATTCTTATCCCAGCAGACGTATTATTACCCACAGACCTAAATCTTTCAGCAGATTGCGCAATTTGCAATGTGTAAATTCCTGGAAGTAAATTGAGGAACTTATCATTTGTTACTAGAAATAGTTATGATCGATCTCCACACTCTTTTATAACTTTACATGATTCCCCTGTGCCATTTCATATGCAGATATGCCAGTGATTGCTGATAGATATTAAAAGAAATACTGCTAATGACTAAGTTCTGCCCAATAGCTGAACTGTTCGGAATGGTGTCACTGGAGAAACGTACATCTCTTTATCACATGGTCACATTAATACTGTCAGAAGAACTTGGTATTTTTCTTTGTTTTCCATTCCAATGCGCCGTACTCTAGTAGTCTTTAAAAACTTTAAAAAGGTTGTGGAAGGTTCAATCCTATTAGTTGTGGGTTTTCGATTTTTGCTAACCTTCGTTGAACACTCCTGTTTAACACTACTTTTATACAAATAACTATCACGAAAAAATAAAGAAAAGGTTTTTAAAAAAATACTAATTAAAATAAGTTATTTAAAATTAAGTCGATTATAATCAGTAGAAGTAGATTGTAGTTAATACAATAATTTACCAATATAAAGTAGTTGTTTCTCGCCGCTTGTAAAAACAAATTAATTATAGATTTATAAACACCTATTTAATATTATAATTACAATTTGCATACCTATATTGTCTTATATATTTATATAATAAGCATATTTTTTCTTACCTGTCCATTTTTGTCAGCGGTTATTACAAAGTTTGGGATATCCCCACTTAGTTTTGGTTTTTGCGGAAAAAAAGGATGATTCCTTTTTGTGCAAAGATATTAGGTGCTTTCTTAAGCCTGTTTTTCACTTTTATTTCAATCTTCTTCTTCTTCAAGTAAGGATAGATCCCCCTTCATGAGCACATAAACTCCAAATATATAACAAAGGCTTTTAGTAGGTTTAGTAGGTAATTCACTCGCCACCCTATACCTATCTTTATTTAGTAAAGACCTTTATTATTATTACGATCATTATGATTGAAATAAAAATTTGCTATCAGGCAATTATGAATTTAAACGGCAGCGTTAAACGATAACGAGGATTAATAAGGCTTTTTTTGTCGAAATAATTGCGTGGTTATTATTATTGCGAGTTTCGGCTTTAAATTTAACGAGAGCTTCGAAGTAACGAACTTTTTGAGGTTTAATTAAAACCGGTCGGCAAGCTATAAAGTTTCTTTGTTAAAACTGATGCAGTTTCGGCACAGAAATTCGATTAAATCGCTGACGCTTGCTCGACTACGCAGGTAGGAAACTCATTAAACTTTCATGCAAAAAAAAGGAAAAAAAACATCTGTTGAATGAGACGCAGCGCTGGGATTTCTACAATGCGAATGGGACAAATTATAATATTGGCAATGGTAAACGATCTTAAGAGTTTCCCACGAAAAATTGGATTTATTTTCGTCGGCAAAAATTTGTCGATCCCCCCAGCTTTTACGATTTAGTTGCAACAAAATACACTAAACAGCTGTTTAAGTAAGAGACCAAAGAAGTTTTTTACACTTGAATAGCGTCGCTATATTTTCACCGATGATGAAGATGAATTTTTAGCCATTTTTATCGTCAGTAATTATAAGGCAGTAAAGAATTTCCCTTTTTCGGGAACGAATAGGCAAATGGGAAACAAGAGAAGTTATTTAAAGGTCTTTATCATGCTGGGTGAGTCATTAAATCAACACTAATTTTTCAAACTCCCACAGATTACTGTAAAGGATGAAAAATGTTCCTCCTCAAAGAATAACAAATACAGTATACACTAGTCAAAAAACCAAAGAAAATGGTCAAAATCAGTAGCGTGCGGAAGAGGGTTTATGAAATAGCGCAATAATTGAACCTATAGCCGGTCATTAAAGTTACTGAACATGAACATGATTCTTACCAAAATTTTTAAAAATAAAAAAAATAAATTTCATAAATTTTTACAGTTATAACACCTTTTAAACAGCAATTCCTTACAAAACTGATAGAAATTAAATATATATATATATATATATATAAACAAATATATTTTTAAATTTAATAAAATTATTTTTGCACGCCGCTGCTGATGACTTAAACTCAATAGAGAATTGACTTAATACACTTGTTTATACGCCTTACACGGAAATTTTAAACGAAACTCAAAAATAGCAAAAAAATTATCATTTTTTTTTTTCAATTTCATAAATCCTTCTCGCGCAAAAACTTAATAGGAATTTAACTTATTATTACGTTATAAATAGTAAAGGTGTAAAGAGTAAAGATTTTTTAGTAGAATTTCCATTGACAGGACAAAATTCATAACTAATTAAATCATTCCCGTTATGATATCTTTCCAACTTTTATTCCAAACAAAACTGTTAAAAATTTTGTCAAATTTAAAAGCTGCCGGCGTTGACCATTATAATCTGAAACTTAATAAGGATCTAACTTATTACACCTACATTTTACACATTAATTCTAAACAAAACGGCTAAAAATTTTAAAACAATCTTGATTTCATCAAAATTGATAAACTAATGTTTGCACACCTACCATATTCTTTGCAAGTTATGTCTTGAACCAGTGTAGATGGTATCTGTTAATGCTCGGTTATAATTTTTAAATAAAAAAGGGATTTCAAAAGCAACAGGATTCACCGTCTTGTCCGAATGGAAATTTGTAATAACAACGAGACGGGATTTTTAAAAATTCCAACACAACTGACAACACCACAAAGATGACGTTTTGCACCATTGGCTGAAAATTCAATAGGAAACAAATGTGGAAATCATAACTAGTTCAAATTAGGTAACTTCGTGGGCACCGCACTTTTTTCGTTTTTTTTTTTTTTTTTTTTTTTTTCGCTAGATCGTAAACTTACGTGCTCCTTTTCCTCTTGGGTTTTCGGATACAGCGTGGCCGACAAATAAATTTCTCCTAAATTGGCATCCGGTCGCGTAGGGTCGTGTAACACTAAAGCTAAATCGTTTGGTCGACTTAAATCTAACGTGGATAAGTCTAATACCGCGGAACCCATAAAGTCGTCCTGAAAATCCATGTCGATGTATACTTCGACCAGAAATATAGTGCTTTTATGACCGACCCCGTGATTAACTTTGCCTACTGCTTATTACTTCAAAACCGCCTCTTATAGAACGTTCTGCCGAGCAGACCCTTACCCGTAACCATTCCAGGACCGTCCTAGGAATTTATCTACCTACACTAACAAGCGGGACATAAGTATACTTTCGATCTTTGCTTTGTTTTCCATGTCTACCTCCAACAGCGGAACATCTGCTTCATTCCACGGTCTCCACATTTTAAAGTGTTGAGAAACAGGAATATTGAAAAAATGTTTAATTGCAAGATTCTAATAAATATTTATAATCTATAGTCTTAAAAGAGATTGTTGTTGTTTACAAATCGAAGAAATATGTCGAAGACACAAAAAATTTAAAAAGAAGAATGTTGTTAATCGACAGGCACACAAGACAAAAAGGATTAGTTTCAAACTTACCCGTAAGAAAAATGGAGAAAAGGTACTCACCCTTACCTGTTAAATTATCCAGCGAGAACAGCCACGCAGGGTCAAAATGTCCAAAATAAGGTACATAAATACGTACTTATTGCTATTTAGATTAAACTCTTAAGAACAATACATATCACCTGATGTTAAAATAAACGCATGCACTTATTCGAAAATACCCCGCAGCATCAATGCTTAATCAAATTTAAAACGGTCTATTTACGTTCCAAATAAAAATTTCAAGTTTCTACAAATATTCGTTACGGTCCATCTCAGGAAAGACCTACTTAATGCAGAACAAACATCTGGTGGGATGGGTTTTACCACGGTCCTGCAAAAGTCTGCGGTTAAGGTACTGTAAAATACCTCAAACCGTCAAAGCACTATATTTTTGGTCGTGTTATATGTGATTCAAATAATAAAATGTAGCAACGTATAATATTATAAGCAGTAAGGCTAATTTAATGCGTATTTCCTTTACCTATTACCTGTAAGCCCCAGTCATAATCGAAAACTTTTATGTAAATTGGAAGGAACGGGTCTTCTATAGGCACTGTAAAACTCTCGTCCCATACTGGGTTCAAGTCTCTATAAATTGTCCTAGATTTATACACTAATCTACCTCCGCACTTGAACTTTACGTAAGGGTCACTTAAACCTGAAAATAATAACGCTGTTATATCGATTTAGCGAGGAAAAGAGGAAAATAAAAGCAAGGAAATTGCAAAAATTGGAAGAATGAAAAAACTATCAAAAAATCATTTTTTCGATAGTTTTACGGGATATCTCGCTTATTGTGCTACTTTTTCCAGAATAAAGCATGCCCTAGTAAAAAAGTAAGAATCGAGTTTGTCGTCGTTTCTCACGCAGAATGCTTAGATTGTTCTGTCTTTAATTATTTTCGAGAAGTAAACCAAACATATATTTTTAAGTCGTTGACCCTGTATATAATATCTTCGATTTTGTCAAAAGCATCTCACAAATATATAAATTTCATTATATTGAGCCTAAATTAGGGTTTTGATAAAAATAATGGTTTTTGTTATTTGATCATGACAAGTTATATTAAAAACAAAATAATAGTTCTGTGCACAGTGTTATAATGTTAACTATTATAGTAAACCCCGAGAGATAAGGTTCGTTCAAATTTTTGCACTTTTTTTTTAAGTCAATGCCACAGTCCTAGGCAATAATTTACACTTATTTACAGGCATTTTAATTGTTGTTTCGACTATTTGCCATAATAAAACATTTACTAATTTGGTTGAGAATAAAAACCAGTTTCTCTTGAAATTCTTCAAATCAGTTTCTTTGAACGTATAATAAAACATTAGTTCTATGGTTATAACGCCTCCTGGCGGCATAGACATGAACTTGACAATTATTTTTACTATTATGGGTCACTATGGTTATAAAATTTTGACGCCCAGTATATCGAAGAGATTAACGAAACGTAGGCACAATATATAATAAATAATAACCACAGACAAGGATGGAATCAAATTTTCTCGGAGAGAAGAACGACATGTTCGGCATTAAATGTATACATTATTTGTAGCTACACATGCACCGTTATTTGCGACATTGGATTCTGTATTTGATTTTTAAAATGTACGTATTGTTATCTCACACTTTTTGCTTTCCACTTTCATTTCTATTTCACTTCTATCACATAACCTAACCTCGCTCTAGACGGACTATCCGGATTATTTGGTATTATCACATTCAAATAAAGATTATAAAATACAAAATAAATATTTTTTTCTACTTTCTTCTGTAAAATACAACGATCTAGCGTGTGGAAAGTATCATTTTACCACGTCAGTTTGAGATATTAATTTAAGTTATTTGTACGACGCAAACTTAATATACTCATTACAAATCTGCTAAAAAAAAATACGAAATATCATTTTTCTTCCTAATTTCATAAATTTATTTTTACATGCCGGTAGTGTTACTCACCACTCATCTTAATAATAGCAACAACTAATTCTTAACAAAAGTGTTAAAAAAATTTAAATAAAGTTTTTTTTAAATCAAATTTCACATATTCTTTTTGCCACGCCACTGGTGTTCACCATTTCCTTTACAGGTTTTTGCTTGAAGCAGTTTAGATAATTTAGACAGTAACTGTAAAAAGAAGCTCTTCAAATCTAATCATGCTTGCTGTGGTACATTTTATAAAATAATATCAAGCATACGACTTAGGCTTACAAAAAATTGCATTAATTCCAATATCAACTCACAACCAGAATCAGGTATCGAAAGGAAATCAGGCAATGTCCCTTTTAGTTACGACAGATTCTCATCCCCATAAATTTGCGATAAAACATACCATTTTTATCCATGGCGACCAACCCCTGTCCTCTTCGTAGATAAATCCTAAGCTGGAAGAACGCATATTGACGCAACGTCGCTTCTTTTCTTCGTGTGATTTCATCGTTTGATGTTTGCTGCAATATTTATACTGAATTTATTACACAAACATTATTAAATATTATTTACGTCTGAAGTCTCCCATAAAAATATTTTTTAATGGAATGGATGTGTAAGTAACATTGTTGCAAGATAGAGGTGACAGGCAAGGTTTTTCCAATATTATCCAAAAAAATTCGAAAGATAAATTTCTATTCAAATTTAAAATTTCCCTTACTCATATTCTCACTAAATTTATTTAATTAATTTTGTCGTATTTGCCAATTTGAAAATTGCGAATGTATGCTTGAAAATTTTTAAATAATATTTTTACTTAACCACTTCGTTCAATATTTTTGTACTCTTCGTGTAGACATACATAGGGAATCTCATTTTTAAAACAAGCATTTTATCATATCCTCTAATTTGGTGGATATACTGTGCATACAGAATGTCTTAAAATACGATACAACAAATTTAAGTGAATCAGCCAAATATACGTCTTAATTGTTTTGTTTTCAAGGCAAAAATTGTCAAATTAAGAGATTCTTATTAATTTTTACACAACATCGATAAAATCTGTTCCTTATGCCAGAAAATAAGCATTCCCAGTGTTATGAGAATGATTTTAAAATTTGTGAGATATTAACAACAATTTTTTTTTTTAGGAGGTTCAGTATACAGGCAACGGTTTTTATTTTTTTATGTTGAAGACGATTGCTTGATCTTACAAAAATCTAAATGCTAAATGAATTGTTATCAGTGAAATTTGACACAGAATTCGAAAATATGATGGTGTGTGTGGACATTTTTCTTCCAATACCTGATTTTTAAATAAATTTGTTCCATATTTTAGACGTTCACTGTATCATCGGACTTTGGAATTATCCTAGCAATTCCAAACATATTTAATAGACCGCGTAAATTTATATCTAAAACCGGAATGAAATAATCCACGGTTGAAAATGGTTACTTTGTATTTTCTGTTTAAGTGGCCGTAGAGTTTAAACGGTTAGACCTAGTCCAAAGTCAATGCCACCTTCCTGGCATAACTTTTTGTCATGAGTTAATTGGCATTCTCTTCCGGTATAAATGAAAGCCAATAAATCGACGGCCCTGAAAATATTTTAGTTCGATAGAACATGACAGACCAACCAAATTGTCAGTTAATTGCAGATATAAAGTAAAAGTCAAATTTAACACAAAGTCAATACAAGTTTCAATCTAGATAATTTTTAATTATAATAAAATTATATAAAATAAAATATATTTAAATATAAACTATATATAAAATATAGTTCCTCGCTAGGAAACAAATTTGATATTCTAATTATTTATTAATTTTTTGTATCCATCATTATTCTTTTACTGCTAAAGATGTGTCGGATGAATGATTCCCATATTGGTTTTATTTTTTTTTTTTTTTTTTTTGATACAACGATTGATTGCAAGCAAAAATGTATTTGTAGCAGTTTTAAGACTCTTTCGTACATTTTTCAATTAAGATGAGAAAGTTTGCTTCTAGATTCTCCGATTTGATTGCATCTGAAATAATGTTAGAAGTTTCAGAAAGAGGAACTCTACGTTGAAAAGTTGAAAAATAATAAATTAAACCAAAATCTAAACAAATAACTCAGGCAGTTCAAAAATTGTAGAAACTAACCGGCTGCTAATAGAGAGAAAAAAATCGAACCTGGAAACAAAAATGCGTGAAATAGAAAAATTAATAGTAGTGCAGTGCATGGAAGCCTGCAGATAATGCTGTAAATCAAGGAACAAACCAATCCTAAGATATCTCAACCACGATTAATAAACAGGAATTTAAAAGGGCTTTAGATTCAATGAAAAATTGAAGATAATTAAAATACGGAGGTGAATTATTTCTAGAGAGATGGACTCATTTCATGAACTATCAGCCGAATGGAAAATCTCCTCAACAGCTTAATGTGTATGACAATAGGTTACAACATAAATTGCGGTCAGAAGTTGGTAAGTGAATAGTAGATCAGAGCAATTTCTTCACTTTACAAAAAATTTAAGACAATTTCAACAACTCAAGAAGTTCATGTAGTCTTTATTGATCTTAACAAACCTTGGGATAATGTATCCAGGAACAAACTATGGGAGGCTTGGTGCAAGTCCAGACAATGTCTAGGAACGACAGCGAAGCGAATTCGATTTGGTTTAATAGACATGTTTTCAATAAAAAGAAGTAGAGGCAGTGCTGTGTTACGGGTACGAGACATAGAATAATACCAAATAAGATGGAGTATCTGCCGCCCCAGAGTTTCTAAACTGGTCAAATAAGCCAGAAAAGTGTTACTTGAGAAATAATTAACAAAACTTCTTCTTCTTCTTCTTCTTATTCCTACGTTAAGTCCAATGACTTGTGTTTACTGGCTAATATTTAATCTTATTTGTGATTCTGATGACCAGCTATCTCGCCATCTTTTTTGTGGTCTTCCTCTTGATCTTTTCCCTCGGGTTTTCCATCTCTTTTGATCTTTGGTAATCTGTGCTCTTCCATTCTCGTTTCGTGTTGATTCCAATTTCTTCTTCTCTCTCGTCCCCATCTTACTATATCTTGGATATTACATTGTTGCCGGATATCTTCGTTTGTTACATGGTCTCGTCTATTATGCATCTTAATGTTTTCATTTCAGATGTTCTTAGCGCTTGTTTTGTTTTCTATGTATCGGCTCTTGTTTCTATGGCATACGTAAATAATGGTCTTATACATGTTTTATAGACTCTTGTTTTCGTTTCTATTCCTAGATGTTTATTTCTCCACACTATATATATACAGGGTGCGCCGCCAATTAAAAAAAAAACTGTAGAATGGGTTCCCCTATTATTGAAAATTGGCGATAATTTCAAATCTGTATTTTAGATGTCAGTTTCTTTTACACGACGATACAGCCCATATAGACAGCTTAAACATTTGTATTTACGCTTTTTAAGTATTGTGCAGGGTGTTCGCGATATTCCGTGCAATATTAAAAAACTTAATAAGTACTCCAAATTTGCAGCTAACGACTTCAGACTTGGGAGAGAAGTAGTAGACGGGACGCGCATTTAGACTATTTAAATTGGGAGCAATAAAATAACACGAAGTATTTTTTTTTTGAATTTTTTTTATGGTTATTTTGGCATCCAGAGAAACATCTTTTCGTCCAAAGCCATTCATCCGATCTGAAAAATTTACGCTATAATTTGTTGCAAGCATTTTATTGATTATATACAAGGTGTTTAAGTTATGGACAAAAATCTAAAAACCCTGAAAATTCTTGTTTTAGAGAGTAAATTATTAATCGTAAACCAAAATTCGTACAAACAATAACTAATCCGTTCAAACAGCGTTATAGGCCGTATCAAGGGCTACAATTTTTGTATTTACAGTTTTCGTCGCTGTTCGAGATATTTGAAAAAATCCAAATGAAAATCACCATTTCTCGCCCTCAATCTAGACGCGATGACGGCATTTACAATTAGCACGTACCGAATGGTACCATTTACTTCATTGGAAAAAAAACTAAGGAGATCCTGACCTATATCCTCTATTTCGAACATTGTTGGAATTATATACAGGGTGCGTCGTTTGTGGGCAAAAAATTCTAATAGATCTTATAAATTTCCGCTTTTGTGGATGAATACCTAGAACATTATTTTTATTTTCCCTGTATTTTATTTATTTTGACTGATATTGCAAACTAGAATAGATTGCCTTAAGCAGAATCACAAATCCTCAAGAATTCTTCTTCTTTTGTTCTCGTATTGCGTTTTTCACGTGTTTTTCTGTTATTATCCAATTTGAGCCAATTGTTTCTGCTTTGTCTTGAGCGTTATTTCCTTATGAGTTGTATAGATTTTCAAAGTATTTTGTGCATTCTTCCATTTTTATTGAGTTAATCTTTATGTATTCATTTATAGGTCTTTTAGTTGATCGTAATAATTTCCGCGCACTTTTCTGACTTCCATAAAAATCATGCTCGATGTCTTTCGTGAATCTTTCCCAATATTCCTCTTTGATGGTTTTATCCTTGCATTCACCCTGTTTCTGGTTACTATATAGTTTGCGTGTTCTTCTGGTGTTTTGTTTCTTCTATATTTTAAGTACGCGTCTCGTTTTTCTTTGCATATGACTTTTACCACTTCTGTAAACCAGTTTTTGTTAACTTTTTTGTTATTTCCATTAATCTTTCTTGTTCCAAGTGCTCTTATTATGTTGTTTGTTATTTTTTTCCAGCATTGTTCTACATCATCGTCATGTGTTATTTTGTTTTCTTCTGTTTTTAATTCTAGTCTGTTTTGATACAGATTTTTTGTCCTTTCGTTATTCCATATTAGTTTTCTCTATGTATTCTGGTTGCATTTTCAAAATGAAACTTGAGAAAAAAAAATTTAGCAGCTGAACGAGGCTAATGAACTTACCCCGTATCAATTATGTAAATAAAATTATTTAAATTCGTCCGTGCGAAAGCCGCAGACCGCAGTTCGTGCGTTTTGACATTAAACAAAACACGAAAATCGAGCCGTAATTGCACAGGCAACGCGAGTTATGGCGTCAACCCGGTTTAAGCTGATCGGCTATTTCGAGCAACAGCCTTATGTACGTGGCACCGGGTCTCCAATAAATGAAAACATCGAAAATTATTTAGGTGTGCCAAATTGCCTGACTCGCTTCGCAGCACAAATCACTCGCACGGATTGACGAACGACTGACTGGTAAGCGAGAAAATTGAGGAAGCACGATCAATCTGCCAATCTGTCAATAAATTAGGTTAGGTTTGCCGTTCTAGACCGCAGTTTTCGGGTTTCACGAGGCTCTACTTGATATACAGAGTGTCCAGGGAAAATGGATGCAAACCAATAGAACTTTACAGTTTAGTTAAGTAAGAAAGGGGTAGTAAGAAGTAAGTCTAATTTAAACCAGCCGTTTGAGGCGACTTTTAATGATTTTTTAAAATTTTATTTTAATAATAGGATGACCAATATTAGCGTTTTAAATTTCAACTTCGTTTGTAGAGAATAGTTTGTTAGAAAAATTCACTATGTAAAAAGCAACAACTTTTACAGCTGTTTTTTACAATTATCATACATAGCCGAATGGGACTTTCTCTTTTCAGTGTCACTAAAATGTTTGACAAAGATCAGTCCGATGAGATATACATAAAAGTTTTGCTTTGCATTGCCATTTCATTGGAGAAGACGGTGTGTAAAAATCGGTATATATGTATATCTCTTGTTGTATTTGTGACAGCGACCATATTAATTGAGTAATTCCAAACAAAAGAGTTAATACCCACATAGCCGTACATCTCTACTTTTGAGAGTCATTGAGTTAAATTTTGAGGTACTATTTTTAGGCATATTTAAAAAAAAATCAATTTTTTGTTTCTTAATGAGAGAAAGTTATAAAATGTAAATTTTGCCATGACAATGCGCATTCCAGTTCTTAAAACCTACGCAGGACTTTCTAGAGGTAGGTAGTTTAATAAAATAATAAATATATCAACAATTATTTATAATAATAAATAATTATTCTAAAATCAAGTAAATACAGTCGAAACTCTATATAGCGAAATTGAAGGGACTGCTTTTTTCTCGTTACTAAAAGCTTTCGTTATAAAGACTTATAGGCACTTTTTTATAGATATTTTAACGTATACTGAGCAACATTTTATATAAATATTTGAGAACAACATTTAATGTTTCAAATAATCGTGGATTAATGCATAGCTTTGTATGGAGACCTAATAGTACAAAAAATTTTGTTCGTAATACAGAATTCTACGTTATACAAAGTTTCGCTATAGGGAATTTTGATTGTACAAACTTTTATACTAGCGAAAATAATTTGAAAATGCATAAATTGTAATAAATACGGAAGTGTAGAGAAATAATAATGGACACTACACTTACTCCATTTTCCCTCTTGCTAGAGGGTTTCAACGTCCCACGTGTGATTAATTCAGTTTTGAAGCGGTTTCGTACAAAGAAGTTGAAATTAACTTTTATATCTACAGCAGCCTTTTTTTCCCTTTCTGAAATTACTTCTTATTTAAACTAACCAAATGAATGATGCCAGTTTTTTTCCAAGAGAAGGTGGCTATTTTGTGAAATTTAAGTGGTAACTGCCATCCGTCACTATAATAGAGCCAAGAGTAGAACCAATAGAAGAAGTAGACCCAATCGTAGAAATAGTCTCGAAAACCTTCAACATTAATGTCTTCATAGTAGTCTCCATGCCGTTTCGGTTGAAATGCTGGTAAGCCACCATCCACAAATTCAGTTTTGGTACCAACGTAAGTAATTTTTTACTTTTTTCCAGCGTGTTTTTACTCCAACGGACTATTCCATGAAAGCTTGCCTCAAATGTGTCAAGATAGGTATTTCTATTTCAAGTAAAACGACTGTATTATTTGATAAGCTATGTATTAATCCACTCTGTATAACGAATATCTCACTCTCTATACCGAAAGAAAAAATTTGAAGATTTGTATCGGGCAATGTTGCAGTGGTTCCAACAGCAACGTTTTAAAAATGTACCGCTCTCTGGTCCTATCGTAAAACTAAAAGCAGAAAAGTTTGCTGGCTGGAAAAGACGTGGCCAAGACTAGCAACTAGTTGACGACATTTTTAATGCTGACGAAACTGGGATTTTTTACAAAATGACGCCAGATAAAACTCTTAAATTTCGAAGCGAAAGGTGTGTGGGTGGAAAACTTTCAAAAGAACGTATACCAGTGTCAGTAGCTGCCAATATGAATGGGAGAGAAAAAACATAGCTAGTCGTGATTGGAAAATCAACTAACCCACGATGTTTTAAGAACATCAAAGTCACTTACAAGGCAAACAAGTCTGCATGGATGACATCGCAAATTTTTGAAGAGGAGATACGGAAATGGGATGTAGAATTAAAGGGGAGGAAACTCTTAGATAACTACCCAGAACGTTCCCATATTCCAAATCTACGGAATATCGAATTGGCATTTGTTCCAGCCAACACAACAAGTGTACTACAGCCGATGGACCAGAGCGTAATAAAAAGTCTTAAGAGTCGATACAGGAAAAACATTTTAATTGAAATTTTACTTTAATATACTAGATGCAATCAATTTTATTAGTAAAACTTGGAACAAGATAATAGCAGAAATAATTCAACACTCCTATCGTCATGCAGAACTTATTACCGAGACAGAATGCGAACAGGACTTAATACAATAGCAGACTTGACAGAGGAAGCCATATTACAACAAGCAAGAAAGAGTGAGGAAGAGCACCAAGAGGAAAAAGGAAGATGAAGAAGTTGATCTTGGACCACCACCAACCATTCAAAAAGCCCCTATATTCAGTTAAGCTGCTAGAGAAATTTTTTATGTAACATGGGGAAGATGCTCCTCTCGAAGAAATGGTGAAAATACAAGCCAAAGTACCAGATGCGTATTTGCATACTAACTCATTATAAGGAAAACTCATTATAACGAAAAAAAAGCAGTCCTTTCAATTTCGCTATATAGAGTTTCGGCTGTAGTTAATTTAAGTCGTTGTTAGTGCTTTGAGCTAGTGGTTAACAAATTGGCCTGTCACTCTACGTTGGGGTGAAACAAAAAATACGTGTGCATGGAAATTATAGGGAATATTGAAGGTGGTATATGAGAAAAAGAAAATCCGGAGACCATTGTTCTAATTTAATGATGTTTTAATGGAAATATCACTAATTAAACTTACAGGTAACAGGTCAAGGCCAGCCACTGCTCCTAGGTTGGGCACCCTGGGCCTAGGGGAACTGCCTGGTGAATAGCTGGAGTCTCCGCCTGTACGGCTCAAGGGAGAGTCTGCTGAAACGTGACGCATTAGTTTATTATCACACGCGACGGCAACTATGTCCGCTGGCAATTAATTAAAAAAAGTTGAGATAACGCGTTAAAAAAAAAAGCGAAACAATTTCTATAATTTAGTTGGGCTGTTTTCACAGGCCAACAAGCGCGTGCACACCAAATAAACTTTGCATAATAATGCGACAGTTATTGGTTCGTCGATGCGTGCGGGGCACTCATTATCTACTTATAAATTATTTTTGATCATTATTTGCTATGAAAAACTTCGTGCATGTTTAATGGGCGCAAATACCGGATGTCTGGTGGATAATATAAAATATTACGCCAACAATAAACAAGATTCGGGACGAGAAAGTGCGTTTCCCGCAATTCGAGACACATAATTTGTATATACAAGGTGTTTTCTAATTAAATGCCAGTAATTATGGAGGAGTTTTTTGGGTTCGTTTTATGGTTCATATGAACTTTGGGTAAAGCTTTCAAAAATAATATTTGTAATATTAATTTAGTCTCCAATCATTTCTAAAGAAATTTAATTTCTCCATTTCCTTCCATGCGATCAAAAAATAAAAACGTCTTCTCTGCACGGTCGTAACAATATCGTTAATATGACAGCACGCAGAGACTGATTATCATTATTATTTCTTATTTGAGTAATTGTCTATCTGTTTTATTAAAATACGTCAGAAAATCGATGTACTAATAAGAAGTACGTAAACTCTGAGGTGTATTTCTCAAATCTTTATAATTATTTCTTATCATTGTAGTAGGCTATTGTTAAGGCGGTTGTTTGACAGTTGTTTGACATCAGTTTTTAAATTCAGTTTTTTCGCGTCATATTAATTTGGTGTGGTAAATATCCGAGCACTGTTATTTTAAAAAAGAATGGTAGAGTTTACTAATTAAGAATTTGCAGATATGCATTCTTATTATATCAAGAGCGCTTTCTCAATGAGCAGACAGGCGAACATTTTCAAATATATGCACACCGTATGCCAAATAAAACGATCCAATCGGAATCTAGAAGGTACGAAAAAAAATTTCTTACAAAAATTTCTTGGACTGTGCTGAATATTACAGGGTGTCCTAAAAGTGTCTCCCCCGATATCAACTTTGTCATTTAAATGCAATAGTCTGTATATTCTGACATTTTTGCAATCCTTGGTTAAAACAAAGGTCGCTTTCTTAAAAAACTCCCATTCGAACTTTGCATAGTTTAGGCAGAAATTGAGGTTATGTGTTTTGTTTCATATTTTGATTCACTAGATTCACAGATACTTATCATATTAGTTTAATTTTTTCATCAAGTTGTGTCTCTTAACAGAGGTTTATTCAGAGGAGCACGTGTGCCTTTCTGGGATGCACATGTTGATGCGCCCATAAAGAGTATCCTTGTAGTAACAGTAACAAGCGAAACACGTTTCTGAAGTTGATTTGCAATAAAAACTGTTATAAATAATTTTGGCCAAAATAAGTGACTACTAGTGACTACTAAGACTACTGTGCGTCGTACGGATTTTACTTAAAAATAAAAAGTAATTTCTCCGAATCTGAAAAGTAAACAGGTTTAGGGCGTACGTATGTATACAATTTTCTTATTTGAATGTCATGTTGGTCCTTATTTTCAGACCTAAAGCCCGGCAATCTGAGGGAAACCATTATAAAGTATTGAACTGAGGTGGCTTTTGCTTGATGAAAATCCATTTAACAAAATAAATAAGAACTAAAATTCCAGATTCTTACGAAATTATATATATTTACATGACAATTGTTTCGACAACACCTTGTCTTATCAAATATAATATTTACAAACTACCTGGTAAAATGAACGATTTTACTTTAATTTCGTCATTTTGTAGACCAAAACTTAAACATGGTGGCGTTGCTATTTTTTCAAGACCGCATATCAAATACAAATATCTAGATGTCGGCGGATTTGCTATTCAAACTCATGCAGAATTTTGTGCAGCGGAAATTATTGATAATAAGACTGTTTTACTTGCTCTTTACAGATCTTCTACTTCAGGCAATGTATCCATTTTTATTGATCATTTGAACAGAATGATAAGTTTTCTTCATAAACGTTATGACAACTTAATTATTGTTGGCGATTTTAACGTAGACTTAACACAAAAAACCTCACAATCAGAGGAGTTAAAAAATATATTCATTTCGTTTGGCTTAGAGTTCTTTGTAAAAGAACCTACCAGGAAGTCTAAATCAGTAGATTCCTGTTTGGACAATGTAATTTCCAATTTTCCTAGTGACCGGTTAAGTGTCCTAGTCTGTGACCCCGTTTTGTCAGATCATTTGGGACAATTAATAAAAGTTAATTCGTCAGTGCTTTGTCGTAATCATGATAAAATTAAAAGAAGGTTAATAAATAATAAACGTATAACTGCGTTCGGCAACAGTCTGGAGCACATTGAGTGGTCCAAACTTGTCAGTAACGAACAAAGTGGCGTTGAGTTTTGTTCTATGTTTATTGAACAACTTAGGGGAGCTGTCGACAGTTTCTTTCCCATTGTTAACTCTACCATCCATTGCTCGCCAATTAAATGGTTCAATGAAAACCTTAAACAAATGCGCCAGCATCTTTTATGCCTTAAAAAAAAATACCATAGTTCAAAAAGTAACCAAGACTTTCATGCTTACAAGCGGTTCCACAAAGAATATCGTCACACTATAAAGGTGGAGAAAAAGAAGACTTATGATGACATAATTCTGAGTTCAAATGATAAATCTAAAACGACATGGAATATTGTTAATTCGGAGAGACGGTCTAAGCACAGTAACTCTATTCAATCATCTATTACTCCGTTGGAGTTCAACAGATTTTTTGCTTCTGTGTCAGCGGAGATAACGAAAACCATCACACCTTCAGTAGTAGATGCTATGACCTACATCTCCAGATCATCTAGACCCAATTTCTCGTTTTTTATGTCGGCAGTTGTGGAGAGTGATGTTAGGGAAGCGATTTTAAAACTAAAAAACTCTCGTTGTCTTGACTATTATGGTCTAAATGCCAATATTATTAAGCAATCAATATCTTCACTTCTGAAACCTATTACGTTACTAATAAACAATAGCATTGAAGAGGGATGTTTTCCGGATGAATTAAAAGTGACAAAAATTCTTCCACTCCATAAAAAAGGGGATACTAATATCTTAGATAATTTTAGACCAATAGCAATCGTTCCTATCATTGGAAAAATTTTTGAGTCGATAATAAAAGATAAACTTATTGCTTACTTTGAGGGAAGGAAATTGTTAACAGATTCCCAATTTGGTTTTCGGTCAGGTAGGTCCACCATCCGTGCCTTATACACAGTGATTGAGCATGTGATTGATGGGTTTGAGGAGGGCCTGTCGACTTCGGTAACGATGTGCGACCTCACCAAGGCATTCGACTGCGTGGATACTAATATACTTCTGTCTAAACTTGAGTACTACGGAATTCGTGAAAATACCTTAGCCCTTTTAAAATCTTATTTGACCGGAAGAAAGCAATATGTTGTCTGGAATAATCGGGAATCCACTCTGTTGGACATTACTAATGGAGTGCCTCAGGGTTCCATCCTTGGTCCACTTTTGTTTATAATATATGTCAATGATGTAGTATTTGCAACAAATGCTGCTCGCAGTATACTCTATGCGGATGACACATCATTGATTGAATCGGAGAAAGATCTAACTAATTTAAATAAAAAGGCTGTCACTACACTCTCTATGATTGAGCACTGGTTCTCTGCTAATAAACTTAAATTAAATTCCGATAAAACAAAGACTCTAATTTTCAATACCAATCGAAGAAGTAAAAAATCTGAACCGGTCAAACTCCTTGGTGTTTACCTAGATGCGTTTTTAACGTGGTCGCCTCATATAGACTACCTGTGCGGTAAATTGTCATCTCAGGTTTTTGTTCTGAGACAACTGCGAGGTTCGATCTCGCAAAGCACTCTCCGTATAGTTTATTTTGCACTGTTTCATAGTATCTTATCTTATGGTCTACTACTGTGGGGGAACGCGACGGAGGCCGAGAGAGCCTTTAGATTGCAGAAGTCTGCGGTTCGGGTTCTTGGGGGTGTTCCGCCGTCCAGCCACTGCCGCCCAATATTCAAAGAATTGAAAATACTTACGTTACCATGTATGTTTATTCTCCAAACTTTAGTTGAAATCCACTCAAATTTGTCTGTTTTTCCGACTCATGGTGGATATCACAGTTACATGACGCGAACAGCTGACAATATCAAAACATTAAGATCGAGGTTGTGTACTACACAAAAAAATAAACTTAATCTAGAATTGTATAATATTTTTGCAAACACTATTTTTCGGTCCAAAAATATTGATATTAAACGACTTTCCATCAAAAAATTCAAACAATTATCAAAAAAGTTTTTTGAAGAGCATTGTTTCTATTCCATAAACGAATTTGTTACTTATCGGGCACAGTAGATCTAAATTATTTTAAGTTATTTTATAAATTGTTATTCTTTTGCTGACTTTAAAAATACGTTTTGTATTTGTAAATGGTCAATAAACGATATATATATATATATATATATATATATATATATATATATATATATATATATATATATATATATATACCGAAAAATGACAATAAAACCTTAATTACTGTTGTGAGAATTTAAGTTTAATAATGGAGAAGTATTTAAATCTAATTGATCCTTAAGCAATACATTTGAATGTCTCATTTTGTTAATCTCCATGGCTTCCAATAAATTTAATTTTTTACTTTTTGTGGCTGTATGCAAAATATCAAAATTGTCGTCAAAAATGTTTAAGGGTGTAGCAAAATTAGAATCTAGACTATTGTTTTTAAATGCTCTTTTATGTTCGTTAATGCGTTTCTTGAAGGATCTACCTATTTGTCCAATATAAATTTTAGGACAAGATCCGCTTTTCAACCTGTAAACAACTCAACGAAGTAATAACTAACTCCACAGTATTTAGTGACAAAGACAAGTATTTTT